AATAAATATGGCAATATAAAAGTGATTCAATTTCTCTTTAACAATAATCGCCATAATAAAAATAAGAATAATCTAAGGGTGGTGACTCGCTGGAATTCCTAACCACCTCTCAGTATTCCATCTTTGACATTTTAACAAATCTCAAACAAAATACTGTTTCTGATTAATAAAAAATTAATAGTCACGTAGAGATCTATTCGGATCAAAGTTGGCAATCTATCACTATAAATTATAATTATTCTTTTTCGCCAAAGAAACTTCAATTATCAGGTTAAATCATATTCTCCGAGCAAGAGGGAGAAGTGTTACTAACTCTGACTGATATTTCAAAATAAAATGAACTGTAAGAATTGATTTCTAATTCTGAGTTTAAATCTAAGGTATATATATTTAAATATATCAATCAAGATCATAGAGTCTTTTTCACACGAATTAAGAACTCCATTGAATAGTGCGCTCAATTTTCTAGTCTCTTGCCATTACGACAAAGATGTTTAAGAGTAGATTAAAGAAGATTATTTATAACCAGCAATCAATTCCTTAAAACTGCAGTCCTACATTATTAGTGACATAATAGATTTATCATAAATTTCAACCAATAATTTTATACAATCTGTAAGCGAATTTTCTATTAGACGATTACTTAACGAGATAATCTTTTTATTTAAAACCTAATTTGAAATGAAAAGAATAGAACTGAAGATAAATTTACTTGAATGCACCACTTCCAAATTTACATCTGACTATTTAAGGCTCATTCAAATCATTGTTAATCTACTACAGAATTCCTTAAAATTTTCATCGGAAGGAGTAGTCGTATTGTAACTGACAACCACTTAAAATTAAGGCTTAAGAGTCTGTGTCTCTGATCAAGGCATAGGCATAGAGAATGATCATCTTAATTAATTGCAATTACTTTTATAAAATATTGAGCAGTACAAAGATATTTAATTAAATAAGACATGGTAAGGATTTGGTTTACTAATTTCTGCCATACTAGTTAACTAATTAGCACCAAAGGAGAATAAATTTTTATAGATCCATTCATCTGGCCAATATTAAGGATCACAAGTCTGGTTTTACGTTGAAAATTAACACAGAATTGAGAGACCTAGATAAAACACCTTGAGACAGAGTTCCTCCAGATTCTAGAGTTCCCATGATGAGTAGATCTTTAATCTAGAAATTAATTGTGCAATATTTTAGGCAACAGATTTAAGCAACATAGCTTTTTCAAAGTAATCTAATTAATGTGGTAAGAAAAAAGAATTTGTTAAAAATGATTTCAACTGCACTGACAGTTAATCATTTGAATCTTTATAATTCAAATATGGTTAACTGTCACCTCTCTCGCCTTCATTGATCACAGATAAATTATTTAAGTATTCAAAGCAAGATGATTTCTAAAATAATCATTAAGTCCTAAATCTAAAAACCATATTTCAAGCTGAAATCAAAGAGGATTAATAATTTTTGAAAACCTTTCAAAAAAAGAAGAGATGTTCTTGTCAAAATCTATTGTCTGTTGACGATGAAATATTTAATTAGAAATCAATTTAAATTTTGTTAGCCAAACTGGGGTTTGATGTAATACTTGTATTTATTTATAATAAATTAATTTAGGCATTTAATGGAGCTGAGGCCATAAGAATTGTGGAGGAAGCCATTCCGTGCAGTCCAAAATGCTAATTATTCACTATAATATTGATGGACTACCAGATGCCGATCATGGATGGATGTACAGCTACTACTAGATTAATAGAGATGATGAATAAGAAATTAATCCCAAAAATTCATATCATCGGATTAACTGCTTTTACTAATGCAACTGACATTTCAAATTGTATTAAGGCTGGCATGAGTGATGTATTATCAAAACCTTTGAATTTGAAAGAGCTGAAGGAAATTTTGACTCTGATTTGAATTGTTTTAGATAATAAATTTTTTAATAGTGAAAATTTAATGTTATGACACCTCCAAAGTAAAAGTTTAGTGTGCTTAAATTTAATGTTATATTAACCGTCATTATCTCTTGGAATAATTTTGACCCACAAAGATCAAAATTTCATTCTTCTTATCTACTACAATGTTAATTTCTTCTAGGTTAGAATAATTAATAAAAATAGATAAAAAAACTATAATGTTACAAATTTCTTTGGATTCGCCCTGTAAAAAGGCTTAAGAAAGTCTCCTAATTAATACAAGAGGAATTGTATCAAAATAAAATATCATATAAATTTTGGTATTTTACATTTTGCATTCGCTTATTGACCTTGCTTTATTGCTTCAGTATCCTCATAATTCATAATACATTATTCCAAAACTCTCTATTAGTATCTTGATGGCTGTCATAATAACTTTATTTTAGAAAAAACTAACTCATATGATAATCAATATTTTTTTGGTTGTGGTAAAATTAAATTCAATTCTTTTTCTTATATTGATTGGATAAGATTATATATTAATAGTAGTATTAATTTGTGAACACAACTACTACCCAGCAAATTTTGAACACTTAGAATATTCTGTTCAAAAAATCATCGTAAAAATCGTATGTTTAGTGATAATGATCATCAAATTTTAAATTATGGATATTTTTATACTTGGAAGTGTTTTGTTATTGGAAATATACTCAATAGGTTTGCTTTTAAAATAATCAAAAAATTAAAATATTGGAGAGTTATTTAGCTCTTTTTAAAATAAAATTAATAGAGAAACTTTCACAATGTATTCTAAAGAGAACACTTGGATAAGTAGGATATCTACTCTCCCCATATGTTTCATAATGATTTCCAAAAAAGATATGAAATTGACCTACAAAAATCATAATGTCTATACTCATTTTTCTTCAATCTGTAAAACTGAGGAGGAATACGATAAATTAATTCTAAATTAATTGGAATTTTCAATTATTTCGGGTAAATTTTACTTTACTATATAGAATGCTTTGAAGATCAAAAGAACATCGCTACGGATCAACATATAAAGAAGAATAGACTGAGGAATAATTTGTCGACCAAAAAACATAATTAAGAAAACAAGGATTTTTCAGAATAAGAAAGTATAAATCCATAATTCAAGGATACGAATAAATTGCTTGAAATCTTAGAAAACTATAAGGATGGCAAATTATGGGATACCATGAATTCGATTAATAATTCTTTAGAACTATTTTGTCAGCATTATTGGGAAGATAATAAATGCTCAACTTATAGTGGGTAGATTATAATCAATCAAGATGATGATGAAATTATTTTAACATTGATTGACATATCTAAATAAAGCAAGTATTATGATGAGATGATCAAGGACTAATTTAAGACTTCAGTAAAAATTTTATTAATTTTAAAAGATTGCCCAATCCTTCTCACATGAATTAAGAACTCCTTTAAATAGTTCATGTAACTTCTTATAATACTGTTTAAACCATAAAAGTGTCGAGGATGAGATTAAAAACAACTTCATCCAACCTGCCATTAATGCTTTAAGATTTTAATCCTACTTGATCAATGACATTATTGATTTTAGCTCATTATGTGCTGATAATTTGGAATTGGATATTATAGATTTTCTCATTAAGGATCTAGTTGATGAAATCAACAAATTGTTTAAATCTGTTATAGAAATGAAGAATCTGATATTGTATGTTGATTTATTGGAAAATCAATTAAATAGTCTATGCACAGACTTCTCTAGACTAGTCTAAATTATTGTGAATATCCTCTAGAATTCTATTAAGTATTCAAATTCTGGATACATCCTTATGAAGTTGACTTCTTTTTCATAAACTTATTTGAAGATTACAATCAAAGATGAAGGATTTGGAATAGAAGAAGACAGATTAATCAAATTGCATCAAATGCTTTTGGATGTTGAATAAAAATAGAACTTCTCTTAATATAAATCTTGGCATGGATTTGGTCTGTTGATCTCCTCAATGTTATTATCAAAACTATGTCCTGCGGATTACAAATCCTTATTAATTCGATCTGGGGGAAGAGGGCAAGGAACTAAGGTGACTTTCTACATATAGAATCATAAGTTAAGTCATTCCTCTTCAAGTCTCCATTACAAGGATAAGCCAATAAGATTTAATAGCAAACTCAGATAGAGCAATCCGTCAGGATCAAATCATCATCTGTCTCTAAATGGAACACTTATCTAAATTAGCGATTTATTTGTCTCTAATAGAAAAGTTAATATCAATACTCAATTTGTAAAAAAAGTAACTCTTAAATCTGTAAAATCAAATGAAAACTCAATTTTCTCTGATAGCATAATCAATTTAGATTAAGATTTATAAATATCAGAACTGCATCACTTATAACCTTTTTTATTTACAGAAAATGCTAAGTAGATATCTAAATTAAGTAAATAAGACTAATCTCCCAAAAGTAATAATCAATAAGCTAAAATTGTAAGTTATAAATAATTAAAGCTTTAAGAAGATTAAGATAGTGAGTAATATCTAAAAACGATCATGAGGAAGAAGAAATGTACTTGTAAAAGAATATTGTCAGTAGATGATGAAATTTTTAATTAAAAATCTATTCAATTCTTATTAACTCAACAAGGATTTGAAGTCTCTTTGGTATTATTATGAATTATATCGAAGGCATTCAATGGTCAAGAAGCACTTCAAATAGTTTAAGATACTCAGAAATGTAATGTTAACTGCAGTTTATTTTTATTAATTTTGATGGATTATCAGATGCCAATAATGAATGGGTTGTAGGCCACTAAGCAATTGAGATAGATGATGGATTAGCATTAAATACCATAGATTCACATCATAGGATTAACTGCATTTAATAGTAAGAACGATATTCTCATGTGTTTAAATTCTGGCATGAGTGATGTATTAACAAAGCCATTGATTATCAAGGACCTTTTTGAAATATTGCAACTCATTTGATCTTATCGACATTATATCCATATTATTATACTAAACTATGAATATTGCTAAATTCAAATTAAAATTTTTTTAATTATTTCTGAATATGAATTCAAATCAAGAATTGGTTCAAATGTTGAAAGATCTTCAAATTTACAATTCCATCGATAACAACTTTAGTCCCGATCATAGCTAATTAGTGATGGTCTACGAAAAAGTAATCGGATCTGTTTTAATGTTAGTTTTGCGATTTAATTAATTTTGATGATAGTTTTACTTTAGAAAACTCAACATTGCAATTATTTTATAGATGCAAATTGATGTGTAAAACAGTGGGTGTAGCTGATTTTTAGATGATGGATTTAACAGATCCTGATCAAAAAAGGATGAAACACATTCTTACACAATTATGTAAGTATTGCATATGGAAAAAGGATTAAAGTTAGAAATGGGAAAAAAGAGACAAAGAAATAGTAATATATTTAATGATCTTAGGTATAATTAGAAGATATTGATTTATAATAAACTCGAAAATAAAAAAGCGAACTCGAAGATTTGATACAAATGAAATACAAAGACATGGATTTGAAAAAGAAAAAGTTTGAGTAATATAAACAAATGAAACATAAATGTGAATCAGATTTATTAGCTAAAAGAAACCAAAATTTAAAATTATAAAATTCTATTTCGTAAAATTAAAATGAATTAAAAGATGCAGAAAAGAAGTTTAAGAATTTGATAGAGAAACTGTAAGTAGCTTAAAATGAATTATCAATATTGGAAAGGTAAATTCTTGTATTAATGCTTTTAGTATGATAGTGAAGGATCCGAAAACTTTAGAAAAGAAGGTAAACGATAGTCAAAGAAGGGTGGAAGGTCTTTAGATTGAAGTAGATAAGTGTTAGAAGGAATTACAAATTGAAACATTCAAAATTGGAAGAATTTATAAATAATTATATCTAGATTACGATGTATTTTTGAGACTGCTTGAATAAATAAAGGAATCGGAAAATGCATTAATTTAGGAAGATAAAAACTTTGAAAAATCCAATGATTAAATATTTACAGCATCAAACAAAATACTCTAAGAGAACTTGGCCTTGCAAAAGTTATAACAAAACAAGGAACATCTGCAATAATAGAAAATAGCAGAATCTGAGAAAAACAATTCATCTAATTAATATAGTTTACAATCCTTAATAGATTTACAAAATAAACTGTCAGAATTGTAGATAGAGGTGAAGAGAGAATAGTAAGAGTATTTGTCCATACAACTCATGAAATAGGAGTAATAGAAGATTACGTCTGAAAACGAAGAAATCAAAGCAGCTATTGAAGCGAATCTCAAATAAGTGGTGACTCAATAAAACAAGGAAATTGAATAATATACAAAAAACATTGAACTCTTACTTAATAAAATAGATTTTGAATGAGTCTTATAATATAATTAATTACTATTAATAGTAAAAGTGTAAAAAATATAGGTATTTTAAAATAATTTGTTATTTATTAAAATGCTATCAATTCTGATTGAGGAAGCATTATGATTGGAAACCATACAAGGTATAATTTTACACCAAATCATGGAATCCCCAATTGTTCTTGTAAAGAGTGATCCAATCACCCATCAAACCAACAGTTGGCACTTGATAACAGACTTTCACAACTCCTAAATGTCTCTTGCATTTCTTCTTAGAAGACAACTCACTATGTTGAACTTAGGCAATTGCATAGGCTCTGAACTCTTCCATGTCTAAATTAAGATTCAAAGTGTATGAATTAGAATTGATAGAATGAATTTTAGGATTATATCCAAAGGCAATACTGCTTGTAAGATTACCAGTGAAGATATCAGCAAGGACAGCAGCTCTGGCTTGAACGACATTAGGTACAAGAGAATCTCCATATACAGTCAAATAGGCAGCACCAATGAAAGTGTCAGAGAATCCGGCAATTGAAGAAGTCTGGGTGACATTTTATTTGACAATGAATCCATAGCTAAAGTCAGCTCCAACGTTAACAACAAACCCTTGAACTACTAAGGCAGTTTAGAGCAGTGAAATATTCTGAATTCCATTTATATCAAGATTTTATAATGGTTGACCAGTATAAGAAAGTGAAGTATCAACTAAATCAAAAACGCAGAAACCTTCAAGGGCTAAGCAGAATTTCAATGTGACTTGAGCATTGCCATTACCTGCAGTGCCTTTAAAAGAAACATCCAAGGATAAATTAGTTCCTTTAACTGAAAATGTTACAATAGTGGATGAATAGTCTATTAATCCGTTGGAAGGACAATGTATTGATTAATTTTAAAATAGTTATGATTAGGTTAATAATCTATTATGAAAAGCCTTCTTCTTTAATTCCTAAATATTCAATTGTTTTTTTTCATATTACTTAAGCAATCTATCTTAAATAGTGATAGCAGTATAAGACGTTAAATCTTAATTGTTATTGATCTATTTAAGTAGATTAGTAAAGTAGGCGTCTTAATAGCTTTAACCTCTCTTAAGTGTTGAATTATCAGTAATTGAAGATTTGATTTAGTATTGTTTATCTTAATTATTAAGTTAAACTGAGTGATCTATTTCAATATCCACAGAAATCTACGATTCAACAATTTCATTATTTCTGTTTATTTTGGTTGTTTATTTTTATTTGAAGTGATCTCCCACCAAGAAATCATTATCAAGACTGTCTTATTCTGTAACTTCTTTGGTGATTGTTGAATATCCAAACCAAGTCCAATCAACTTCTCTTTCTGACATAAATTAATATTTTCCGATTTAAACTGGATTCTTAATTCCTTCTTCGGTTCTCTCTGATGATTCAACATTTGGGCCTAAGTGTTGGATACTTGAAATTAAGGTTTAAAGCAAAAGTCCATCTAAACCATTTGGTACTTGAAGTCTCAAAACTTATCCATTAGCTTTGTCTAAGGTATATGTAACCATGGGAATCTCATTGTAGGATCCACAGTCTTGATTGTTGCAAGGGTCACTCGTCTTTTCCAGGATTCTGAGGGCATTGTTGAGTTTTCCAGTTATGTTTACATTAGTTTCATATAAATTTGAAAAAATGACAGTGCCATTTGAATAATTATTATAGGATGAAACTTGTAAGCCATCAAGCATAAGGATGTGTGTGGAATTCTAGTCATTTTCATCTATTGTAACTGATGTGGTATTGGCTTCAATGAGGGTACAATTTGTAGATTATGTAGAAACTTAATAAACACATAATTAATCTTAGGCATAATAAGAATTTCTTTGGTTTAATGAGTAACTTGGAACATAATTGCTCTTAGGAGTGAAGAGTATTAATAGACTCATGCAAGTGGCCAGAACAAGTGCAAAAATGACTGCTTTTCTGAGTCTGTCTTATCTCTTTAGCTGGGTGTCCTTCGACAGCAGAGTATCAGGATTGACGATGTTAAATGAACTTTAAGTTTGCATTAAATAATAAATCTTTTTTTCATTTTTCAATTAACTTAAATAACGAAGAAGACGGGGTGTATCTTGGTTAATGTAATACAATAAATAATTGTCAAAGCATTATGAGCAAACAAAAATGCTTAATTGAATAATAGAAGTGTTTCTGACACTTATATAACCCTCCTTTCAAGAACTTAACTAATGAATATATGTAATCCAATAAGTGATGATGTCATGATGTCATTTAACGTATATTAATTTTATAATTCTAATGTTCCTACATCTTTTCATCCCTTTCCAAATTGTCTATCACTCCTTTAAACCTATTCCAAGACTCCTCCTTGAGAGTCTATCCCAAATGTAAAGTTGGAAATTCTTAATCACTACTCCACAAGTAATGTATCAGAATTACTCAAAATGGTCATAGATTTAAAATCTATCTCCGGCCTCCTAGATGAATGCATTTCTTCTAGTTGACAAGCAGGAATGATTATTCTTATAGACTTTTTCAAACTCTTAGTAGAAATTGAATACATGAAAAACCTTAATTTGAAATAGACAAATATGATATTGAAAGAGACACTTGAAATGGTAGTGCATTTGAGTTATTTAGTTATTTCAACATATTTTATGATTATTGTGTGTATTTCAAACTATAAAATTAGAAATTCAAAGAGAGTATAAATTTTATAATATAATTGAAGTTAATTATAATAAGGCAAAGCTTAAGAAAATTATTTTGATTATTAAAGATTGCACATATAATTAATTTAAATTAATATTTGAGGTTTATTTTGGTATTAGGAAGTTTGTATTTGGAATGGGGAGGGGGTTGTATGAGTAAAGAGAAGATTCTTTAGTACCAAAATTTCTAGTTTAAGTATTTTAAAATATAGGCCAGTTTAATTAAACTTAGTGAAAGTATGAATGTTATTGATAATAAAAACAAAATATTATTTTAAATTTCTCAATGGGGAATTGTTTCTTACAAGAGGAAGAAAAGAATTAGAAGTCTTCAATAAAAAAGGTCGATAGCTTTCTTGCTAAGCAGATTGAGAAAAGAAACGAAAAACAAAAGGTGACTTTGAAGGATTTTTTAAGTCAAGGTGAAATAGGACGTGTAATTATTGTGATTGATCGAATATGTTAGGGTAAATTTGGGAAGGTTTTAAGGGTGAAAATGAAGGGGAAGGATAATCGGGAATATGCAATGAAAGTTATTAAAAAAGCTGATATCTTACAATATGGACTTGTAGAACATACTATGTTAGAGAAGAATGTCTTGGGAGCAAGTAGAAATCCGTTTGTTGTCAAATTGAAATACTCGTTTTAAACAGAGCAAAAACTTTATTTGGTGATGGAGTAAAATATATTTAAATGAAGTTAAGATTCATAAAGGGTGGTTAATTAGCCAAAGTGTTAAGAAAAAGATAATCAGGTAGATTCACAGAAGAATAAACTAGATTTTGTGCTGCAGAAATAATATTAGGTTTGCAATACATGCATAATACACTTAGAGTAATCTATAGAGATTTGAAACCAGAAAATGTTATGGTCACTGAAGAAGGACATTTGAAATTGACTGATTTCGGTCTATCCAAATAATACGAAAATGAAGAAGCAAAATTTTTTACTGTATTAAATAATAATACTCACATCATAGCTTGCAGGAACGCCGGAATACTTGGCTCCGGAAATATTGTTTAATTAGGGTCACAATCATATGGTTGATTTTTGGTGTCTAGGAATTCTAATTTATGAGATGTTGGTGGGTGAGACTCCATTTTATGATTGCTAAGGAAATCATAATACTATAGAGAACAATATTAAGAATGCATAGATTAAATATCCTAATTTCTTGAGTGAGCAATCGAAGAGCATTGTGGATAAATTACTGAATAAAGATCCAAAATTGAGATTGGGAGCCAAATCTATTCAAGAGATAAAGGATCACCATTTCTTTAATGATATCAATTGGGAATAACTCTATAATTTGGAAATCCCATCTCCAATTTTAGAAAACACTCATGTTTATGTAACTGTTGAAAAATGATCAATCTAGCCCCAGGTTAAGAAAGACTAGTTCGGTAAAAGAATCTATGAGACACCGTCATCGCATTTTATTGAAACCAATGGGGATTTCAAGGGTTTCTCTGCAGCTTAAGAATGATTATATAAAATGGTATTTTCAATATCAATTTTAAGTATAAGTTATTGTATATCTTTATTAACAATATAACTTTCATTTTTCTTTTCTCTTTTTCAATTTTAAAATTATTCTAGCATCTGAATTAATTTTATTAATTTTCAATATCTCATCAAGGTCTTTTTTCATAATAGGATCATTTGATATCAACTCTGATATATTTATAGTTTTTCTTAATTGCTAATAAGTAAGATGAAACATGTCAAATTCATTGTGCTTTTAAATATTGCACAAGAATGTTTCCATGGTTATTTTTGCATCCTCTAATTCATCATTAAAAGCAAACATTTCCTCACTGTCATTATTGTCCTCCTTAGCCTTTTTTAAGTCGTTATTATACTATCTTTTTAAGACAGTTACAAAATTTGTAAGCAAAGTTAGATTCAAATATTTGGGATTCTTGAGTAACAATTGACAAAACCCTACAATATAGAGTTGACTGTCATAATCAGGTTAGCAATGTTTGCTTGAATCAACGATATGATCATAAATGAATCCTTATTATGATTCAATCCATTGTAAAGTTTAGGCACAATTTTATATAAATCCTGAAATATATATTCCCATCAATCTAGCTCTCAGGAAATCATTTTTTACTTCCAATTATGATCTTTATAAGATTTTTGTGTAGATATAGTTTAAAACATCCTTTTATAATGGATATTCTTGGAGGAGTAAGTGTAAAAGCACGATGGCTTCTCCTTGAGAGGCTTCCCCATTCTATGGATGATTGAAAACAGCCTCCAACATTTAAATCAGCTAAATTATGAAATATGATGAATACAAATTCTTAGGCTTTAGTATTTTAAAATAAGGTTCTCCCATAATAAATGTAATAATTAAAAAGCTCAAATAATTATCCAAGAGTATATCTCTATTTCTCTATTACTTTGTTACATTATGTGAGCATCTCAGCTTAATAGTCACTGATAAATTTAGTTTTATGTATTAGCTATGATATAAAGTACACAATGTCCTCGTCAAAATCAATAACATTTGGGTCTATTAATAATCATATCATAGATTACCTATGATGTATTTGTATAGAACGGCAACTCTTTTTTCTAAAAGATTAAAGTGAATTGGAATTATCCTATCGACCTCAGGCAGAGATTTGAGTATATTCCAAGTTTAATTGATACAGATTTGTCTCTCAGTCTATCCTTACTCCACCAATTCTTACTCTTATTAGATTTTCAAAACTATTAGTCCCAAAGCTTGATCTAATACTGATGGCTCTAATGAAAATGTTCTACATGAATTTATAACAATTCATACTTGAAAACTTGTTTAATAGTATCGAAGTGATCTTCAAAGTCGCTTTATAATAAAGATTCACATAAAACTAGCAGGATCTATCCAATGATTGGTTCCAATAGTTTCTCTAAATTGGGTTCTTCAATAATATTCTTAATAGCCTCTATTGCACAATAGCAATTAGCATATAATTCATTTTTGGAAGATTTGATTTAATTCATCAAAAAACTAAGGAGTTATTAAGAGAGTTCTTCTTTTTCATGTAGAATTGACTTGCAAAATGCGCCAATATAAGTACAGAGTCTGGCCTTAACAAGAGCTAAGACTATATAAATTTTGCATACGTATTGAATAGTTTAATAAGTAATCGCCGTATTAGGTAATAAAGGATTTGAATATTTACCCGACTTCATTTCGATAGACTAGATAATTACTCAAAATTGATAAGATTAGCAATGAAGTTTCTAATAAAACATTAACATTCATGGATTTTAAAAAGTAATGGTCCTTGAATTCCATTATTAATCCTAACTACTCTTTTAATTCTGCGTTTTGTAGTTTTTAAACACAATAGGTTGCAGCCAGAGTTGAAAAGGATGTAAAGAAGGATACGGACCCATCAATATGATCACAATAAGCGATAATTAACTGAGCCACTGATGACTTAATGATATCAGATTTTTGCTCATCCAAAAGATCCTATGTCAATTGAACAAATTCATTAGGGTCCTCATTGAGATCACTCATTTCTTTTTGAGTTGATGAGAAGAAGGGTAAAATGATGTCAACAAAAATGGCCATCCTGTATTCAGCAAAGATGTGATAGACTGAAATGCTCTTGCATGTAATTGCTAATAATTTGATGATTTCATTAATTAAGTTTTATTGGTTCTGATTAAGAGTATCATAAGAGAAGGTGGGCGACATTGCAAATGCCACAAGACTTTGGATGTAAGTGTCACACAGAATACATAAGATGTCTAAAAATGGGCACTTCTTGGCGACTACGGCATCCTTGTACAATTTAATAATAGATCCGTAGATTAGCCTTTGGGATGCAACTATCAAATGACAATATTCTAGATCGTCGCCTACAAAGGTCAATTGTTGAGCCTTGAGAATGAGCACTTAGCACAATTCCTCGTTGTAGATAAAGAATTGTTGAATAGGTTCTGGCACTCCACTCATCTATTGAGTTGTGAGGTGTCGATCCAGTTGATTATGGAGAACTTTGGCCCATAATATTTTGGTAGATTGAGGGAAAGTGCCCAAAATTTTACCTGCCTTGATGATGGATTGAAACCATTCAAATTGATTATCCAATTGTAATGTTTCAGCTATGTAAAATGCAGATGCAACCATGTTTTCTAATCTGGTTTCAATAGATTAGACGACATGTTATTTGAGGCGAGTCTTGAAGTTATTCTCTACAGATTAATAATAATAATTCATTTACGTTTATCATAATAAACCAGTTATTGGAGGGCTTATTGAATGCTGACTTTGATTTTGTCTGATACTTATTTAGTGAGCATCTGAACAAAGAGATCAACATGATGCAATCTCATTTCCACAGCATAGGGTTCTAGATTAGAATTCAAGATGGTCTTACTTGTGTTGCCTATGAATTTTTTCACAGCAGTTATTATAGTAATCGCAGCTTCTTCTGCTAATAGTAAATCATTTTATTAGGATGATAATTCACATAGGATTTCAACGGATCTGGCATCATTTTGACAGGCTTGAATCAATTATTCTTCTGCCTTTTTCCTTGTTTGAGTCTCTTTGCTTTGGAAGGCCATCACGATCAAATTTATATACTCTTGCTGATTCATCATAAATTTATATAGTGATAAATTATAAACTTTTATTAATCAATATCATAGATAAATATATACATAGTCATTTTAAAGTCAAACTAATTTTATTTCCTTTGTAATCATATTCCGAAAAGACGGAGATCACTTTCAAGGCTTCGTAGATATCCACCATGGTGATTTGAATATTTTGAGAGTCAAGTTTGATTTCTAAGTTTGAGAATAAATACTTTACCTTGAATCTTTCCAACTAATTTAACCATGTCCTGGATTTCCAACAATTGGGAAATGCCCGTAAATGAAAGTACTCTAGACAGAGGAACAATTTTGAATTTGGTTTGACTCCCTTGATAATATTCTTCATAGGGATTGTTGGGCTACAGGAGTGCATTGCTAGCAGTCTAGAATATGATTCTCAACTAGAATAATAATAAATGGAGCTGCTAACCTCGTTTCCAAAAAAGACGACATTATTGAGTAACTCTTTTGCTATGATTGCATTCTCCTTATTTACAAATTATAGAATGGATTAACGAATATTTTTTTTTAACAATAAGGCTTCCAAATGTCCAAATCTATTGAAGAGATTGTAGAGCATCCTTGGAGTGACTCTTTCGTCTAGATTGGAAACCCTTAAGTATTTGGATGGTTATTGATTTAGCAATTCTTGGATAGCCTACTCATTGGAATCCAATTGAGTCAATTATATTTTGGCTACTTCCTATTCGTAGTCATCATCCAAGATTCTTTCTAGTTGTCGCAATTGAGTTTCCATTCTAGGGGAATATACTCGAATTGTTTTACATTGCTTTTGTAGGGGATTCTTCGGTGATATTTTGGATGCCATTGAATGGGTTTCCATTACTCGGCTGTTATTCAAGGGATTGAGGTTTGATCAAAGGTAGAGAAACTGGAATTGAATTAGGTAGCGTCATCGATTTCAATGGAGACTTCTATTCTGGTTATGTTTCCTCATCATCAGAGTGATATTCAGAACCTCTGGTGTGATCAACCACTTCCAAGTCCAGCTATTTCAAACGAGAATAATGAATCAATAGCCTTGTAAAAATATAACTGAAAGTGTTACCTGCCTCCTTATGGAGTGAGCGATTTTCCTATCATATTACGTCTTGCCGAAATAGCTTGCTTAACTTCATTGTATTCTACAAAAGCTTTGTTGGTCTTTCCTCTTTCGAAAATTAATATTTTTTTGACTTCCCCATACTACTTAAAAGTCTCAAACAAAAAATCATTTGTAAGTGGGAATGCTTAAGGTAAGTAAGTTATGATCAATAACAATATTTTACTAGGAGGGTCTCTAGGAATCATTTATAAAATTTAATCAATTTAATTTAAAATCCTGCAGAAATGAGGATTTTAAAAATTCGATTATTAACAGTTAATATTAATAAAAGCTCCTTCTAAAGCATTAATAATTGCATAAACCCAAATTCCGAAGCAGAAACCATATCACACTTTCCATGCTCATTTTTAAGTAAAGAGCCTGCGCATCAACCCACAGCATCACTCCACTCTCTCATAGAAGCCTTGTGAATCTAAAAACCTCTGAATCTTGTACTCCATCTGAGACTCTCTTCCCGTATCTTCTCTCTCTCTTGATTAGTAAAAAGATTAAATGATTTAATGAATAATAAAAATAATCTAAAAATTATATAATGATGAATCGGTGTCATATTTTCCAAGCCATTTTCATTAACAACACAAAATGTTCGTCATTGTCCACTGAAGCTGACACTGCAGCATAATAATCACACCACTCCTAATATGTCAATTATCCATTCTTATCCACATCTCCAAAATTCACAAGGAACTCCTCGAACACCTGAGTCTCTGTCATCTGTCCGTTCTTCACTTTCGGATGCATTTTGGTATTGTAAACACCCCTAAAATATATTCTAAATTCTCACTTCAGATCATCTGCTGTAATGTATCCATCCCCTGTTTTATCAAATTTTCTGAAAGCCTGATCTACAATAGCTTTTCTAGTTGGATTCAATTACCCCTAAAATACCAATTTTCCTTACTCTGATGGACACTAAGAATTCATCAAAATCAATGGTTCCACTCCTATCTCTGTCCATGGCTGCGAATAAGATCTACAATGACTCGATATCATTACATCGACTTCATTCCAAGACAACTAAACCCCATTTTCAGCCAGACCCACCTTCAATTCATTTTTATCCAATTTTCTATTTCCATCATATGAATCAAGACATCTGAAACAAACACCCAACTGTCTAATTGTCTTCGATCCCCTTGCCTACAAAGCATCACGAACTCGTTTAAGCACTAACCTCTCAATTATACAATCATACAAATTTGAGCAGCTTCCTACTATTGTCTATTCATAATATAAAACTTAATAAAATAATTAACAGTTTCATGAAATAAATTATCCAAATTAATATCATAATTTATTGCAAACCTATGGGTAAATCTCCTTTGAATTTTCAGCTCTCTCGTATTTATTCGGATTCTCAGAATACCTCCAAAATTACCCACAAGACTTTTAAGAAATATCTCCAATCCCTCCATCCAAACACAGCACCAACCAAGTTAAATTAGGTTCTTTATTCAAATTACTTACTTAAGGCAATGAATATCTAATTATGGGTCTCTCCTACTCATAACCATAGAGAGTGACAACCGGTTTCATCTCTTTGAAAATTGGTTCATTGTCAATCAACGACGAATCAATCTACAACCCTTCTGACTTTTTATTGTTGAGTTCCTTCAGTTTGGAGTCTATTGGATCAAATTTTACAAAAAAAGTATACTTCCTGTCAGCCAATTAATTAATTTAAATAGACTAAGCAGTTTTGCTTCCATAAAATTGCATACCCCCACAATTCTCATTGAAAAAACCAACAACACATTCTGGATAAGCTGCACCTAATAACACATTGAACTTCTCTTGCTTAGGCACTTCCAAGGTAACTGTCAATTACCCCTTGATTGTGTTTCTAGGAATCATTGTGACATCTAAGCTTTTAGTAGCTTCTAAATTCTTAAACTTATTGCAATATAAGTAATATCCTTTCTTCTCAGCCCCGAAGTAGTAATCTCTAACAACCATATTGTATAACACACTATTCTGATTTACAGTGACTATTCAAGATTAAACTAATATAATTACTTATTCGCTAAGGTATTGGCTTAATTTTACCGCAATCATCTTCATTCTTATAAAAATACAAAATAACATCATCTAATTCTAATCCAGATTGTATATCAATAATATTGATCTGTAAATTAGTAAACTTCAAGTTCTTACTAATGTACTATTTCGCTTCCTGATTAAATGACTTATCTTCTGTTGCATGTACTTTATGCTTTTACCATAACAATCTACTGCTCTATAAGGCAAATATATCAACTGTCAATTGCTTTTTATTACCCTCACTGCAGATCTGAATATGGTTGGATAATATCTTTTTTATTTCCCCTTTATCTCCCTCTACTCCAAATATCCCATCACTTCTACTAGCAGAAGTGTAAAATACATTTTTTATCATTTCCTTTGGAATATAAGAGACTTTGGCTGAATTCACATACTCTGTGACCACTAACTACATCTATGGGGCCAAAATGGTCAATCTTGAATCTTCATTTAATTCCAATTCTTTATTGTTATTCTGTTTTTTATACACATCCATAAAAGGCTCACATCCAGTGACATTCTCTATTCCTGTAGGGTAGACCAAAGGATTATTATTGGCTTTGATTACTTATTGATTTGCAACGACTATGATGTCTTTTTAATTTGGAGTTGTTGCAGATCCAAAAATTAGTAAAATAGAAAATACAAGCACCACTATTCCAATTAATACAAAAGTCCAATCTTCTTTTCTATTAGGTATCTACATTCCCTTCAAACTTGTATCCACTTACAGTAAAGCTGTAGATAAGGCAAATCCACTTATTACTAGTAATAATGAGAAGAAGCCTGTATAAAATATGTTCTTAGACATTGAATCGGAGAATGCTTTACAACATGATACATTTAAACACTATTAGCTACTATCCTTCTCCCAGAATATTGATTAATACTAGGGATCACAATTGTTTTGTTCCTAATATTTGTTACAACTCGCGTTTTCCTTTATCCAATCTTAGTGAGTGTTGCGCATCTCCTATCCACACTGATTTATGTAGGCTGATCTCATCTATTCACTTTGTCTTATGATGTAAAATGAACAAGCAGTGATTAAAAATATCAATATCAGGTTAGCATATCCAATTGTTTCAAATAGACTACTTCTATAGATAAAAGTAATTAGGAAAGCGAATGCAGCTGTAATCAAGGAGATCACAGACAATGTTTTAAACAGCGAAAAGGCACTTGACACTAATAGGGGTGAGTAGGGTGTTGATATATCAGCTGATGCTTGGTTTGCTTGATTCAAGGCCAAGGATGCTATTAGAATGGTTGATAATGCAAACACATAAATGCATAGTCTCAATTATGACTTTTGGGGTATTGTTATATAACTAGTGAATGCCACATACATCAAGATCAAACTTATCAATATCATAATAGGAAATCCCAAAATCACTCCAATCTTGTAATCACTCATGTATGCAATACTGGCATCAACTGAATGATTAGCCTAATAATAGTCCTGTCCTATCCTGTACCAAAATACTATGAACACTAGCAAAATAATATTATATAAAATATTGATGAATGAACCCAAAAATACGACTGCTGAAATTCTTGTATCTATATAAAATTTTCTTTATTGCAACTAACTCTCTGATTCCTCTATGGTTTTACTCGTGCTGAACCAGTACATAATCACCCCCTAAATTCAAATTTAATATGTGGAATTACACTTAAAACAACCGTAGCAATTCCTGAAAGCAAGAGTAACATCATTATCGTCAGCGAATATTTATTGAAAAAGGTAAATGCCACTATTATCAAGATTATAGCTAAAATTAATGCTAACAATGTAATCTTTGTCGAAAATTCTATAAATACAAAAAAAGAGTACTTAGTTTATCTTCTAATTCTCTATCAGACCATCCCTCATTATACACATCTCTCTTTTATTAAATCTCCTGCATATTAACTGTAAAATTTAATAAAATAATATCTATCGATTCGATATTCGATTTATATTAAAATAAAATTTATGATATAAAATTATTGTGATATTATTTTCTTATTTCAAGGTAAATATTCATAAGTATATATATTTGGGAATACAATTAATTTTATAGACCTCTGATTAGTTTGAAAATGAAATCTAAATCGTATTATTTTCATGATTATTAAGAACCTAAAGTTTAATTTGGTGAATAATCTTCATCATTACATCGTAACTATAATCATCTTCATGACCAAGATTCTTAAATAAATTTTAATAACTCAATATTAATTAATAAAAATTTTCTCTTCATTCTAAAAGTTCACCTGACTTTATAGTTTTTTATCACAAATAATACATAGTTCCATATCAAAATGACTTAATCGTTATGTAACTAAACTACTAAGCCTAGCATTAAAGGGATAAAGAATATTGTTATTCATGTCTGCTGGCGGATAGACAGAAAAAGCAGTTCTAAAGGTTTTGCTATAATTTTTTAGAATTCATAAAGTATTAATGTTTGATAACATGATCCTTTAACTTCGGAAATGCTTTATGTTAAATATATTATTGAACTCTATCACAAGCTCCTGTTAGTTTTCTTATTTGCTACAGCATCTCTTATGCAATTCTTCCCTATTGTTTAATACCCTTTACAGTAATTAATAAAAGAATCTAATTTATGATGTATTTAATTAGAAGGATTGTAATGGCAACTGCTATTTTTCTTTATCTAAGCCATCATCCCCAACTCAACAAATAGTGCTCTTGTTACACATGCATCTTTGACTTCCTTATAGATGAAATTGTTTAGAAACCGTATCTGATTCCTCTTTNATAGTCCTGTCCTATCCTGTACCAAAATACTATGAACACTAGCAAAATAATATTATATAAAATATTGATGAATGAACCCAAAAATACGACTGCTGAAATTCTTGTATCTATATAAAATTTTCTTTATTGCAACTAACTCTCTGATTCCTCTATGGTTTTACTCGTGCTGAACCAGTACATAATCACCCCCTAAATTCAAATTTAATATGTGGAATTACACTTAAAACAACCGTAGCAATTCCTGAAAGCAAGAGTAACATCATTATCGTCAGCGAATATTTATTGAAAAAGGTAAATGCCACTATTATCAAGATTATAGCTAAAATTAATGCTAACAATGTAATCTTTGTCGAAAATTCTATAAATACAAAAAAAGAGTACTTAGTTTATCTTCTAATTCTCTATCAGACCATCCCTCATTATACACATCTCTCTTTTATTAAATCTCCTGCATATTAACTGTAAAATTTAATAAAATAATATCTATCGATTCGATATTCGATTTATATTAAAATAAAATTTATGATATAAAATTATTGTGATATTATTTTCTTATTTCAAGGTAAATATTCATAAGTATATATATTTGGGAATACAATTAATTTTATAGACCTCTGATTAGTTTGAAAATGAAATCTAAATCGTATTATTTTCATGATTATTAAGAACCTAAAGTTTAATTTGGTGAATAATCTTCATCATTACATCGTAACTATAATCATCTTCATGACCAAGATTCTTAAATAAATTTTAATAACTCAATATTAATTAATAAAAATTTTCTCTTCATTCTAAAAGTTCACCTGACTTTATAGTTTTTTATCACAAATAATACATAGTTCCATATCAAAATGACTTAATCGTTATGTAACTAAACTACTAAGCCTAGCATTAAAGGGATAAAGAATATTGTTATTCATGTCTGCTGGCGGATAGACAGAAAAAGCAGTTCTAAAGGTTTTGCTATAATTTTTTAGAATTCATAAAGTATTAATGTTTGATAACATGATCCTTTAACTTCGGAAATGCTTTATGTTAAATATATTATTGAACTCTATCACAAGCTCCTGTTAGTTTTCTTATTTGCTACAGCATCTCTTATGCAATTCTTCCCTATTGTTTAATACCCTTTACAGTAATTAATAAAAGAATCTAATTTATGATGTATTTAATTAGAAGGATTGTAATGGCAACTGCTATTTTTCTTTATCTAAGCCATCATCCCCAACTCAACAAATAGTGCTCTTGTTACACATGCATCTTTGACTTCCTTATAGATGAAATTGTTTAGAAACCGTATCTGATTCCTCTTTAAGGTAGAGTTTCCAAGCAAATATCCTATCATCACTTCTGCCCACCAATATGAATGTGAATCATAGTTTTAGTTTTATTTAATATAAATTAAAAGAAAATAATTTACTATTTAAACATCTTCTGAATTCAATAAAATTGCACAAGATCTAATCAACATTATGAGGGAGAATCAAAATGAATCACCTTATTGCTAATAGCATATTCTTGGTAAATTATAGGTATAGTTAGTTATTCATTAAATTCATAAAATTATAGCATCTAAATTGATAGATTATTTTTAATTAAAATGGCTTAAAAATCTTAAAATTCTTCTTTAATTGATGATGAATAATCTTAGAAAGTCTATGATTATAATGATTCTCGTTCACAAGATTTATATAAGTAGATTCCCAATACCCATAAAAAAATCAAAAAGTACTCTGCAAAAAGAAAGTCTTGCAATTGGGGCTCAGGAAGGCCTTCAAAAAACGAAAAATCTGATTTAGAAATCCAAAAAAATTAATTATTATTGAAAGAAGTCCTTTCAAATTTATGGTTTGGTACAGATATCTCCTTGCAATTGATCACCTATCTCTGTAAAATGGGAAATATGATACCTAAAGTTGTGACGGGCATACCAGCATCCAAAAACAAGAAAGATTTTATGAAATATGACATTGACACTAATAAGGATATTAAGACTTACTAGAGTCATTAAGAAAAAAAAAAATATTCTAATTCACTTAAAAAGGACCTTAAAGTAATTAGTTAGCATATTCTTTAAGGACAAGCACAAGATGTTACTTGAGTATCTCCAATATTCAGAAGACACGACCTATTTGTTTTTGGGGGACAATAAAAACTGCCAAGATAAATTATATCTTGGCAATTATATAATGGAAAAGGAAACTAAAATTGGGTTGGAAGTAGTAATAAAGAACCTGTCACCGAAGTTTGTACCCACTTACAAATTTCTGGTTCAAGATTACTATTAAAATAACAATGTTAATTTTGAAATTTTGGTGGACAATATTTTGAACAATCTGATAGAAAATCAACAAAATCATAAGATGATCTTTGACAGATAACTAATATATGAATTGACAAAGGATGATATTAATCTGATCAATTAAATTGTATAATTTTATCTAATATTTCAAAGGAATCCAAACCATCCATGGCTGATTTTCATATGTATCAAAATACTAGCATTAGAAAACTTAATTTTTAATCTAATACGTTTAATGATGAAGTAGAAGAGATAAACAGAACATCACCATGGATTCGATAATTTATAGGTGGATTCATTGAAATTTTGTAGAATTGTGGTAAAAATACTTAAGCCAATAAAACACTTAGCGAATGATATTGAGTTTTGAATAATATTTTATTGTATAATTTAATTAATAAATTAGATTGATTTTTCGATCATTTATTAATGAATCCCAAGATAGAAACTTTTACCTTCTATTATCAGAATTATTTCAAAGATATAAGTAAAATCGAATTCATTGAGCATGTTCCTGATGAAATCCTAATTGATTCAAATGATAAAGATAATAAAACTAAGTTAGTAAAGATTGAATAATCGACCTTGGGAATATCAGTCTCAGCAATTGCTCTATTGTATCCAATTTGTCTTGAATTAGTCAAAAATGAGCAATATGAAGATTAAGCTTCTTGGATGATTTTATTTTTGAATGGTGAAAATTACACTGCATGGGGTATAAGACAAAGATTAAAAAAAGAGGAAGATCTAAAATTAACTGAATTAATTTGCATTAGATTTCCAGGATCATCATGTTCATTCAATTATCGTTAGCAATTTGAATCAACTTATGAAAATGAGACCAGATTCTTTTTAAAAGCATTTTAAAAGAAAAATAGAAGTTATCATCTATGGACTTATAGAATGAAGTATATTAAAAAGATTTCGTAAGAAGATAATACAATTTATGAGAAGGAATGCAATTTAATGAAGAACTTAGCAGAGAAAGATGTTCATAATTTTAGTATTTTTCATCATTTGATGATATGCTCAAGGTAGTGCGGGATGGAATTGATGAAATGGGCTTTGGAATTAAGGGACTCTTTCTCCTTGATGTATTAAGGATAAGTAAAGGATTGTGAGATCGATTTTAAGGCTCTTCAAAGTTTGAATTAGTTTATTAAGCATTTATAATGACTGAAAAGTACTTATTTATTGTTTGCCAAATATTATGTATATGATATATATATATAGTTTTTAATTTAAATATATTTATAATATAATGAGACTCATTGTATAGCAATATTATGGTTTTGGCTAGAAGAAAACATTTAAGATAGAAATCAATGATGATGAGACCTCAGATTAACTGATTACTGTAATCTCATCCAAAGTGGGACGTTCAGCATAGGATTTAGTAATAAAGTGCAAAAGAGATTAATATTCTGTAAAAATTGCATAATATTTTAGATAAAAATAATAGAGGGTTGGCCTATAGAATTTTATGAATTGCAAGATAACCAGAATATTTTTGTTGAAATCAGGGAAAATGAGTTGGATACAAAATAAAAAGAATAGAAGAGACAGACCGAAAAATACCTGAATAAGTTATTCATAAACTAAAGAGAAAAACCTTAAAAATTATCAGCAGTATCAGAAACAAGTGAAAATTCAGATGACGAAGCCAATTCAACTTCTAAGTAGAAATCATCAAATACCAATGTGGAACCAATATAATCTGATTTAGATGATAAAATATTTCAAACAGTAAAAAGTGGAAATTTGGATATGTTAAAATAACTTTGTTAAAAAATAAACACTTCGTAATTAAATCAAGCATCATTTGGTGGATGGAATCCAATTCATTTTGCAACTTTTTTAGAGTATAAATTAATTGTAGAATTTTTAATTTCTAAAGAGATTGACATAAACAAAGTTACAGATGAAGGATGGACTCCATTATAGATAGCAGTGCATCGTCATAATCTTGAGATTGTGAAGGTAATATTGAATCATCCTTAAGTTGATGTGAATTTGATAACAGACAAGGGAATTGCAATAAGTTTGGCATGCAAATCGAATCAATTAAAAATAATCGAACTCTTAATTTAAAGAAATGCTGATCTAAAATTATAAGATAAAACAGAGAGGACAGCCTATGATTATTGCAATCAGGCCACCAAGATGGCCATTGAATAAATGAAGAAAAGTAATCAAATGAAAGATCAATTAAAAAATGCGGATGATTTTATTCCTCCTCGACCACCCGTTGCCAAAGGATTCATATATAAAACAGGTTAAATGTTGGTCACCTTAAATGAGAGATTTTTTGTATTAAATCCAGATGAGGGAACTTTCATAAGATTTAAGAACATATCAGATTACCCTCTAAAACCATTGTAACTATAATGAAATTAATAGTTTTCAGAGAAATCATTCCTCTTAGAAGTGTTAGGAGTGTGCAAATGACTCAGAAAGGTTTAATTTCGAAATCAGGATATCACTATTTTGAATTGTTATATTCTACTAGAATTTTGTTGGCTTGTAAACATGATCACATAGCAAAGAAATGGGTGGAATATATCTACAAAGCAACAGTTTATCACCAATATATAGAGGAAAAGATAAAAGAGTAATATTAATTATAATTATCAAAGTGGAACCCTGGATCCAAATTTAATAGATAAGAATACTGAGGTTTTCATTGAAGACTCTAATTCTAAGGCTCCTTCTTCAGACCCTCCTCCAAAACAGTTATCGCCAGAACAATCTATCTCCTTACCTAGAGATGAGGCATCTATTATTCCAACCCGCTTATCAAATCCAGAACCTAGTAACAGATATAGCCAAAGTCCTCCTAGAAATACAGAAATTGAATAACCAAAGGCAATGTCTTAATCTTTACCATAACCATCAATTATGGAGAGTTAAAATGAATTACTTAAAGATAGCAAGGTGACTTTTGATTCATTTGAGGTCATCAAAGAGTTGGGATCAGGAGCATTTGGAAAGGTGTTTTTAGTTAAACATAAGGCAGATGGTGGTTAATTTGCTATGAAAGCACTTAAGAAAAAGACATTAATCTTAAAAAAGTAAATCAAGTATGCTATTACTGAAGCCAATGTGTTAAAGATGTGTCAGCATCCATTTATTCTAAAATTACATTTTGCATTCTAAGTATTATTTTATTTGTAATTTATCAAATCAGACTCCAAATTATTTGTACTTGGTTTTAGATTATTGCAAAGGAGGTGACCTATCTTATCATATAGCCAATTAAGGGAAATTCACAGAAGAAGCCACTAGATTCTATGCTGCAGAAATCCTCTTAGCTATTGAATATCTTCATACTAAAGATATCATCTACAGAGACATGAAACCAGAAAACATATTATTGGACAATAAAGGACATGTCAAATTAGCCGATTTTGGATTATCAAAAGAAGGAGTTACTGATCAAGATAAAGCAAAGAGTTTCTGTGGATCTCCTGCCTACTTATCACCAGACATACTAAGTCAAAAAGGTGCAGGTAAACCTAGTGATATCTATGGAATTGGATGTGTGATGTATGAAATGATGACTGGAGAATCTCCATATTATAATGATGATATACAACAGATGTACAAAAACATACAAAGTGGAACCTTGAAATGGCCAAAGAAAATGTCAATCGAAGCCAAAAACTTACTCACTGTAATAAAATATCTAATGTTAGAAAATGTTAGAGAGAGACCCAAATAAGAGAATAGGAACGAAATCAAAGGATGAAATCAAGCAGGATCCATTTTTCAAAGGAATCGACTGGGATAAAGTATATGAAAAAAAATATTAACCTCCAATCACAGACTTCTCTGAAATGCATGAAGATGACGATCAATAAGATTTTGAAGGAGATGAATTAGGTTATTATGGAAAAGTTAATAATATTATTTATCATTTTAGGCTATCTTTTAGGATTAGGATTACGAATAAGAAAACAATAAGACAAATAGAGTCAAAAACTTTAGTTTTGCCACTAATTCATCATGATATATTATATAATGAATGATTATTATCATTATTATTGTAAGTATAATATTAATTTTAATTTATTAATTGAACACGACATTAAATAATGCAAACCCCTGAATAAATCAAAGTGGAATCGAAAACTTGGAAAACCATCTATCCTCCCTATATTGACTCAACATTAACTACTGCATAAGGTAGAGTTATGAAATCTACAATCTAGGCAGAAGATTAGGAAAAACTAATTGTGTTCCATATCCCTAATTGATGGAGATATCTTAATGTCTAAGTTCACTTGGACTCAGACATGTGATCGATGTACTCAATTCATTTAATTAAGTAACATGCAGGATTTCCTCGGGATATCTTCAAGTAAGGTAGAATTAAGGTACGTCTTTATGCCGAAGATAAAAAGCCATATAATCCATAAGTTCAATGCAGTATTATATTACTAAATATCAGAGCATACTCTATTGTAATCCATTGCAAAACTGATTAAATCCATTCCAAACAGAAAGGTTGAAGTTCCTCCCTATATTAATTAAATGGAAATTGAAAAACAGAACAAGCCTGCTCAAAAAAAGTAAACTTCCAATAAAAAAAAGCATAAAAATGGATGAGATTGTGTTCAAAGTTATTATATTTTTAAGAATTTAATTAAATTTATTTTATCGTTATATTTGAACAATAATTTAAAATGATGAAGAATTAAAATCCAAAACAGAGTAACAAACCAAATCTATGTAAAATTACAAAATATCAAAGCATAGATTATTACCGATCTTTAACATTTGGAAGATATGGACAGACAGGATATTGAGTAATAAAAAATTTTGAAATTGCAATTGTCAAGAATAGAAAGTTTGAAAAAGGAGTATTCTAAAAAGGATCAAGAAATTTGTAGACTAGAACAACAAGTAGAGCAATTCAGAATATATTATGACAAATATGAAAATGTGAAGAAGCTTCTTGAATCAGCTTTGGAATAACTAGAAAAAATTGAAAATTAGAATAAAATGCTTTAAAAAAAATTGAGTGAATTTTAAGATACATATGCTAAATTAGAATTAAAACATTAATCACTTTTGGTTGATTTCAATAATGCAATCATGGAGAAAGAAGTCAATTAAATTTCTCAAAACAGTAGTTTAAGATTAGAACTTAATGAACTTAAATCATAATATAACCAAAAGATATAGCATATGGAAACAGAAATATAGAAGTATAAGTAAATTATTTAAGAGAAAGATGCACAAAATAACAATTTGACATTGTAATTAAACACATATTCAAAATAAATCCTTTAATACAAATAATAGGCTAAAAATGTCGATCTCATTTTGAAAAATCATATAGCTTCAACTAAATAACAAAATAATTCTTATCCTTAATCAGTGTGTGAAACAGACATTTATAAGGAAGATTAAAATTTGAAAATATTATGCTCTTAATTAACTTAGGATTATGATGAGGCTGTTAAAAGAATACAATAATTTGAAAGGTAACTAACTGAGTATCGAACAGAAAATCTAGAATTAAAGAAATATATTCAATACTTAACTGATAAATGAATATAATTAATTAGTTTTTAAGCTTCAAATATATAAGTATATAATTTAATCAATTTATAATATTTTTACATGCATCATTTCTACTTGAGTTAAGTGACTTTGATGGTGTAGATTTTGCTCTCTACTTTTGACATTTACTACTAAATCGTATATTTACTCTCTATTTATATTTTTTAATCATATGCTTAACTCTAATTATTTAGATATCACACATTGGCTAACTTTACAACTTCAAAGCATGGTTCATCTCTTAGAGAACAATTTTAATCTCCCAGATTATTAAATATTTACTAGGTCAAATGTATTACAATTTACAATTTCAATATTAATCTTGAAATTTCGTTATTTAAATATTAAAAATGTTATTAAATGAACTTTTACTCTCAATTTAAATCAAGAGAGTTATAACAATTTTATCCATTTTTTATCAAGTAGTGATATGAATTTCCATGTTGTTATAATATCAATATTTTCTTGTTATTCTTAATTTTATTCATTATTAATCATATTAAATGGTAATATTATCTGTTAATTTATTAAATCTACGTCAACTACTTAAGGGAGTAGTCAAAATAATCAAAACTTTTTTTTATCATTTTGAGCTATTTCAGATCAGCTTATGGACTTTGTATAAAGAATAAGGTGATAAAAATTAAGAGGAGAAGATTAATATTTAATGTATTGATTTATCCTAAAATAGATAATGGATGCCCTGTATTATCAAATTTGATTTCTAATAGGATAATTATTATAGTTATAAAATTCAATATAATGAAAATCCATCAAAAGTTTAGGTTTCTCTTGTTCATATGATTATTTGATTGAATTTGATATAATAAGTAGGGTTATATCCTTCATCCTCAAAATGAACTGATTTACAAAAGTGAGTAAAGGATGCTCTTTTTTCTAGATGATGTTCTAAGAGAATCGATTTTGGATAACTATCTTCAGAAAAAGATCTTCTTTTTGTTGAGCTAGATTTAAATTAAGTACTTTTTGTATATTTGAATTGTGAACAATGTTAATAAATATTTTTGCATTGATGTTTCTTTTATTTATTATGTTTTTTGGTATTAGTATATTAATCTAAAAAAAACTTTCGATTAGGATTTTTATGTATTTGAGCTGCCTCTAAAATATAATAATTTTTGATTATTTAATTAAAGCACTAATCATCTTCATCTTTCAATATCGGCTGTATATAATTCATAACTACGTTTTATTCTCGATTATCACAATTATGCTATGAATATTTGTGATGGTCACTTTTGAGTTAAGAGAGTGTTACATCTTAAGGACTGTCAGTTTGGCTAGTAGATATGCAATTAAATGAAGAACCCATTTTCGTAAATTATTGAATTATTAAGAATTTTTTAGAATTTATATGAATTATCTGGGTGGATTAATGTTGTGAATTAATATCTTAAATAAAGATATAATATTCTTATAAATATATAAAATTTGTTAATTTAAACTGTTTTTGAATTCCTAGGCTGAAAAAGTAAGTTAAATAATCAGATTCGAATACTGAATATAAAATATATCATAATAATTAAAATGAAAAAGAATTATAATATATGAGTCACTTATGATTAAATTATTGGGACAAACATAATTATTTTACGAGAAGATTAATTTTTACTATCAAACTAATAATCAAAATGGATATCTATTTTAGAGAAATTGTTATGTTCTCTCCTTCTTTAAGCCATTTTATATTAATATTTAACTAGTTTAATGGAAATTTCATCTTAGTGAGTGTTCAAATTTTTAACTGCTCTCAAAATTAAGGTAATCTTTATCCATGCAACATTAGTGTAGATTAAATAGTTTAAGTATTTGAATTTCGTTATAATTCAAGTTAATGTTATATATTAATTATTATATTAACAATACATATGTTGACTAAATTGCTCTTAAAAGCAAGACAAGCTTCCTTTTGTGGTATGATCAATAACTGAAACTATAGTTTACATCAAGAATTCCGTCAACTATCATGTAGCCAATAGCTAAGATCCTAATAGCAAATTCGCGACTCCTTAGTTCAATTCAAGCATTCTTGATTTCGATAAGGATTAAGAGAATAATGTGTAAATGCATTATTACTAAGGTATTAAACTATTATTTTAACAATTAGGCAAATTCATGCCTGATGAACTGGATTGGACCGATGTTTGGGAAACTGCATATTAGAATTTTACTTAACCAGAATATTTATATCACTTTTGGTTTTGCGGTGTATTGTATTGCTTTGAACCTGAATGGACAATTAATTATCCTTATGAGAAAGGACCACTCTCACCTCTTTTTAGAGGAGAACATGCTTTAAGAAGATATCCAACAGGAGAAGAAAGGTATATTAATTTAATAATTGAATAGATGTATTGCTTGCAAATTGTGTTAAAGTGCTTGTCCAGCTAGAGCAATTACAATAGAAACAGAACCAAGACCAGATAATTCCAGGTATATTATTATTGTAATATCATTTTAGACGTACAGTACGTTATGATATTGATATGACTAAATGTATTTATTGTGGATTTTGTTAAGAAGCCTGTCCTGTCGATGCAATTGTAGAGGTATTATATATTATAAAATACCTAGGGACCTAATTATGAATATACAACTTATCAACATGAGGACTTATTTTATGATAAGTTTAAGCTTCTTGAAAATGGTGATAAATGGGAACCTCAAATTGCTAGAAATATTGAATATTTAATCACAAGAAAATATTGATTTATTATTTTCAAATATAAAGAAAAATATATATTTTATAAGATCATATTATAGTACTATTTACCTATGAGAGGAGATGATTGACTAAATATTTTGCTTAATTAATTAATCGATAATTATGTCGATATTTTTGTATATATATCCATAATAATTTAATTATATATAGTTTTATTATTAAGAATCCCTTACTTTGCATCTTAATGATATATATTCTTTTATAAAATATCACTCTTAGTTTAGAAAATACAATTTGATTAATTTAGTTTAAAAATTAATAATCAGAAAGAGAAAAACCTATGAATTGATAGGATAAATTTTAATTAGATTGATTTACTAATTTAGTTTAATTTTTCATAATTTAAAATAAATATATTGGGATAATTTTGATCAATTCAAAGGGCTTGTTAAATTATTTAAATTTTGGATTGATATTTGCATTTATTGGCATATAAATCCACATGTGAATAAATAAATTTCATTATTTTGAATCAATAAACATAATGCTTTTATATTAGATATATCACAACATTATAATAATTCTAATTTGATATTAAAATCTCAAATGATGTAAATATTTATTCCAATATTTATATTATCAAAAATTAAGATTGGAAGATTTATTCATGATCCAAGTTTAGTTATGACAAAAAGAGTGATCATGAGTTAGACATTATAGGTAAATGATTGCAAAAGAAGAACTCACTGAAAACATTTAGTTAGGAATACTATAACTAGTATTTCATAGGGAATTAAAATAAGTTTAAATATTAATTAATAAAATTAAGTCACATGACATATTATGAAATTATAATAAAAATTAGTTTACATGATCTCATTCATTTTATAATAAATGCAAAGAGACTCCCTATTGGAAAGAAAGGAAACCTTATAATAATTGAATAATGCTAAATTTGGATGGTTTCACATAAAAGCCTGTTTGGTTTCTGGAATAGGATTTTTCACAGATGCATATGATTTGTTCATAATTCAATTAGCAGTTATAATGATTGGGATGGTTTATTACCACGATGAAGTTCGTGATGGTGATACCGTAATAAAGAAGGCAGATAAGCTCTACCCTGTATCTGAGACACTACTTAAGCAATCAGCTTTAATTGGTACCTTGATTGGTTAATTACTATTTGGATACTTGGCAGATTTATTGGGTAGAAAGAAGATGTATGGAACTGAACTCTTAATAATAGTATTTACAACTGTTACTTCAGCTTTGGCAGCTAATACTGCAGCTCCAAACGGATTGACAATAGTGGGAATGCTAATAATTTGGAGATTTCTTTTAGGAGTCGGAATAGGAGGAGATTATCCATTGTCTGCAATAATAACATCTGAATTTGCGAATACAAAAAACAGAGGTGCTATGATAGCAGCTGTATTTGCAATGCAAGGTTTCGGTATACTTACAGGAAGTTTAGTATCATTATTGGTTCTGTTCTCTTTTAGTAATACTTTGAATAGTTCTGATCCTCTCAATTATTTATAGATTGATCATGTATGGAGAATCATAGTTGCTTTCGGAGCAGTCCCTGGACTTGTAGCAATATACTTCAGAATGACAATACCTGAAACACCAAGGTTTACAATGGATATAAAAGGAGATGTTGGAAAGGCCAAAAAAAATGCTTAATAAGTTTTGAAAAATAACAGTAACGATATTTCAGAGGATGGGACTAGTTTAGATGATTCCAATTAGAAGATACAGAAACCATCATTTTATGAATTAAAGAGATATTTATCCAAGTGGAGAAATGGTAAGATTCTATTGGGAACAGCCATGGCCTGGTTTGCTTTAGATGTTGGATTTTATGGTATCAACCTTAATTAAACTACTATTTTGAAGTAAATGGGTTTTGGAAGTGGATCAGATCTCAGTTAATATGAAATCCTTAAATAAGCCATTTATGGAAATCTCATCACTTCAGCATTGGGAACTGTTCCAGGATATTGGTTGACTGTACTTTTTGTTGATAGATGGGGAAGAAAAAAGATTTAAATAATGGGGTTTGTTGCTCTCACCATTTTATTCACAGTGATGGGGTTATGCAAAGATATATTAGGCCATTATTTATTCATAACACTTTATACATTAGCCAATTTATTTAATAATTTTGGTCCAAATGCTACAACATTCATTATTCCTGGAGAAGTCTTTCCAACCAGATATAGATCAACTTGTCATGGAATATCAGCAGCTTCAGGAAAATTAGGAGCGATAATTTCCTAAGTTTGGTTTCTGGGTTTGGGAGCTGATAATTTCTAAGCAATAATGTTAGTATTTGCAGTTTTTATGGCAATTGGATTAGCATTTACTTTTTTGATTCCTGAAACAAAAGGAAAGACTTTGGAAGAGATTTGTGAAGTTCAATTGAAAAGTAGTTAGATTCAATGTGTATGATATTTTATTAGTGTTAATTAATTATTTATTCATACTAAAACATGAAAACTTTATTTCTGTCTTCTAGAATTAATGTGGATTGAGATGGTAAACGTGTTAGAACCAAAAAAAATGACTAAATCCTTATTCCAGTATTTTATGAAAAATAAATTAAATAATGATAAATAGTATTTTATTATATTTTATTTGGAAATAAATGTAAATTCAAAAGTCCAGTTTCTCAACACATTTTCATCAAATATCTCCTCCTCTCTTAATGACAAAACGAATAAAATCAGAAGGCCAAGATTTTTTAACTGAATTAGATTTGAATGCTCAAAATTCCATTAAGAAAAGGGTGCAGAAAAGCGAAGTTTAAATGACTGAGGCAAATCACAAATTGATTCCAAGTAAGAACATTTAAGAACATAGAATAAAAAATGAACATTCAAGCAAGGAAGAAGGTTATTAGAACTAAATAACCATCCTTGCCTTATCTCAAGCTTGATAATAAATTATATTATGATAAGTGGTACATCCCTTATGATCAAAGATATATTCCAAAAGTTAATTTAGCTCAAGAATCATATCAAGGTAATTAGAATGATATCATAGATCCATACCACTTTTACAAAAATATGCATATAGCAGCTGCACAATACAACCCATTCGAAAAGTAGTTGCCAAAAGATCTTGAAAGAAATATTGAATACAAACATCGAGCAGACGTATTAAAGGAAATGTTGAAAGGTTAGAAAATGATTTATGAATTCAGAAAGTAAATCAAATGCTTTTATATGAAGATCTTTGGAGTCAAATCAATAACGCATTCCATAATTTGTAAAGAAAATAATGGAAGATAAGAAAAATCCACTTTAAAAGTAGTAATGATTATTCAACTAATCAAAATTTTACATTTTATGGGACCCCAGTTGGTTTCCATAGTCTTTTCTATAATTGTTATTTAGTGGATTACTATTGTTGCACCTTAGGAAATCTTGCTTAATTAAACTATTCTAACAATTTTGAGTTTGTAATTCTTCCAAATCGCTTTGGAACTGATATATTCATAACCCTCTAATCAACTGAATTAGAATTTCTATAAGTTTGAGTGAATGAATTCACTTTAGTACTATATTCAGCAGAATCTTTTCTTTATTAAGCTTATGAAAAACTACCATTCTTACGATTATCGTCTGTTCCAAATGATGTTTATCTTGTTTCAACGGAATGAACTTTATTTCTTGTTTAGTTACTGTTGAGTTAAGAATTTTCATTCATTTATATTAATTTAGTTCCATAAAATATTCCTTTGATGAGCTCTTAATTGATAGATAAGATTCCTTATCCATCTTAAATCCCCTGCTTCCATTATCCCTTATAAAATGAGCCATCATGCCAATACATTGTTCCTTGGCCATCTCTTAAATCATTTAAGAATGATCCCTCATAACGGTTCCCATCAGCCCATATGTAAATGCCCTATCCTGATTTCTAATCATTGATATATTCTCCATTATATTAGTCGGATAATCCATTGCCTCTTTTCCAAATTCCTTTTCCATGTCTAACTCCATCCTTAAATTCTCCCTTATAAACTGCTCCATTGTTCCAAAAGTACTCCCCAATTCCATTAGGCTTTCCTTTTTAATATTATCCTATGTAAGTATCACCGTTAGTAAATTTTTCAGTTCCTTAACCATCCTTTAAACAATTTTTAAATTCTCCTTTGTAACGATCACCATTAATCCATAAATGCACACCATAACCATCTGGAATTCCTAATTTCCATTCTCCAATATAGGAGTCTCCTTTAGAGCCCTTCCAAATTCCAGAACCATGTTTCTTTCCTTACAACCATTACCCTTCATAGGTTTCATCATTTTGCCATTAAAATTTACCAGTTCCCTCAGGTTTTCCATTCTGATACTACCCAATGTAGAAGGAGCCATTAAAAAACAACTCTATGCCTCTTCCGTTCTTTTAGTTATCAGTAAAAACTCCTTCAAAGATGCTTTTCTGGTATTTATAGTGAATTCCTATCCCATTCTTCTAACCATTGAGCACAATCCCAAAAAAGAATTATTGCTTATCAAATATGCTTGTGAAATTGGGATTTTCTATCATTTCCTCGTAATTCTCAATAATTTGAGGCTGACTGAATAGTGTAGCTAATCTACCTTATAATTTTGGATGAATTATTGAGCTTCATCTTCTGTTATAGGGAATGGACAATTGTGTAAGTGTTCAAGAACTGAGTTTACAGACAGATGGGTTTATTAACAAAATGAGAGCCTAGTAGATGTAAATTAATCTGTTTAATTATTCATACTTTAAATAAATTATTAAATTGAAAGACAATGCTTTCTAATTGAGGGATGAAATAAAACAATCAGTTATAAAATACATTTAAGAGCACTTGAAAATTTGAATTATGTTATTGCTTAAATGGAAAATTTTTAAATTAAAGGCAAACCTTATATAATGTAGACTATCAAAAATATTTTTTGATTTGCATTTAATTAGATTTATGATCCCTTATCAAAGCAATCTTACTTGAATTATGAGTTTTATATTGAAAAAAAAGAACACTGAATAAATGGATTGGCATATCTGGGAAAAATAATTATTTTTAAGAGAAATAATAAATTAAGAGTACTCAGTATAAAAGACCTGAGGATTTAGATAATAATAGAATTTCTATTTATTATAATTGATTATAGAGATTAATTAGCTGTGAGGAGAGAAGAAGCAGCACGGTTGAAAGTAGAAATTGAACCCTAGAAACAATTAGAAGAAAATAAACACTAGAGCTTGTTAAATGATGGATGCAAAAAATAACCTGAACCAGATTATAGTATTTATCTGTAAATTGCACATTGTAGGAGACAAAGAACCTTTGAAAGTTAAAACAAAAGAAGGAATGGTATGAATACAAAATTTAGAATATCCTGAGGATTTCCCTCTAGTAAATATTACAATGGTATTTATTAGATCTTAGTTATTTCTTAAAAATCTACAATTAAATAGGTGATTTTCTGCCAATGAAATTGAAATAAGTATAAATACTGAAGGAGGTCTGAAATTATGACCAATAAAAAGATCATAAGTAATATACTTTCGATTTTAAAAATTGAATCAATTGAATTACAATTTCTATAAGAATTTGATTTAAATTATTTATTGAAGGAGATAATAATAAATTTATTTGTAATAATATTAAATTAATATGCATAAAAACACCAAAAAATGTGAAAAATGATATCATTACTTTTGTCGCTTAAAAAATAACAGAGTGATTTACTTGAATCAATTAGTGAATTCTGGATAATTCACTTTATGGTACAATTACTGGCTTTAATTTTTTATCCTAAGAAATTTGATATAGGTTTACTTTTTGATTCATCACACTTGAAAATTAAAAGTGTTATAATAAGGCTTGACGACCTTGGATTCTGGCATACCTCAATTCGCATATCTACATAAATGAAAAGTAATTTACTTTTTCACTATTGAAGTGTGGCCAACCATTATCATGAAAGTCCTTATAAAATTACACAATGTAAAGTGGATGGATAAAATTAATGAATGCATAACCCATGTTACATTTATTCTAAATTTAGTATTTTCGTTGTAATTACCTTGAAATCAATGGGGAGATACAAGAAATCGTATAAATCATGATGTTTAAGGTCAATCAAATCTTACAACATTTGAATTGTGTATTTGTTTGGTATGTTCTTGATCATAATTGTTGTTCTTTCATCAGAATAATTAATGACATCCTCGAGTCTGACAACAAAATAAGGAGATTCTTCCTCCGAAATGGTCTTTCTTTTTCTCCTTTCTGTTTCTGAGCCACTAGTCAACAAGGATTGGCGAGATGAGCCCAATTATAAGCAAGGTTCATTGGACATCTCAGTGGAAAGATTAGAGCCCACTTTCTAATCAAAAGATTTATTATTAAAGACTTGGGAGATCTATTCCATTATTTAATCAGATGCTAGACTATTTTCTTTCTTATAGAGGATTACTTTAGGTTCTAGAGAATTAAACTTAATTATTTAATTTACCTGCGAACATTTTAATAGCTCTATCAATGGTATCACTATTTGACTTGCTTTCTTAGCTCTCTTTGCTTTCATTCGACATGTTGTTGGTAACTTTCTCAATTTCATCAAATAATTCTTGTGAACTGTGGTCTTTTTATTTTGATAAGATCTCATTTAAATCTCTGTGATTTCTAATACATTGCAAGATCTGTTCCTAATTTAAACGAATCTGCTTGTCCATTAAAATATTAAATTTTATTTTTTTTAGTGTAATTCTTATAACAGTCCTCAAATGGTAATGCAGTATTAAGATTTTTGAGTTATCCACAAAACAGAGTGTAGGTACATCCAATAATCAATCCAAGAGATAGAAAATGACAAAAAGTTATTTTAAAGGAGATCTTTCATAATCAGACATGATAGTGTTGACAGAGTCAGAATTGAAGAGAATAAAGGTATTTTAAAGACATTGAAAATAGAATCTATCAGTTATAACAACAAAAGAAGAGTAATTGCAACATAAAAAGTTGATGGAAGAATAGAAAGAGTAATAGTTGGCAGCTGCCTAAGCCAAAAAACAGAGAATGTTATAGATTGAAGAGGAGAAAAAGAAATCTATTCCACTGAGTTAACAAGAGCAGGAAGATAAATTTGCCAAGGATTCCTTGATATCAAGAGTTTTATAATATATTTATGTCATTAGGCATAGGAAATAATCAATGAACAAATTGATGATGTCAAAGAGATGAATAAAATGGTGATGTATGCTAAATGCGTTACAATCAGAGATAAATAATTGTAAGAAAAAAAAGAGTTATATGATCAGTACAAAATGCAAGAAAAACGCAAGGACTTGATGATGGAAATAGAGAGACTTAGAGCAATCAAATATCATGAAGAAAAGGATTAGAAGTAAAAACAACAATTAAAACATGGACATGAAATCATCATTGAATAAATTAAAGAAAGAGAATTGATAAGATTGAAAGAAAAGGAAGAACAAGAAAGAGAAGGTCAGATTATGCTTAAATAAATTAAACAATTATAATAGGAAGAAGCACACAAGGCCTAACTTAGAAAGACTCATCAAGCTAAGGTTCAAGATGAAATTCTGGAGGCCAATCATAAGGCTATTTTGATTAAGGAAAAAAGAATACAAGAAGAGAGGGACGAAGAGGATAAAATATTATAATACAACTTACAAAAGGCTTAAAAGGAAGCTGAGTTCTTAGAAGAGCAAAAGAGAATTAAAGAAGAGAAGGAAAGAGAGGTGCAGAGATTGAGAGAAATGTAAGAGAAGGCTCAAGATAGAGCCGCTGAATTGGACCTATTAAGAGCCAAAAGAGCTATGGAATAAAATGAAAGATAGGCAAGAGAGAAAGAAAGAAAAGAATAAGAGTTAAAGATGAAATTGAATTATGAAGTCATGGAAGCCAGAAAATTACAATAAAGGGAGAAGCTTGAGAGATATTAAGAATAAGTAAATTATAAATACTATGAGAATAGGCAAAATTAGAAAGAGATGAATTCCAAAAGGTTATTTAGAAATAAAAATAAGAAAGAGAAAATGAGATTAAAATCTTATAAGATAAAGAAGCATTAAGAAAAAAGCATGCTGAAGAGCTAAGAAAATAAATCATTTAGAATGAAGAGAGAAAGAAGCAAGAGGAAAGAGATAAGTAATGTTATCATAAATTATGAAAGACTTGAAGAAGGTAAGAAAATCAAGGATAAATTGAATTAAGAAAAAAGACTCTTAGAGACCATTAAAGATACTAAACTCAAGGATCTTAACGAAAAAGCCATCCCAGATAAGTATAAAGCCGAATTAGCTAAAAAGAAAATCGTTATAAATATTTGATCCTTTATATTTGCTAATTTATATATCGATTTATTAATTATTAAATTAAGGATCAATTATGATATTTAGACATCATTTAAATCATATTAATATCTAATTGTTTTTAATGCAAGATAAGTGATATAACTATTAAGTCATAAAAAATATACATAGAATTTTTATTGATAACCAAAAATTTCTGAGTTTAAGATTTCATGTATGTACATAATTTAATAACTATAAAATACTACTAAAACTAATGTGAAGCTACACTTAGGATTCTTTGAAATATAAAATAGGTAAAAACAATTTTAAATCCATTATGAGAATTAAATTCTATTTCCATTAAAGGATATTAAATGGAAATCAGTTATTCTTTGTTTAATTAAACCAGATTTTGTCCAAGACTTTAGAATATGTGATTTAATAAAATTTATTCGAATGTTATCAAAAATAAGTAGTATTTCAACAAAAGAAATCTTTTGGAAATTATCTGATGCTTAATCTAGGTGCTCTAGCTTTTGTTGGCATAATTTGTCTGGCTGTTCGAGTCTATTCAAAGTGATGTTTTAATTCAACTGTAGAAAGCAATAACAAATCTAAGAGGTTCTAGTTTTCAAATTTTTAATTTTTATTTTATCTTTAAACTGTTCCTCTTACGGAATGCAAATGATCTTCTCTATCGCATTCTTCAGTTTTAACTCTTCTAACTGCTGCATTTTTTTGTAATTTTAACATAATTTCCTAAGATTCCTATAAGACATTTTTTTTAGGGCTTTGGATGTAATTTTCTACTGCTGCTTCTGTTTTTTATTTTCTCGAGATTACTTAAGAATCATTGCCCATTTCTTAAAGTCTTTTTTTTTGTTTGATTTATTAAGAATGAAACGAATTGTATTTAAGCTAAGGTTTTTCTCTACTGGGACTTGAGGAGGATGCCTGTCGGTGTGAGTTAATTTTAGGATTGCTTTTAATTCTGTATGATGGAGATTCTTTTTATTTTGGAATGTTTTTTTCAGGAGTTCTAACTTTCTATAAATATTAAGCCACCGAAGGCAACACATTGACTTTTTAAGATGGTCTTTAAAATCTTGATGTGTGTAAATAGAAAGGCTATCTATTGAACATCTTAATTAGAAATTTAATAAATATAGAAATCCAACGCTAGGCTGTAAACAATGTTAATAAAATCATTTATTGATCTAAATCTCAGCTCATATAACTTCCATTTGTACTCTATAGATGTTACTAGCTATCACAGATTATCGATAGCATTGCTCTTATTTTATTACAATTTGTTCAATATATTTCAATACTGGTATTATTATAAAACTATACACAATGTAATCGGTCTTATCTATTCTTTCGAGATATTCAGAACCAAAATAAATATATTCTAATTAAAATGGATAGATTTGATATCAATAATATCGTTATTAATACCTCTTCTCTAAACATTAAAAATCATACCATTATATTTGCGTTGAATTAAATATATTAGATGTGATGAAAAATTTGGTAGTCCATTTACAAAATTACATTAATCACTACATGCTGATTTAGTTTCAACAATTCTTATATCTAATTTGGGTGATTTAGCTCTAATTTCATAATTTTATACTAATAAGGAATCCAAAAAACTGTGGCATCCTTAAAAATAAATTTTCATCTACAATAAATCTTTGAGATGAATAGATCCTCAAATTATTTACCATTATTACAGACTCCTAGTTTAATCTATAGTCTTCTTGACTATTTTTACATATTTTTAGCCAAATTATTTATTATAATATTATAATATATCAATTCTTTTGAATCCAAAATTAAATAAATGAATTTCTCCAATTTGTAATTTATAAATATTAGAAAGCCCAAGCCTTTTAATCACGTGAATAAACTTTTTATAACCTCAATTGAACTATCATTTTTCTAAAAAAGTAGACTTAACAAACTGAATAAAGAAGATTTCAATATTTGTATATAACTTTATTAGAATTTATTAATTAATTATTATTCGATGACAAGAATAAATATGGAAGAACATTTTTGATAGAAACTTCAGAGTCATTATATATATAAAAATTTAATAGAACTCATAATTGGATTCATTTAAATTGTTTATAGTTCTTTTGAATGGAATGTTCTCAGTATAATGTAATAAATAATAGAATAAGAATTTTTTCTTAGATAATACCACTTTCTTACTTTTATTAAAATTTAAAATAAAAATTCAAACAGATTTATTTTTATTTTTTTAAGCAATAGAAAAGAACAAGTAAACATAAAATTATAATCAATCCTTGCTTCCTTTTCTTGTTTGAAGAATATTTTTGAACAAGGGAATTGCGATATTTGGAGTTTGATGAATGGTTTGATGAATGGTGGCATCTTTTATTTAATCAGCGTAAATTTTTTCAGCTATATATCTAGAATGTATAATATTTCAATTGAATTTACATATGTAAGCAGCTTGTTTTTTGTTGCAATTAAGATTGTTATATTTTGTTGTATTAAATTAAATTCAAATAAACTTATTTTTAAACATTTCTTAAGATTTATTATTTCAACTGAATTTCCCTTTATTTATAGACAATTGCTTTTACCTAAGTATTTAATGAACGTTGCAAATAAAAGTTTCGACTTGTGAATTCTCCAAATTTTTGGTTTAATTTCTCATCGGCTTGACTAATTTTTCTGCTTAGTCTTTATTGAAGGAGACTATTTCTGATACATTTTAATCTACACTCTCTAGCATTCTAAAATTTATTTATCCAACTTCTATATATAATTATCATTCCTTACTTCTTCTCGCTTTTGCATTTTTCATGAATTTTGCAGTTCTATTTCTCTATGCTTTATTATGGCAATCTGGAATATAATTAATAAAGAATACAATTATTAATAGCTTAAATGAGATGAAAAAAGCTTGAGACAAACTCGAAATGTTCAGAATCGCTTTCAGATTCAGATCTCATATTATATAAATTAATTTAATTAAATAGTTCGCAATTTCATGTGTTATTATCCAATGATAATTTTTTTATCTCCAACTATTTTGATTGCTATAACTTATTTGTATAATGAGAAAATAGATGCCAATTAATTTTAATCACAGAATAATTTATTTAACAAATTAATTTGTTTAGTATATTATTCCAATAAGCCTTTTGTGTAATTCCGTTGATAATAATATTATATTATTTTCTTTTATGCAAATGTAATAAATTTAAGAACCAATAATTTTTAATTTGATGAATTACAAAAGGGGTACACTTATCATTTCATTCTTATTGAAAAAAATTCAATACTTTCTAAGTTCTATGAATGAATCCTAATTGCATTTTATTTGGATTAGATTAGAGTGTTGAATGATTTTTCAATTTAGTGAAATAAATAAGTATTTCTTCAATTAATTCAAATAATTAGTCAATCTAATTATCTATTCTTTCAGTTATTCATTTTAAAAGGAAGTGCTGTTTTATAATACTTAAAAATAATTATCCAACTAGCTTTATTGATATATTGGATTAATATGTCAAATTTGTTTGCTGAATTGATTGGGACGTTATAAGATTTAGAAGTGAAGTAGGAAGTACTTAAAATGGAAGTTTCTGAAGATAAGGAAGAGACCTCTATGATAGAATAAGAATAAGAAACTCTCTAAGAAAGGATAATTGGTGAATAGTAGTAAAATTATCAAATTGTCTCAATCTTGAAATCATCATGAGATCAGGGACAGAGAAGAAAGCATTAGAAAGGACTATCTTAGAAGCTGAACATATTAAAATAACATTCAAAACTCTATTAGTTGACTTATAAATAGGATCATAATATCACAATTAAAGAACAATGATCACATATCTTACAACTCAATTAATTTAAACTCTCTTCAACTCCAATAAAGCATCGAATGTTATAATTATTTGTGCATATAAACATCTATAGTTTGATGTCTTATATTTTCTATGATTATACCAAGAAAACATTTGTGATTGACATTTTGTTTAGAAGTAAGCCATCCTTAAATTAGAACTAGTTCTTAAATATTCAATATAAAATTTTGATTAAAATTCTATATACTTTTCTAATTGTGAAATTTCGTAATTAAATTAATAAAATGAGTTCACCTGATAAATCACCATTATTCAAGTTTATTATCATTGGAGATGCAGGTATTTATCAACATTCAAAAATTCTAAGGAGTTGGAAAGTCTTGTTTATTGATGAGATACATGAAGGATGATTTTACAACAGAATACAATGTGACTATAGGAGTGGAATTCCTATCAAAAGTTGTCAATATCAACGATGATACTAAAGTGAAACTATAAATTTGGGATACTGCTGGTCAAGAGTCATTTAGATCTGTAGTCAGATCATTTTATCGAAAAGTGGCTGCAGTTTTCTTAGTCTACAGCATCACAAAGTATTAAGTTCATATTGAAATTTAATAGCAAACAATCCCTTGAACGACTCGATTCGTGGTTAAAGGAGGCGAAGGATCACTCTTCCCCATCGATTATCACAGTATTAGTTGGTGCTTAGAATGATAGAGAATCAGAGTACTTATAATATTATATGCAATAGACGAGAAGTATCTTATGAAGAAGGCAAATATTGGATGGAAACAAATGGGCTTAATCTATTTTTTGAAACCTCCTCAAAAACAAGAGAAAATGTGGATGAGGTTAATATTATTAATCTATAATGAGGCATTTGCTGAAACAGCTAAGTTAGTATTCTTAAATCACATAAATGGAGGTGCCAATAATGAAGCTAAATTGCCTGCTCTTAATTAAACAGATTTAAGTGTAAAGAAGCTTCATCAACCTTTGGAAAAATAGGAAAAAAAAAATGATGAAAACAAAAGTTGCTGTTGATGTATATAATAATATAATTCTATATGCAATTTTGGTAAATATTTAATAATGTTACATATTTTACAATGTGTAAAAATTTTGTTAAGAGTATGTGTAAATTTAAAATTGATTTTGCAATTCTACATTTATCTACAAATAGTTTAATCCTTTAACTCAATTGTGTTTCTTTAGGTAAATATTAAATTACATACTATTTCAATTGAACACCTTCTTCCTCAATTAACCCATATGTAATGCTATATATACAGATAAAATATAGGTTAATCTAAAAGTAATTACCCAATAATAATATTATTATTATAATGTTATTAACTATAGTTAGAGATGATTTAAAATCTCAGCTGATATACGAATAATATATATTATGAATATTTTCTGATAATAAATATATATCAATTCACATTTTAGAAGAAGAACGACCAATAACTAAATTTTAGTATAGTATGCAAGGTTAATCATCAGAATCGGCCTCATAATTATCTTCATCATTATATTAAAAGTTTTCACATGACTTAACTCTCAGATCACTAAACTATTTTTATGTGTTTAAGTTGATGTGACTACCACCATAATGATTAACCTTGGAAGTATTAAATGATTTAATAGTTCCAGCAGGACTTTGTGCATCATTCAAAACGATGCTGTTCTTTGGAACTTCTAAATATATGATGTGATTTCGACTATTATTTAACCTACCATTAATAAATTTGGTTTCTTATTAAGCAATTTTGTTCATGGAATTAATGACTTCTTATTGTTTGTCATCCTGTAGATCATCAAATTAATTATCATTTTCAATCATGTCAATTGATACACTCATTTTATCATTATTAGTTTCTAATAAGGACTCCCAATCCATTTTGGCATCTGTAGTCAACTCATCCTGTAATAACTTAGTCAAACCCATGTAATCGGGTGTTTGATTGAATTCATAAGACTTAGCAATTTACAACATTTTCATTAAGCACTATAATTTAATGAAGTTTTACTTTAGGAATTTTGTCAGAATATTTCTCCAATTCGTTATTCTACTTCAGTACTAATATCTGTTTGTATTTTTCTTCCTTCGAAGCCACCTGGATATTCTACCAAGGTAATTCACCAAGATGAAAGTAGATTAGTACATATGCGATGGCTTCTATATCGTCTCTTCTACTCTACTCATTACCTTTTTCAAATAAGAAACAAACCTAATAAAGCATTAATGCTGGCATATCTGGCTGTTCCAATCAAGCCTTTGTTATTAACAAAGGGTATGTGTTTGCCTGCTGTGTCTCTATAGTACTTGGCAAGGCCAAAATCAATAGCCATAATTTAAGTAGCATCTTGTCTGCTGATAGTGAAATTTTCTGGCTTAATATCACGATGTATGAAATTCTTCTCATGAAAGGCTTACCTAACTATATCAATCAAGATACATACAATCTTTCGATGATCTAAATGCCTATTCTCAATGTAGTATGAATTGAGAATCTATTACCACACTTCCTTAATAATTATTCCAAATTCAACCCTAAGTAGGTTTCCATAAAGAAATTATAGTTTTCATCCCTTCCATAAAACTTGATTTGTGGAAACCCTTTTTATAGTTTAATAGTTAATCTAACCTTTTAATCCATTAATTTCCGACAGAACCTTAATTTCTCTGATGAGTAGACTGACTCCTTTTTGGGAATCGTCTCGTTTTTCGAATTTTGCTGCTACTAAATCTCCATTTTTTAAATACTAAGACTTAAACACCATTCCGAATGAACCTGCACCTATCTTCTCTAATAATTTATATTTGCCTGCAATAACCATTCCTGCAGTCAATTTCTTCTATTTCCACACCATTGCTTCATCCATTTATTAAAAATTATATTATTATCATATTCATCAATCAAAGTCATCAATATCCTACTTTTAAATCTCTATTTTCTTTGCAGTTTGTCTTTATTTCTTCTTCTTTCTAGTATCTTTCGAAACTCTATCAATGTAGGATCCTGCCTTAAAGACATCAAAAATCTTCATATGCATAATTTTATTAATGTTATTGGTGTAGGCAAAGAGTCTCAATAATACATATTCCTTTTGAATGTCCGTCAGATCTAAAAATAATTAATCCAAACAATAAAACAAATCCTTTGGTTTCATAAATCCATGTTATTGTTTATTCAATAAATCGAATTAACTCCTCAAGGCAGTTTCATACTTGTTAACAATTGCGCTCACTTCTTCCCACAGTTGCTTATCCTACTCTTGAGTCAATAAATCATAACAATTAAGCAGATGTCTAAAAACAGACTTCACAACTGGCAATTTAACAGTAGCTTATGGATCCAAACTAACAATTTCATCATTTACATCTTCCACAATATATCTGGCAATTATCTTGGCTTCATTAGGATCAGCCATTGTAAAGGGTTCTTAGAGTAATTAATCTTGCAATTATTCTACGCTAATAGCATTATTTGATGCACTTTATATTAAGATAGCACAAGCTTCACTTACAGTAATTTATTTCAGCTGCAATCGTAAACTCAATTCCTTTCCCATATCTTAAACTTGTTCATATCTAACTCTAGGTGCTTTTGGAAATTTCTTCTCTTGTTTATTGTAGACATCATGCAAAATAGTAAAAGTATGATCTCTATTACCCTGTATAATCGGCAAGGATTCAGTCTCTAAGGGTTGAATTTCTGCCAAATAATACTCATTCAATTCTTTCAATTCATCTCTCATCTATTATACTTATAGATTCAACCCTTAGAGTTCGTCAATCAATGCATTTTTACTCCTCAATTCATAATTCGTTCTTTCCTATAATTTCTCTTTCAATTAATTAATTATCTACTCTTACTGACTAATTTGCTAATCCTTCTCTATAATCTCTGCTTTTTTATCATCTATATCAATAACTTCTTTTTTCTTAATTGTTACTTTTTGATTTTATTGTGTTTCTTTTTGTTTCTCTTCAAATTTAATCATCTCCTTTTTTAAATAACGCAGATCTCTTTCCTTCTCCTTCAACTCATTCTTGGTCTAATCTAATTCCAAATATTATTGTGAAATCTTCTTCTCAAGCAAACTTTTTTGAATTGAGAGATTCTCACTTTGTTCTTCTAATAATTTCTTGGTTATTTCCAATTCTTGGATTTCCACTTTGAGATCTTCTACTTCATTAGGCATCAAATTCTATTCTTGTTTTAATGATGATGAACAATAGTTCAGATATTCGATAAGAATATTTTACTCTTGAGCTCGAGTGTAATTTGGATTCTTTTATAATTATTTGATTTGGCTTTGTTTCTCTTCAATTTGTGAATTAAGTTAATTAATTTAGATTTTCAGTTTTATTCCCAACCAGCTTTAATTTCCTTGTTTTTCATCCTAAGTAATTTTAGATCTCTATTTCTCTTGCTAAGTCTAGGAGATGTTAATTTACTTCGATCAAACTCATCTGCTACTAGAGATTTCTTTATTCTAATTGTAATTTGGATAGTGTTTTGGATAGCTGGAATTATTTCTATTGCAGATTTTCCTCTGATAATTTGGAATTCAACTTGAAGGTCTTTGGCGATTGACTATGTTTCGGCAGTCCAGCTGTAGACGGTCTATTCATTAAATATTAATTTATTTCAATTATATACTATCATAAATATCAATTTTGTCATCTACTCAACTTAATATATAAATAATATAATTTGTTTAATGTTTCAACCTAACCAAAGCCAAATCAAGTATCACAACCCATTTGGCACAACTTCTGCTATCTACTTCTCCCAACAACAAACATCCAGAGATAAAGTACACATATAGTCTCACATAGCAAATGTAATCTAGGGATGTTTCAGAAAACAAACAAATGCCTTAATATCCAGCCTCTCAAATAGTCTATGGTCCCACAATGAAAATTGTTCCATCTGCTCAAACCAACATAGCTTTTCGCAAAATATCCAAAGAACTTAATATCACAATCGAAGACCCCAGCACTCAACAATAACCTTTACGTTAGCCCTCTCCTACAGTAAAGAAACAACGCGAATAAATGGAGAAGGATTGGAATAAGTTAATCGACAAATCAAAGACACTCCAAGAAAATCTAGTGTTGCTCAAAAATAGCATTAGTATGAATCTGACAAAAAAACTACCAGATTAGCGTTTGTCTAAAGAATCTACATCAACTGCAGCTGGTCTTTCTTCCAGATTGAAGTTGTAAAAAGTTAACATTAATTGCAAACTCAATTCACCATTCAAAGTCTAACCCAAATAAGAACTCAGCAAGAGTCTCAGTCAAAACACATTTACAAATTTAAAATATGCAGCTAATCCTATTAAAAATGCAATCATCAACAATGCGAGCATCATGCCTCCTACTAACAATACAAGTGTCAGAAAATCCTAAGATTCGTGCACTCTTTAACCAAAGATTACATCTCATTTTTCCTCCTAAAAACAAACTTCAAGTCTGTATTCATCTATTGAATCTAAACTAAACCTTAAAATTAGTTCGTTTTTGGGAAGAGGCAAATTCAGTGATGTCCATATGGCTATTGACGAAAGATCTGGATTAATCTTTGCCCTTAAAATCATAAAAAAATAAACAGTCATCGAACATGCAATGCAAGAGCAATTGGTTAGGGAAATTCTCATCCAATCGAAATTATCACATCCAAGCATAGTCAAAATGTATGGATAGACTTATGATGAATAACACATTTATATGATGTTAGAATTTTGCAATAATGGAGAACTCTTCTAACATCAATACAAGCAGCCTAATAAGAGATTCAATGAGAAGGATTCTAGCACTTTCATCATGCAAATATTATCAGCCATTCAATATATGCATAAATAAGGGTATATGCATAGAGATTTGAAGACTGAAAACATCTTATTGTCTCTCGTATATTTTTACTTATATTTCAGAATTATGTTAAACTTTGCGATTTGGGATGTGTAAGAGAAATTCCATCAAAGGAGGACAGGAGGAATACTTTTTGTGGCACCGTCGATTACATTGCCCCTGAAGTAATTAAGGATTAAGGATATGATGAAAGATGTGATGCCTGGCAAGTGGCTATCCTCGCATATGAGTTGGTTGCTGGCAATACTCCTTTCTCAGAATATCCAAGAGATGATGAATCAATTATGGAAAATATATTAAAAGTAGAACATTACAACATATTTTATAATAGAATAAATTTGATTTGCCTTAATCATTCTCTCCTGCACTTAAAGATTTTGTTAAAAGAGGATTGCAACAAAGACCTGAAAACAGAATTACTATTGATTAAATGTTATAACACAAATGGATAGTGGAGTACAATAGAGGAAATGATAAAGAATATATATTTTGATAACTATGTTTTATATACTTTAGAATAGAAGTTTTTTAGTTTTAAAAAAGACAGAATTATGGAGAGTGTTTTTCACTTAAAAATTTGTGGTTGTATATTTATAATCTTGAATTCATTATTTACTCCAATTGACAAATCATATGCAATTGTATAGGTTGTTGTAGTTTATTAGATTGGCTCTGTATATTTTATCAATCAGGACCTGATTGTTATTCAGTTAGACTTCCATTCTCTTTCGTTTAACTCTAATTTAATTTGATAATAATACATGATTTTAGAAGGATATTCTTGGTTGGTGAAAAGAATTTTAGGTTCAACAAGAGCTGGCTAATCAATTTCTCTTTTTTGATAGAGATCTCTGATTTCATCGTACAATCTAAAGAGATCATCTTCACATGTTTTGTTTCTATAGTGCAATGAATTCATTTCCTTGGATGTATCCATCTTAGAAGGTGTAATGGTAGAACGATACTTTGTATCAGGTGTGTTCATTTCAATAGCAGATATGCTGGAGAACTTGCGGAGTTCTTAAGCTATAGCTTCTTATTCTGTTTCTTTGAATTAAGGAGATAATAATTATTCTCTAAATTTTTCTTGCATTAATTTAATTTAAATTAGAAATAATGGGATTCCTCACTTAGTTTATTAAAAATATGTTCAAAGTGAAAAAAATAAATATAAATCAATTAATGTTAGTAATCAACTTATTTGACAACACTTTTAATTGTTTTTGTATTGAAATTCATTGAAATTGTGTTGCTTCCAACTATCAACAAGATGAATTTTATGAATATTCGATCCAGATAACACATTATCTATGAAAGTTACTGAATGTAATTTGTATCCTTTGAGTATTGGATGGCCTTATCTGTCCACTCTCATTCTTTGACTAAGTTTTTTTGAGCTTAAGCGTGTTTAGGAGATACTAGGAATTTCCATTTGTATTAGGTTTGAGTTTGGATTTAAAAAGAAAATAAATATAAAAAAATAAATTTACTTTTAATGATTTGGACAAAGATTTTATGCTAATGTAATTAATTTTGAATGGCTTATAAAATATCTTACTATGTTACCCAATAGAAATACTAGCTAAATGAAAAATTCTCCACATCTTAATTAAATGATAATAAAATATTTATATGAGCAAAAAATAACCAAAATAAACCCGCCCCTTATTCATTCCCAAACCAGAAAATGGAGAATTTCCATTTGACATTAAAAATGCTAATACTAACGATATCAAACCAATTGACTTTTTCAGGATGTATAATTCCTTATAAATGATGGTTGAAAAATTGATTCAAGATTAAGTAAGAATTTATGTGATTTGAGGCTGCGCAACAAAAAGTCTAAACTAATATTGATGCTATATTCAGAGTGTTTATTGAAAAGGATTTGAATCCTCCTCCCCCATAGAAACTTGTTGGAAGGAGAAGTTCACCCTACACCTATCAAAAACAAGAGTTTTGGCAGTTGGTTGAACATCTCAACTCCTTGGGCTTCTCATATCGTTAAATATCTGAGAGACTGTAGGTGCACTATGTCCAGATTTCCACACATCATCGAAATACTGTTGACTATGATGATGATTCTGAATAGGAATCCTCCTAAGTGAAGAAATAAACAAAAGAGAAGTCGAAAAAAGAGTAAATTGTAGACAAATAACCATATCAAAATTTTGATGTATTTTAGTCAGATGATGAATAAGGATCAAAATGAGAGTTCAATAAAAATCAAATTTTCTTGCTACATATTAATATAAGCTATAATAAAAAAGTCAAATCATATTTTCTATGATCCATAAACATTCTTAACTCTGTTTCATAACATAGATGCACTCCTGCTGTATTCCAGTATTGCTCTCGGCTCTCAATGAACTTTGAGCCAAGAAATAATTATTAAATTTAATAGTAAATGGCTTGTTCACTTCTAAGATGAAATCATCAAATGCTAAAATAACAATCTAAGTATACCCTAAGTATTGAGCAATGCAGCATTATCTGAACAAAGCACAAGCTTACCTAATTTTGAATAGGAATCTTGATCTGAACCATTTAAATATTTGCCAGTTCCTATATGCTACAGAAAAATTTGATCATCATAACTAATGAATCTAGAAGTATTCCTGGAATTTTATTTAACAATGCCCCAATAATCATTTTCTAGATATCATAGAACATTAATTAATTACCATCTCTTGGGTAACTATAACAGGTGACCTCTTGAGTTTTCCTCTGCTGAGATTAAAAATTGTGAGAATGTAAGGTAAACCCAGTCCACCAATTCCTTATAATTACTTTCCTTCCAGTCTCTATGAAGATTGGCGCATTATGTACTCTATCAAAAATCTTCAGATTATTGTTTGTAGATTTACTCTGTACAAAATTCCAAATTCCTTCTTGTTAATTTTTATAATTCAACTTCTATCTACCAATCAGATAAACCACCTTATCATTTTTCTATTGAGTAATCAAATAGTTTTTATTATCAGAAGACAGCAATCGAAAAGGATGTGTGATTTATTGATTCACATACTTTATTAATGAGAAATTCTCCTCTTCTGGAGGTTGAATCACAAAGTATTCAGGGTCTTCATTTAAGTTTACTTCAAATTCCTTAAGTTCATCATTTTTGTTATCACTTGATGTATTCACATACAATTGACTCTTGAAATGTTTTATTGCTATCAAGTCTCCATAACATAGGAATTCATTTTCAGTCTCATCCTATAATTCAACAATAAAATTAATGCTATCATCATTTGCATTTATTTCTAAGCTCAATGTGCTTTTATTTTTGCCAGTTAATTTTGACTCTTGACGAATGTTTACACTTAAAAGCTTCTTACTCTTTTAACATTAGAGTTAGAGTAATTGGAATGTTTTGAAAGGTAATTATTTTTGATTTTAATTCATTTGATGTATTATTTATATTATTCATTTAAATTCCTTGGGATGTTCTAATTATATTTTTGATATAGAATAATCTTTTAAGTCATTAAATCCATATGTTCAACATTGATATTGTAGGATAAATTATAATGAGAATTGACATGCAATCTTAATTCCTTTAATTTTAATTTACATAATAGCTTATATAAATGAATAAGTTTAAGCCAATCAATATGGATGACACTGCCTTTGGATCGATTGATTCCAAAAACACCATGTTCCTCACATCTAGTCCTACTCAATTCAAAACTATACAATAGGTTAGTCTCTCAAGGAAGCTCTCTAAATTGGAACCATTGATAGTGGAAAAAGATTAACGAAACGATTCAAGAAGTTAAGAAAAGCGATTATTAAAGGACCTGGGCATTAGTTAAGTTTTAGATTGGAATTCATTTATGGAAAAAGATGCTGAATAAATCAAAGAATTTAATGAAACGACTTAGAAGTTTAGAAGAAGCTCAATTTAAACTTAAAGTTCATAAATTTACATGTCTCCCCAGAAAACAGACTAATTCTTACCTTCATAATTTGATGGTCGTAGATCCTCGATTAATTTAAAGTCTTTTGACAATGATAACTTTCTTGAAAAAATGAAATTAGGCAAGTAAGAGAAATTTGTAAATTCTAGTAAACAGTTACCAAATTTGACAACCACGGAATTTATGAAGTGCGTTAGACAAAAAGAAAAATTAACAGAATATGCTAAAGTTTATTAATAATCTCCAGAAAACTTGTATCTTAAGTTGAATAACTGTATTATACCCTGCTTTTATTGATTAGCTTAGAATTTTGTTCCTAAAACCTTTGGATTAGTGTCTCCTTAGGGCAGTTCCTTGACCCAAATTAATGCATCTAGATTTCTGAGATGTAGTGATGATTGTAGAGTGTATGCTGAAGCTATGGCTACAACGTAATCACAGGGAATCTAAAAGATGCAATTGAATAGCAACATCTATGATCCAAGATAGTTTAAAGAATTATTGATAAGCTTTCCTAATACAGTTAGGGAATTAGAGTTGAAGGACTGCAAATTAAATTTCAAGCATGTCGATACTTTGATGACCTATATCAACAAGAATTAAATATTAAAATTGAATTTGGAATAGAATATGCTCAGAGATCAAGGCTGCAGCTCCTTGATTAAACATCTTATGAGTAACAATACATTACAGTGTTTGAATTTGTGCAATAATAAAATTACAGAATCCTCAAGTGCTGCGTTGAGTAATTTCTTAAAGTAATCCTAAAGACTCTTGGAGTTATACTTGGGATTTAATAATCTCTAAATTAATGGGAGTATCTAAATTTGGAAGGCTATGTACAAGAATACAAGTATAAAGATCTTGGATATGTCTCACAATGCAATTGCCTCTTTGGAATGTGCATAGGCTATAGCCAAAGCCTTGTCTCGTCCTTATAATGAACTAGTTCATATTGATCTAAGATACAATAAATTCAATCAACAACAAAGTGAAATTATTGCTGAGGGTTTAATTAAAAATGAAACCATCTTTGGCTTTCATTTCGAAGGTAATTATCAGGATATCATTATGAATCCAAATGGATTCTTAATTAATCGAAGAGAAGAACTTAAATAAAAATAATAGAAAATAGATTTATTGAATAAACAACCTCAATATTTTAAATTGTTAGATGAGGAGAAATTAGAGAACTCTAACAATTAGAAAACTGATGATGATTTATTTCTCGCCTATCACAGAAGCAGGAGAATGAAATCTACTGAACTAAACAAGTAAAAAGTAAATATGATAAATAAATTGGATGTGTGTTGGATATGCGAAGGATGGTAAGAAATTAAATTCTTATGGAATCCAAAATCTGGGTCATTACGATCAGAACCAATCTTCATCCATTTCGATTTTGATGACTATAAACCCTATTTAATGACTTTTTTAAATGGCAAATTCTTTTTTGTAAAGATGTGCCCTCCCAATAGATCAATTAAATACTTCTTTACAAATCCTATTCTAGGAATCTAATGTATTGCAGAAGACTAAAATGTATTATCCCTTCATCAACCACTCCCTTCTATTCCTTTTCTATACAACAATGAGATATTAGTTGATGGAAACACTATGCAAATCATTAATGAAGTAATATCTCCTAATAATCAAAACTTATTCGATAGATATGTACCTTTGGTCTAAGTCAAACCAAGGGAAAAGATGGCCTTGTTTGACTTTTCTCCATATTTGAATATAGCTTCTACTAAATGGTCAGTGGAAACATCAATATTCAGATACTTTCCGCCAGATACAGATAAGTTAATCGAGGAATGCTTTGAATTTGATTACCAAAACTCAAAAATAAATAGGTTAGTGAAAGAAACGGAACTATAGGATATCAAAGAACTATTAAAATAGTTCTATTTTTAGCTCTTTAATTGTTACAAGTACTTTGCATCAGGAAACCCTACAGCTCCTGTATTATATTATTAATATGTAGATTCCTTGCTTAGGACCTACTGATTATGTTGAGTTTTTAATATCCACTGAAATAATGGAAGGAGTCAAACCAAATGACATTGACATTGGTTTTACTTCAACTGCAGGAGCTAAAGATGTATCTTTCCCTTAAGCATATGAAAAAGGTATTGTAAGGTGTCAGTTAATGGAAGTGCTAGTTCGCTTTTGCAATGATAAATACATAAGAAGTGGATTGTGTCAAACTATGATTGAAGGGTTATAGTAATTACAGTAATAATGCAATGAATTTTTATCGAAATTTGATTCCTCCTAGGCTTGGAGGAAAATGAGGTTTTGGATTGAAAAATGTGACATTCTTATTCATGAGAGAATGCCCATGATCAAATGCCTTTATAAATATACTTGTAAATTAAGTAAGAAACCCTAGCAATATAAATATGATTATGTTTCACCTTAAGATTTCAAAGACTTACTGAAATAATCAAATGTAATTTGTGATGAATTAACGGACAGAGAATGTTATCTTGCCTATCTATAAAGTATGATAACTTAAAAAGATGAATTGTTCTAGCCAAAGCATTATCAAATGACTCTCTATGAATTCATTGAGGCCTTATCTAGAATTGCTGAGAAAGTGTCAATTATAAGAGGTGAGAAAGTATTAGAAATTGAAAATAGAAGAGCTCAAGATTTACAGGATAAAATATCAGGATTACTACTTCTGATGTATTTGACACTCATAGATGAAATTAAAAAGGCTTTACCAAATGAACCAGATGTAAAGCATCTTGAAAAATGTATGAACAACGATTTCAGATCAAAAAAACAAAAACTTGAGGATTCTTTCACTGATGGAGATGAACCTCCTTATGACGTTAAAGTTGAATTACCTCTATTAATGGCATAAGTTCCTAATACGTAAGGCAATGTAAATGGGCCTGCCAAGCGAGTGACAATTCGTAATATCAAATTACTTAAACCCTCGACTACCAAATACTCTCTTACCAATTTTGTGCAATTCTTCATTAGCTTAAATGAAAGAACCTGATATTTAATACAAATCCTCATCTGTATTTATAGTATTATTACATTATATATATAAATAATAATAGTTTCGAATTATCATGTCTCCCTAAATAAATTTATTTAATTGATCATGTTTTGGCTTTAATAATAATTACTTCAATTAATTATTGATTCTAGTAATTTTTATTGCTATCAAGGGAAGTCGATTGGAAGTAGATTCTAGTTACTGTTAGCAGTACTTTAGTTATCATCCATGTTATTTATATTAAAATTATTAAAAGTTTCACAAAAGTTAAAATTAAAATGGGAGCTTCAATCTGCCAATAAACTTGTGCGATTAATGATCGTGAATTGGTTAAGGAATAATTAGAACTTTAACCAAAAAGTCTCGATTCAAGACGTGAATGTTCCTAGGTCTAGGATTAACCAATTACAGATCAGCTTCGCATTAATATTTAAAATTCTTCTCACATTAGCTATAATTTGGCAGATCAACAGCAAAGTAAGCCATGCATTGTGATTTAGATTAAAGTAAAGAATCTTCTGTTTCAAATGACAATCCTGAAGCTATGACTCCTTGGCTACCTTGGTATAACTAATTATTTTATAACAAGTGGGCAAAATAATTTTAATGGAGAATAGTATATTCAATTGTTAAACACAGAAATTGTTTAGTCTATTAAATTATAATCATAATTAGTGAGCTCTCAAAATGGAGATATATTGCCTATGTAAAATTCTCATAATTTACGTTCAGATTAGAATTCAAACAATAACAATCTAACTCATCTTATCCTAGATTTTGCAATGACGAAAAGGGGAATAAATTATTGAATATGTAAATTATTGATGATAATGTACGCTCTCCTCTTCTATCAATAGCTTGATGACTATATTAATTACGATTGGAAAAACTCTAAATTTTAATTGATTAGTATTAATGATTAAAATCTATTAAAGAAAGCAAGCTCAACAAGACCAAAAACAAAATAACAAAAGAGATAATTTTGATATATATTATCATTATATTATCATTTGATAACACTTCATCTCTCAACATTTTATTTTTTAATTACATCATCTGAATTTAATTTCATGATTTGTTATTAATAAACTCAACACCCTTTAGCCATCGCTGTTTCAGTTTATTAACTACTTCTTACTTTCTAATTTAAAATTATGTTCAATAAAAAAGCAATAATAATTTATATGTATTAAGTTGTGCACTAAATTAAATATAATTTTATTTATTATAATAAAATATTTCCTGTCATTATCATAGATCAATAATAGCATTTATATAAACCTTAATTTAGTGTATTAGTGTTTGTTGAAATGGGAGATATGAGTATTCTAAAATTTTAGTTATATTTATATATTTCATTTGTGAGAGTTTAAAATTCCTATTCGCTACTCTTCCAGTATAGGTCTCGCATAAAGATACTTGAGGAATTAACTATTTTTGAATAATTAAACATTAAAATTGTGGGTCTTATATAAACATAAATAAATGAACAAATATAATTTAAGATTTAAAGATTAAGAGATTGAAAAAAAATATTAAATTCATAAAGTTAAGGACATTTAATTTCCAACCTTAACATACTTGACTTTGGGCAGTACACCTTTATTACTTATGTTTGCAATTACAAGTTTAATTGACATAGACTACACAAATGCCTTGATTAACGGAATATTACTTGTCTACATGCTAATTTAATATCTAGTCCTTCGAAAAAATGAGCACATAAGAGTTAATTATTGCAATTTAGCCTTAATGTTAACCAATTTTGGATCTTTATATTATGAAATATCGCCAAAATAATCCGACTATTATAATGGCTACATCATGGGATCCAATTAAATGTTAATTCATACTCTGTTGATGTTTGCATGCAATTTGGAGATTGGAGTTTTTAGTAATCTAGTTCTCACAGTTGTAAGAGTGATTTTGGCAGTAGAAAACTCTGAAAACATGTCACTTTTATAGTATTTGCAAACCATAATAATGGCATGTAGTTTTATTATAGTGCAATATTAAATTGAAAGGTAGTTCAGAGACTCTTATTTATTGTCATTAAAAGATAACACTTGGGGTATTTTTCATATTATATTCAAGAAATTTTAATCCCTCAATTATTGAGAAAGCCATTTTTTATTTTTGCTTTTAACTAAGAGGTAAACATGTACTAAGCCATCATGAGTAATCAGAATTCGTTTTTTAATTCTGATTCCCCTCTAACTACTTTCCTATTTTAATCTAAAGTAAAGAAAAAATCACTTGAGGCCTATTTAGTCAAGAAATCAAATCAGAAAGGAAAATTTAGTTAGTTACCTTGTTTGTTCAATTAATAAGTGAACTTAGAATATTAATTAAAAAAATTATAGGTTTCGATAATAGGATGTAAGTTTGAAAGAATAATATACGCTGTTATAATCGATTCGGAAGATCCTCTTTTGAGAGAGTCAAAAATTAAATTTAATCAATCTTTACAATAATGTAAAGACATTTTAAATGCTTAAATAATGTCGATAAATAAGGTGTTAACTCTGTATTTATCAGAGACGTATAGTTCTTTGATTAGAAATTTAAGAATATCCCTCTATGAAATCTATTATAAGTAGGTTGATAATAAGAGAGTGTAATCAGTGAAGATGAAGAAATTATTACTGAAGTGTCAAAGGATATTTGAGACTCCTACCAATAAAATTAAGATTGATTGTCAGGAATTTACCAAATTTGCAACCATAAAATCTACATTATTGATATTTCTATTTGAAATTTTGAAGTTGGTAGAAGGTAACTAATAGGTTTTTCTATTGGTGAATCAAAATATCACAACTACATTATTTGTATATGGGTTAAAAAATCTACCCACTTCTGCACTTTTTGAAGAGAGCAGAAAAGTGCTAGTTGAAAAAACTATGTACACTGCATAATGTAATATATGTTATGTATATAGATTATTCTTTTGAATTCATGAAATCTCCATAATCTACTTTTAATTATGAAAATTAAATTAAATAAGAATCAATAGCTTGATAATATTTCATTTTTATTTAAATTTAATTATGATATATTCAATTTTTATGTTTAAAATCTAAAATTATATTTAGTAATTTTTAATTAATATCACTTTGACTCTCTATTATAGCTAAGTAAAGTAATTATTTTCTAAAACTATATATATCTTATTAATTATATTAATGAGTTTAGATAAACTTACCAGTTTTATAAAGCTAATATAAGGCCATTAAGCAGAATACACCACAATCGAAACTTGTATAAGTATAAATATCATACCTGTTCTCTTGTTTAGGACTATTAAATAGGATTTCCCATTTTGTTTATTCTCCTTTATAATTTAGCATTTGTTCCAAACCCTCAACAACATTATTCTATATTCCAAAGTTAGAATCTAAATACTAAATTTTATTCTCCTTAAATTCAACGACGGCACAAAGCCAATGATTGTTTTGTAAATTAATGGGAATATAAGTGTATTTAAATAGACTAAAAAGGTTGGATTAAACCATGGTGGAAAACTTATACCTGTTTTTTAAATTTTCTATTTAGATGTTCAATTTATTAAACTGGTATTTCCCCTTCTCATTTTCAAGTATGATTATGTTATTAATTTTCATTTCACCTTTTGCTATGACTTGAGAAGGTTCCTGTGGATCTTTCTTGATATAAGTGATGTTCTTGACTTGGAAATTGTACTTCTACAAGATTTCTTAATTTTATTAAGTAACAATATTCTATTAATTGATGGGAAATGGATTTGTATAATTACCTTAAAAATCAACTTCTTCTTATTGGGGTTATGATTTTCGAAAGAATTTTAAGGGATTTAAGGATTTGATGAGATTTAAAGTCTTATAGAAAATGGAATTATTTTCACTTTAAGTGGTTTGAGTTTGTTGTTATTCTTATTCTTACCATGATTCAAAGTTTGAAAATGAATTTTGAAAATCTTTACCAGATTCCTGTTTAAATTGTGTGGCTATCATATTTGGAAGGATAAAATTTGTAATGTCTGGAATGAATTCTGGAAAGACGTGGCAATCCAATGAAAGTACCTATTTAAAAGTCAATACAATTATGCTTACTAGAAATTCTCCATAATAATATTAAAACATCTATTGGAAATAAATGAGGTGTTGGGCTGTCAAAAATTCATTGTTAGCGAGAGCACTCAGAAAATCATTATTGATGGTCACACCATGTTTTCTAAAATTGAAATTCTTGAATTTATATCTCTCAGTGTAGTAATCAGCCCAGAATATTTTCTGCTTAACTTTCAAAAGTGTTAATTCTTCGCTCATAATTTTATTAATATATTAAATGGATGCCCTTACAAAAATTGTAGCAACAGGAGAGAGAGCAATATCTGAATTGAACAAACAATCATTAACCTAGTGGAATGGTACCACCACAAGTACAATGAAATATGTATGGGATTGAATATTTAGTAAAGATAATAGAACGGTTGAATCTTTGCTTTGATGAGATAAATTTTCATTTGTAAAAGAAAGGCTTGAATGAGGAGGCCAATGTGATCTCAAAGCTATACAATCATTTCAACGTTTTGTTCCAAAAGGTAGAAGAGATAAATCAACGAAAACATTAGAATGCCCCAGAACTACCTCTGGAGTATTGTTAAAGATCATTCTCAACTAATGCAAGTTCTAAAACCATATTTGGTGGAGCTGAGATCCAAAGTTTTAGTATATTTTCTGCCCAGAAGTCTAAATTCATTTCTGCAGAATAAGAATTCAGAAGTAACAAACCAAAGTTTAAGAAGAATGTTTAATCAAAGGGGACAGATACTGGCGAAGATGCTATGCGTTATTTAAATGTAGAATACTTGGGTGAAAAAGAGAGGGAATTGTAAAGAGCCAAAGAGGAGAATGAGATGAATCTTAGAGAAATAGAGAAGTTCCTGAAACTTAAAGGATTATGGAGTGAAATACATGCGAGCAATGCTCCCTATAAATTATAAGATCTAGGTAAGACTTTAGAAAGAGAACTCTAACGAAATGAAATGTTTATTAATGAATAAATTAGAATTGCCAATTAGGAGCCTGACTTTCCATCTAGAGATATGAAATAGGAAATAAGGGATAGAGTTGTTGTTGGGGTTCAAAAATCAACTGCAGATAGGATATTGAAATATGCTGAGAGGAAAATGAAGGAAGAATTTGAGAAATTTTAATTGAAGAAGAATTCAGGATTGTAGATGCACAAGAGAAAATCACAGAACATGTAAAGAATAGATGAATTGGAACATCTAATTAATACTAAGAATGAAGAAATCTTGGAAAAAGAATCAAAGATGTCTGCTTTATTTTCTAAATTTGAAGAATAAGAGAAGAAATTAGTAAATTTAATGATCCAAATGGAATAAATTAAAGCTAGTGAAAAACAAAATAATACCTTTACTAGTAGTAAAGTAAATGAGAAATAGAGTCATGTTGAAATCTAAGTGAGTATGAGTGATCCTAAGATCTTCAAATTAGAATTGCAATTAAAAGAAATTGTTGAAGAGAATTAGAATATGAAGGGAGAATTGTAAACTATGTATGAATAAGCTAAAAACGATAAATAGAAGGTTTTGTTGCAGCCGTAATTAATTGAAGAAGTTCTGATGATGATTATATAGAGTGAGTTACAAGCTGAGGGGAAAATAGAATTATTATAAACATTTTTGTAATATTTGATTGAAAATTCAGAGAATGATATTGCTAGAATGCCACCAAATGAATTATATAGAACAGTGAGATAAAAGATGCAATATAATAATAATTCTAATAGGAATTTGGAGGAAGTTCTGGAGAAATTCGAAGAGATGTAAAGTGATAACGAAGATTATTCTCCAAGTTCAATTAAGAAGACAAAAAAGAATAAAAATAAATAATAGAAATCCAAAAAAATAATATTAGAAAGAGCTGATTCTCAAGTTGAATAATAGACATTTTCACCTGAAAAATCTGAAAAATTTATTGGAGTCAAGAAATCTAAAAATAAATTTGAGGATTAATCAAATGAGAATTCTGAATCCTAGATTATAATAAATAATAATAATACTAATAATAATAGTAACAATAATAGTAATAACAATATTGATAGTAATTATTCTATTAGTATGTTTAAGAAAAAACCTTTGAATAAGATCAGCGAAGAGAACAGCATAATATAAAAAAATTCACCAAGAAAATAAGATGTCAATAGTCCATAATCAGGAAGCAGAAATATCTTAAATAATACTTCCACATTTAAATAAAACTAATCTGATTAGAAGTAGAATAAAAATATTGTTAATTCCTCATTGAATCAAAGCTAATCATAGTTTTAATAGTAATAATAATAATAAAATAATCAACAACAGTAGTAAATCCAATTACAAGCACCTAAAGAGTCAAGTAGATTCAGAACAGAATAATAAAAACAACTATCATCTGGTAGATAATAGGCAAATAGAAGCAGAGGATAAATTGATTAAAGTAATCAAAAATCTGTCATTTAATCCAATCATACACCATAACATAAGACAGTAAGATAGATAAAGCAGAGACATTCTATTAAAGATGAATTTGGAGAGGTTGATTATGATGAGGTAGATGATGAAGTAGCAAACAGAGGAGTGCAAGTGAATTTCGGAAATCTCTACATAAAAGCTTCAATGATAAATTCATAAGATGATAATTCTAATGTGATGGGATCTCAAATTGGATTCTAGACTCCTTTGATGAGATAAAGTTATCGGTAGTTGGAAGAAAAGGTCACTGCCAAATTCACTCAAACTGATGATTTTTTTATGTGGAATCTATTCTAAAAAATGTAGGTTGATCTTGGATTAACAGAGGATTAAATAAAAAAGTTGGAGTAAATATTTTTGAATGAATAATAATTCATTCATTATTATGAGAAGACTCCATCTTAGAGATAAAAATCGAGGGCATCTACTACTGTTTTAGCTGATTAAACAACGAAAGCCAAATAAGAGAAATATATTGAAAATACTATTAATGATAGTAAGATGACTACTATGATTCAATAGAAAAATGAAACAACAGATTCAGAGTAACAAATTAGGAGACCTACAATATCTATAATGAAAACCACTTAGCCTCCAAAGGGATTGGAATCTCCTATGAATTTAGTTGGAAGGCAAAAGAGTTAGGTATTGCTCTCTTATACAAATGAAAGCAGCATCATATAACCAAATTAAGGCAGGAGTGTTAGTCAAACATCAGATGTTCATATTATGAATTATGGAAGTGTTAGTACAGATACAATTGCTAAAAAATAGAGATAAACGACAAGCCAGAAGATTTTGGAAGACATGCTAAAGAATAAGGCTGGATTAACAACTCCTTTTGATATTGAAACAAAAGAATAAAAAGAGTAGAAAATGTATTTTCATGTTTTTGGAGATGAAATGTAAACGGATGCTGATTTTGAATTGGAAGCCGTGAGAGTCAATCTAGGAAAACCCTTAGAAGTGATACAAGATCATTTGAAGGAGGATGCAATGAAGAAAATATATCAATAATTCGTAAATCGTCCAAAGAATCCTTGGTAAGATTAACTCTATATGATCATCTCTCAATTTGCCAATAAACCACCTTAAGCCATTTCTTACATAGATTTCAAAAAATATTATGAAAATTACATGAGAGTATTTTGATTAATTTTCATTTTAGGTACATAAAAGATGTGGAGATGGATGTATTCACATATAAAGATTTTTGGCTAGGGTAGGATTTGGAATAAATTCAAAGAGAAAAGCATTGAATATGAGTAAATAAAGTGTTTCTCCATTTGAACTGCCAAAACTAAAATGAATGTTTTGATATGAACTCGTTATTATATTTAATTTAAATCTTAAGTAATGTAATAATACACAAACAATTACGAATCAGTTGTCAGAACCTAAGTAGTTAGTGGATAAGATCAAAAACCACTCAATTTGGGACTAACCGACGTTGAAGGAGCAAAGGTTTTATTATTATTCAAAACTAGGCTGTTGCCAGAAGACTCTTTGATACTTACGACAGAGACAGAAATGGATAGATTGATAATGTAGAGGTCGTACCAATGATAGTTGATGTCTACAAATCATTCAACAGAATCTTCTCACCAGCCAGAGGAGACATTGATTCATTTTACAAGTTCAAAATTGATTAAAAACAATTAGGGTTTTGGATAGAAATCAAGATGGCAAAATCACATATCAAGACCTGGAAGATTTATGCATTAGATATTTGACCAATTAAACTCCGACAAATTTGAGAGCTTCAGAAGCCCCTCGTTAAAGTGGAATCTAATAAACATCATAAACAGTCACATCATCCTATAGAAGAACCCAGTATTGATTGTGATTCTTAATAAAAAATAAATTATATATAATCTAAGTGCCTATTTTCATGAATTCCATTTTATTTCTTTTTTTCATACAACAAGGATTGAAAGTTGTGTTTATTGTTTTATAAATTGGATTAGCGATAATGTATTGAATTCTACTAAAGGTGTACATTGGAACATACTCACAGTATGATAAAATGAAAATTAAATCAGTATTTTCAATTAATAATTATTTCACTATGTTATGTTGATTACGAGGAGAAGGATAATTAAATGCTAAAATTTTAGAAATGAGATTTTGAATTTATTACAATAGAACTATTGTTGCCTACTCTGTTTGATATTGATTTACTTATTAATTTCCTAATATTTAAAATGGTGATTACTCCTTCATCTCATTGAAGTTTAATTAGGATTATCTTTATACAATAATAAAATAACATTTTGTTCTTCAGAGAAATACATATACATATATTTATTTGCTAATACATTTTTAATATTTTATTATGAGTTATTAAAAAATAGAAGGAGCTGAGGAGATTGATGAATTTAATTTTGTATAAGTGAAGAAAAAAATAAAGAAGCCAAAATAAATAGTTGCTTAGCCTAAAGTGACATAATCTGTACCTGTATAATCTTCTGACACGGTAGGTCCTGATGCTACGAAACCTTAATAAACATTATTGGATATTATTTTGGACAACCTACCTTAGAGTGAACTATATGAAAGATCTTTGATGCATCGAGAAAATATCAACATTGTATTATCTGCATTTAAGTCCCACATAATGATCACAGTGTCCACAGATGGACATATTAAAATGTGGAGGAAGGTGTTTAGATTGATTGAATTCATCAAGCATTTTAGAGCGCACACTGGAATAGTCACTTGTGCAACGTTGTCTGATGGACATGACAAGATGGCAAGTGTGTCTCCTGCGGATAGAACAATCAAGATTTTTGATATTTTGAATTAAGATTTATTGGATATGATAAAACTTCCATTTCAACCATACGGATGTGAGTTTGTGGATACAGCGGATGTACAATAATAATTATTATTAATCAGCGATGGTAATAGTGGAGATATATATGTTACTGAAAGCGGTAAAATATTGCGAATGGTAAAAATGCATAGTCAACCTGTTAAACAAATGAAGTACCTGAGCAATTTTCAATTCATGTTAACAATCGATACAACTGGTAGAATGGAAGTCTGGGATCCCATTACTCAAGACTTTCCAAAATAAGCATATGCAAAACCCTAATACAAGATTCATTACTCAAGTAAATTGGGCACCGATCTATACGAACTAATGCAGCATAAATTATAATGTTTTGGATTGTGTGTGAGTAACAAACAGAAACTCATTGTTTTGTATGTTTCAGACAAGAAATTAAGACTATTTAATATTCAAACAGGAAAGATCATTCTAGTATTGGATGAGTCAATCGAAGCTATTACAAGTAGATAAAATGACTAAGCAACCTATCCCATATTACATATTGAATAACAAGATTTTGAAAGAAGACTCTTAATTGAGAAGGACATCGATAAATAGCCTGAATAATTAAAATAAATTACCATGTCCTTCGATGAGACCGATTCAATATTGATATACCCTACTTTTATTGGGATCAAGTTCATCAACATTGAGACAGGGGAACTTGTAAAGCTTTTGGGGAAGATGGAAAGTAGTTAAAGATTCATGCGAGTTGCATTGTATCAAGGACCTGCAATGAAGAATACTTAAAATGAATAGTCTCATAGTTCTTTAAATAGAAAAGAAACTGATCCCTCTTTGTATATAAGTGCTCATAAATCGAACAAATTTTATGTGTTCTCTCGTAGAATCCCAGAAGATTTGGCAGATAAACCATGGGCTGTAGCCAGAGATGTATTAAATGAACCTTTGAATCTGATTCAGCAAAGCATTAGTGTCATGTCTGACAATAAAAATAAAGTAAGTTTTATTATCATATTTTTTAGACCTTATCTGGTTGCTAAGCTATCATTTAGACGACGTTTGGTGAAATCTATATCAACTTATTTCCAAATGAAACCCCTAAGACAGTTGAAAATTTTATCCAGCATTCTAAAAATGGGTATTATGATGGTTTGATCTTCCATCGAGTTCAATAAGGATTTATGATACAAACTGGTTGTCCTAAAGGAAATGGAACTGGAGGAGAATCCATTTGGGGAGGGGAATTCTAAGATGAATTTCATCCCGAATTAAGACATGATAAACCATTTACAGTTAGTATGGCCAATGCAGGTCCTAATTCCAATACAAGTTAATTTTTTATTACTGTTTGTCCTACTCCTTGGTTGGATGATAAAGTATGAAATTATGTTAATGTTTAATAGCATACAATTTTCGGCAGAGTCTATAAAGGAATGAATATTGTAGTTTAGATTAGTGAAGTAGAAACTGATGATTTCGATAAACCACTTAATGATATAAAAATAATAGCTATAAAGATTTTATGAATGTGATATATATATATATACAATAATATAAATAAAATTGTATTAATGCAATTAAAATTGTATCTACTATTAATAATGATGTTTAAATCTAGAATTTTATGTAAATAAAATTATTTAATTAATTAAAATGAATTATAATTATCCAAATATTCGCATACTTATGGTTGGTGTAGGTGGTATTGGATGTGAGATTCTGAAAATTGTCAGCAAATTCACTTTCCAAGAATTTCACATAATAGACATGGACACCATAGAAGTCAGCAATCTTAATCGATAATTCTTGTTCAGATTGGAGCATAGAGGTTAATCAAAGTCTCTGGTTGCAGCAGAGACCATGAAGAAGATGGCACCATAATTAAATATTATTGCTCACTTTGCTGCCATCAACTCTCCAGGGTACACTATGGATTTCTTTCGATAATTTGATGCTGTGATCATGGCATTGGATAATGCAGAAACTAGATCTTATGTGAATAAAGTGTGTCAGGCCTTGGGAATATTCATAGTAGATGCTGGCTCCATGGGATTTAAGGGCTAGGCCAATGCTTATTATCAAGGAACAGTGTGTTATGATTGTTATCCAATTGCCACTACTTAGAAGCAATACCCAGCATGCACCATTCGATCATAACCTAGTAATTGTACTCATTGTGTAATTTGGGCTAAATACCTATTTACCTAACTATTTTCAGGGGAGGTTGGAATTTTGGAGGTCGAGGGATTTGATAAGAGTTAGCCAAATTCAGTTTTCAATAAATTCTTTAAAGGAGAAGAAATGCCTAATTCTATTGACATAGTGGAGCATGAACTTATTAAGAAGTACCATTTTGCAGAAAGGAAGGAGTCTCTTGAAGAATTGCAAGGCATGTGGTTTTACGCATATGATGAACTCAATCACTTGGGATAATTATAATACGATAAAGATGATGACCTTCATGTCTTGTTCATTTATGCGAGCACTGCTTTGAGATGTAGGAATTTCAAGATCGAACAATATGACTACCAATAGATTAAATCTATAAGTGGAAATATCATTCATGCCATTGCCTCTACAAACTCTATTGTTGCAGCCCTAGAAATACAGAGATTGCTGAGTTTCATTGAAAATCATGATAAGGTCAAGTATTATCAAGATCTAAATGCTGCTTCCTATGTTTAAACGGGGAAAAAAGAAAGAATTCTGACTCTTAAAGCTGCCAGTCCTAATCCCTTATGTAATTCTTGCTTCCATAATCAAATATACTCTAAGGTTGATTTCTAAGTTGTAAAAGTAGTGGATTTAGTAAATTCACTTAAGAATTATCTGAATTCTGAGATCAATATCGTTTCTCTTTCTCGTATCATATGGGATGATGAAGATGAGGACGATAACTCAGCCATCAGAGACAAAAAATTAACTGAATTGTTTAAATTAGAACTAGATAATAGACTGATAATTAAATCCATCGAGGAAAAGTTCTTAGCTGTATTATGGTTGTAACATATGGCTGGTTAAACTGAAATCTAGTTTGCTTCCACAAAAATATCAGATAAAATACTCAGGTTTAAGAATCCTTTGTAGCATAAAAAAAAGGAGAGAGTTAGAACATAGACAGAAATTAAGGAGTTAAAAGAAACAGAGATTATGCCCATTAAAAACGCAGAGAAATTTTAAACAGCAGCTTAGAAGTCAACTGAAATCCTTATAGACGAAGAACCAAACGAACAAGCAGGACAAAGCAAAAAGGTTGAATTAGTAATTGATTGATTATTGTCTAATTTATTTGAAATTTAAATAATATTATTATGATTCAGAAAAACCATGATTTAATTATGAATTAACTCAAAATTAAAAATGAATAATTTTTAATTACGTTTTTCTTTAGTTAAATAATAAAAATTATATTTTTCAGGCATAATTTAATATTTAATATACATTTGAACATGATAGCTATTGTCTTATTAATGTAGAGTTTCTTTTTATTGACTGCTTATTACATTATCGGTATGAATGAAGATTCTTAAATATAAACATACTCAGTAGATTTAAAGCTTAACAATTTTGGAATGGATTCCTATTTTGGATATGGACTATGGAGCAGATATTCTCCATTAGGATCGGTACTTCAAGTGGGGCAATTTGGAGTATTAGATAGTGACTGTTTTCATCTTCATAATGCTGCTTAGCAATCAACAAATGATTTGAATCTAATCGTATATGATTGTCTTAACTATGAAACCAAAACAATTATAAGAAGAATTTAATTCGTTACTATAGATGAGAATTGGCATTTATTTGAAGTAGAACTTGATGAGCTGGAATACGAATATGTTTGGCATTATTTTGAAATTACTCAATGGCCATAAAGAAATAGGTTTGAATTATTAGTCATTAAATATCCTGAGATTAAATTATATAGTATTTAAGAAGACTTTTAGTTTCCTTATAAAGATACTGAATTGCTTCTTACTTTTGGAGGAGGATTGCAGATATCATAATCAAATACTAATTAACTTTTAAAACAACTATCTTAATTTTCTTTTTTCCCAGGAAAATTTTATTTATATCCTTTATCAATTGGGACTATGCCAATCACTAGAAATGCTGCTAATACTGCATTAAGTACATTTTAGTTTAGAGCAAACTGTTTGTGCAATTATAATAGCTAAGTAGGTATATAAGATTAAGAACTAACTTGGTTAGATAAAATCATATTTCCTTCTTAAAAATCTAATTGTGATTCCTATTTGTTGTCAACTTGGATCAAAATTTAAAATATTTTTTAATCTTCACCAGAATTTTTATATCAAGTATTAAAACTGTCTGCTAACTTTGAAAATCCTACATTAGTCAATAATAATTTAGCTGCCTTTTAATTATTATATAAAATTACTTCATCAAAAAATTCATTGATTGTAAATACTTACAGTTATACTTTTCCTCTTGTTTCTATTAATTTCGATAATGATCCATTTTTAATCCCAAAAGAGTTTGATCTTTAACACAATATCAACCTTTGGCACTATGTTTTAGTGATATTAAGTAATAATGAATTGAAAATCTAAATTATTTTTTATGAGGGATTGCAACAACATCATTATAATTATGAATTGGCAGTTAATTAATTTCGTATTGTCAAATTCAAACTATTTTATGGAAATGTGAAATAATTAGTCTATGATTATCTTTCTGTTAAATTTGTAAATACCTACTTTTTCAATTGTGCAGGATTCATCATATTACCTCAACTTGAGTGTCATGAGAGTTGTTTGGAATGTGATGGTCCCACTAACACAGATTGCTTATCTTGTCCTATCAACTCAAATCGTATTTATATTCCTGAATAAAAGTCTTGTGTCTGTCCGTATAATACAGTTGAAGAAATATAATGCAAAGATTATTAAAATTATAATTTTATCCTTGTCAAAGAGGATAATATAGATTATAAATGTCTTTAAGGATACTTTTAATATGAAGGAAGTTGTATTAAATGGTAATTTAAATATTAACATTAGTCCTTCAGTGATAAGGAGTACAAGCATAGCATGTTTAGAATGTGTATATTAGGCCTAAACTTGGGCAACGAATTCTTTTTGTTCAACAACTTTATATGATGATATTCAAGGAGGAGTGGCTTAGTTTTAACAAGCCAAGTCATAATAATATTATATATTTGATGGTGATGCACTTTAATTAAGATATTATAGCAATTCAAAAATAATAGATGAAGAAACCAATGACGATTTTACATTGACTTCAATGAATTTTAAGAACTTTTGCTTTCAGCATTAAACAGCTGTAGCTTAATGGAGAAGCGAGAAAGAATGTTATCAATGCACTATACAAAATTGCTAAAGCTGTGCAATCACAGCTTTAGCAATTACATGCTTATCCTGTGATTATTACTCAAAACTTAAGGATGGAATTTGTATCCCAACAAGTCTAACTGGGCAAATTGTCATTAATGATTGTTTAGCTCCTTTTTATTACACTTCAACTTATTAGTGCAAAATTTGTAATATCTAGAATTGCAAATATTGTTTCGAGTATTTAAGTAATGATTTGACAAAATGTACATTATATAGAGACTTTGAATCTTTTAAAATAGATGAGTATCACTAAGTGGGTTGTGCTTTATGCAATGATGATTTTATCTATGACTTTACTTCAGGTAAGTGTAAGCATGAAAAACCAAATATAGATAAATGTCTTAGATCTTATATTAACTTACAAGGACAAGAAATTTGTACTTTATCCAAAATTGATGACTTTAAAATTGCTCCTGAAATTATCAATTGTTAAACCTATATTTCAAATTGTAAATAGTGTTTAATGACTCCATAAAACGTAATCAGATGCATTTTGTGCGAGGATGGTTATACGACTTCAATAACTACAGGGTAATGTTACTAATGCTTGATTTAGAATGCTAGAATATGCATTGAAGGGGATTATTTGCTAAAGGATTAATGGATGTAATTAATTTAAAGTTTTTTAATCTAATTTTTACCCAATAAATACATGTATCCAAAATCTAGCATAGAGAGATACACAATTGAATTACCATAGGAGTGTTAACAAGGCTTTAGGCCTGACCCTTATAGTAACTGCATTAAGTATTGCGATTCAAATTGTTTATAGTGTGTCTTAAATGAGGCATATCCATATAAATTTTATTGTAATAAATGTCCCTTAGATTATTATAAAAAACCATTAAAATCATCTGAAGATGGCAAATGTTTTTAATGCCCTTAGTTATGTTCAGTTTGTTAGTCTAGAACTGAAGAGGAAATAAAAGTATTGAAATATATATTAATTTTAGATGACCAACCCTTATTATATTTTGAACGAGGGTACTATTATTTATACTTTAAAATGCCTTTAACAAGCTCCAGACGATAATGTAGTAATTGACCCTTATACAAATATTGCTAGATATTGTTATAAATCCACTTGCACTGACGTTATTTAATATTAAGTAATTTTTATAAATAAATAAGTTTGATGTAAATTGCTAAAATCTTTAAAATCTATTAAGCAAAACCCAAATGTAATTTTACTAGAATAACATAAATATTAATTATTGCAATAAATTAGGAATTAAAAAAATAGTTCTCTACATGACGCTGTTGATTCAATCTGGAAATCCCTGCAATTTACCAAATTTGATTGAAATTTACAATGATCTTAGAAAAAAGATTTATGCACTCCAAGAAGTTTAACTTAAGTTGGAAGGCTTAGGAAGAAGTGGTTGTTTTAGGCCAATAGTTATAATTAATTTTAGTATTGTAGAAATTATTAATGTTGCCTTCGAAGTTAGGAATTCATCTTATTTGAAGTTAGAAAATAATTAAAGCCCGATTAACCTAATTATCAATAACTCAATTATATTTGGAAACTTAGGAGAAACTCAATAATATTCCATAACCTTAAGTAAATGTGGAGATTTGATAATATAAGATCTTTAGATAATAAACCTAAACCTTTTGAATTCAACTATTTTAGATTACATCTCTTTAAATCAAAAAAGTAAAATTTTTATTAAAAATTTGTCTATATTTTCTTCCATTTTTAATAACAGTATTTTATTTGCTTTTTCAAACCTAGAACAGAGCATCTCGATTACTAATATTTTAATACAAGATTGCTAATTTTATAATTCTCTAATATTTTCATTTAATTCAAAATCTCCAAATCAATTATCATTCATAGAAATTTAAAATCTAAAATTAGTACAAAGTAGAATGATTAGCTCAAGTCTCATCATAACTTATGATGAGATCTCAGTAAATTTTGACGATATATACATTTATAAAAACCAATTTAATAACTCGACTTTGCTAGGAGTGAGCTAAAATCTAGTCCTTTAAAACACAATTTTGGTTGAAAACATATTTATGAAATCACTATTTTTATTTATAACTGAAATAGAAGGGTAATCTAGAACAATTTTGATTGACCATTTAAATGTGATATCAAATGCCTTTGAAACCTCATCCATAATAAACACTAAATTATATATAAGTAATGCTTTTACAAAGTGTTAAATTATTAATCTTTATATGCAAAATAATCACTAACTAGTTGATTCTGGGTTACATCTGTTTAATTTAAATATTTATTCACTAACAATCAATGGATGCTTAATTAATTATTCTATTAATCTTAACCATTTTAAATTAACTGAGATACAATCAATAGTTATTCAAAATATATCTTACATAAATAAAGAATAAAATCATAAAGTACCTTTATCTTATGAATGTTTGGAAAAAAAAGAATAAAATCTATAATTATTTTATATATCCGGATTTTCAAGCCTTTAAATTCAAAAAATCATAATTAAAAATTAATTTATCATTAATTATAGTTTTATTCACATTCTTTCAAATATTTTGTAATCATCTGCTATAAAGGAAGTAATTGAAATCAAAGATGTCATATTTTACGGGAATATATTACTAAAGCAAAATTTAGGAACCATGATCTCGTAGATATCAATATACAGTGAAAAATATTAAGAAATCTCTTTAGAAAATATTCAGTTTTAGGAAGTGTTTTTTAATGAAGAAATAGATGATCCATCTTAAACCTCAGCTGGACTTATATTCCTTAATTCCTAGCAAAGTTTTGTGGCTATTAATAATCTAACATCCTTATCGAATGCAGTGACTAATTCTTCGAATACCTTTATTTACATTAACTCTAATTCGGTTTAAATAAATAACATTACAATAAAAAACCATAATACTTTAAACTCAACAACTTGGAAGAAATACTATGAGATTACTCTCGAAAATTAAAGTAATACAGATTAAATTAATTATATTGTCTAATCTATTTTTAAATTCTTAAATAAAGGTGGAATAATTTAGATAACATCCTCAAATATACTTATAACTTTAGGTCTATTTACTGAGATCTAGTCTTAAAGCAGCTCGATCTTTGATATTAGAACCTAAGGATAAGGAGTTGTTCAGTTTGAGTAACTTTCTATCAGCTAAGCAGAAGTTGATCTTTAATCATATACTGAGACGCAAGGTTGTATTAGTATCTACTCAAAAAATAGTCTGCTAAGTCTTAAAATGAAGAATGTTAAGTTTAAAAACATCTTTAACAGACTAAGTTCTTCTATTTTGTCCATCACTCCATCCCAAACTTTAAATAAAATTGAAATGCAGGATGTGATCTTAGAGAGTTGCTTATCATTAATTAATCAATTTATGAAAATTGATTTCTCTTACTCTGATAAAAATTCAGTACTACTCGAAAATTTATAAATTTATTAATCTGAATCTGATTGGATAGAATATAGAAACAAAATTGAGCCGATTAGTTTAAGTGAAGTAAATAAAATTCCTATTGATAATGCAGTCATAAATTTAAATGGATGCCAACTTTTTATTAAAGGGTTAATATCTGAAGGGACTTTTCTATCTCCAATTTTAAAAGTTACAGATTCTTAAAAAATACTCATACAAAATTGCAAAATAAATTCAGTTTAGACATTTTTTACATTTAGTATTTTTTAGTTTATTGAAACTAGAGTCTAAAAATCTTCTATTTATCTAGAAGGATTCCATGTAAAGAATACTACTTTATTTAAAAAAAGCGATGAAAAAATTATAACCAATGGAGCCTTTCGGAATACATATACTGCTAATAAATGTAGGATTTATAAGAATACTCCAATACCTTAAGTCACCTCAACTTATTTATTTTAATAGACTTTGGAATATTTAAATGAAAATATATCATCAACTGGATCCTTAATTTTTGTATCAAGTGTTTCAACCCAAAATATTATTACTCTCAGAAAGATTTTAGTTAATTTTAATAATTTTTCAGAAAAAGTGTATGGAATTATTAACTTTAATCTTTCTGGATTTTAAGAAATAAAACTGAGAGAAGTTAGTTTCATTTAAAATAATATAAATGAATTCGGCTGTCTCACATTTATTGCTAACTTAAATTTAGAAAGCAAAATTAAAATAATAAATTCTTAGTTTTTATTTAATAATGGCACATTTGGTACAGCAATATACGCAAGCAAAGTGATAATAGATATAAAAAATAGTTAGTTCATTAAAAATATCGCAAAATAAGAAGGTGGGGCTATTTATATGGAGAATTGCGGTAATCATTCTAGAATTATTAATTCCATTATTCTAATGAATTAAGCTTAACAAGGCGGAGGATTATATTTTAATGGGAAAAATCATATCAATAAAGATAATTTTATTCATTCATTAATTCTATTGAATTATGCTGAAAAATTGACAGATAATATTGTAGAACTGCCACACCATCTTGCTTTATCAATAAATTAATATAAGATGTTTTCTACTCAAGAAATAACTGAAAACTTGACAACAAATATTTTAAAATTAAATTCCTATAACATAATAGAGTAGGGATAGTTAAAAAATGCAAGTGAACTTTATTTACCGAGTAATCGAGCAATTGCTGACTTTTTATTGTTTAATCCAAAAAATTAAGGATATTTATCATATTTTAATGATTTTTCGTTGTTTTTTGAAAATAGTATTAATGAAAAAGTGTCTAATTTTATTAATATTACTTGCAAAACATAAATGTTCACTCAAACTCAAAAACATGAATTATTAGAAAATACTAATCCAATTCAAATTTTACCTTATGACTAAGAAAAAAATACATTAAATTTATAAATGCTTAATTTTGAGTTTGATCCTTATTAAAATACCGATTAACTTCTTTTGGTTTAGATAAATTGCTCATTATTAAACTAGCATACATTGAGATATATCTTTACTGCCAAAACTTTCAAATGTTAATTAGGAGAATTTTATGTAAATAATGGTTGTTAAGTTTGTCAACAAAGCCAAGGTTTTTATTCAGTTACTTATAATACAACTAAATGTTCAATTTTTGATATGACTAGATTTTCAAACATCACGTCAAATAGGATTTAATTACTTAAAGGATTTTGGAGACCACATGAAGAGTCTGATTATACTGAACTTTGTTTTAAATAATAAGCATATTGCTTAGGAGGATGGAATGTGGGTAATAATCTATGTTAAAGAGGACATGTTGGCGGATTGTGCGAAGAATGTGATAATTATAATATTAGAGGGGAAGGGCAGTTTTTTAAAGATTTTGAAAATTAAACTTGTCAACTATGTTCTAAAAGTGCAAAATACATATTTATATTTATAGCTGCATCTTTATGGTAATATTCTATTAAACTAGCTAGGTCTATATTTTAAATTCTTCTAACTCTCAGAAGTATTGATAAATCAAATCAATTATTTTATTCATTGAAATTAAGGAAAAAGGTTAGCAAAATTCTATTTAAACTCAATCAAGGTATTAATTGTATCTAAATATAGATCATCAAAGCATTTAAATAAAAATGTTTATAAATTTCCTATGGATATTTTCTTTAATCTTTTCCTTTAACATTTAATTTTCATTTTCTTTTGGATTTGTAGATCAAATTAGCAATCCAACTAATTTTATGGCAACCAGTTTAGATTGTTATCTATTAGAATTTGAATAAATTTAGCTAAATTATTCAAGAATTATAGCAACACTTTTGCTTATTATTTTACAACTGATTATCATGTTTGTTGGTTCTCAAATTTTAGCTCTTACAACCAAGTCGAAAAGTCTTAACAGTGTTTTATCAAATACTGGGCTTTATCTTTATGTATCGAATTTTGCTTCATTGATTAAACAGTACAACTATTAATATAAATAGATTTTCTTCATTGTTAGCAAGAAGATAAATATCAAATATTGAATACATTTAAGGTAATGTATCACTCATGTTTGATACTCAATCTCACTATACATGGATGTATAGATTTATAATACCAGGATTAGGATTTATTGGATGCTTTATTCCAGTATTTTTATTTTCTTTAATGTTTGTTATGAGAAAAAAGCTTGACATGATTAAGTTTAGAAAACATATATGCTATATGTTTAATGAATATGCTGAACATTGTTATTATTGGGAATTCATCAAAATATGGAAAAAGACCATATTAATTATAATTCTAACATACTTTGAAACTAATATACTATTAAAAGCATCTTTGTTGGGACTCTGCTTATTATTTTATTAATTGTTTGCTGTTAAAATTAAGCCATTTATAAATTAAAAACTAAATTCCCTAGATTTAGAAACTGGATAGTTTTGCTCTATTGCAATATTTTTGGCAGCCACCATATATGTTTGTGAATAAACATCAAATCAAATTTATTCCTATCTACTTTAATCTAGTATAATTCTGCTATTCATTAAGCTCTGTTATCCATTTATTTATTAGATTATGAGCTTAAATTATAAAACGTAGAAAATTAATGTTCTTACTCTTTTATTGAAATGTAGTAGCTTATTAACGAGTAATTCTACATTTGCTAAACATTTAAATTACAAGCTGATTGAGTTAAAATAGAGAGAATAAAAGTTAAAGTCGAACATTTAAAAGTTGAAGCAACATTTATTTTCTGTTTCAAAAAGTATTAATGAAAATTAAAAGTATTAATAATATATTATTATTTTTTAGATTATTATCGTCCTAATAATAATTTCAAAATAAGTCTACTTTTAGAATCCTTACTTCTAGAGAAACTGAAGTTGTAAAATTCATGAAAACTGATCAAGAATGAAATTTGTGTTTTAACTCTAACTTGATATGTTAAATTCATAAATATAATAAATGAATTTAAATAATATTAAATAATATCATGTAGTTCTTTAAATTAATATTCAAAATGGGACAACAATCTACTTTCATTTAATTATTATTAAAAACTAATAAAAATTATCTTATGTAAAGCTTAATTTTTCATCTCGAATTTTGTGACATTTACGCCTTCCAATATTTAGAAGTGGTTTTCCTAAAAATGTGTAAATTATAAAAAGATATATACTTCAATGCTAAAGTAATGAGAATGCTATTTTTTCAAACTATTATAAAATATTATAAATATATATAGAACTAAGATTAGAATTAAATAAATATCTTAGAATATATTATGGAAATGATTCATTCATCTATTGCCAAATCTCACATTTCGAGTAAATAGATTATCTTCAAGTTTATGTTATTGGTGGAATAGGGATTAATAAACTAAATTAAAAATGATTGTTACTCTCGTTCTTTTTTAAATCCTGGCTTTAGTTTTGAAGATTTTAGAGTTTGTTGTTGCCTAATGCCTGTTTCATTAACTTGCGCTCTTCTGTACATACTTTTTTTTTTTATTACTATTCTAGATCTTCAGCTGTATCAACCACTTTACATTATTGTTTTTGATCTACTTTTTATTTTTCTTTTTATTCGATTTCTTAGTACAATTATGCTTTTCTAATTTCTGCTTCCTCGTTAGTTGGGCATAATCTACAATAGCAATTAGAAAATTACTAAACTATATCTTTTTCTGTGTATGGTTGCTCGCAGATTGGACATTTGAACTCTTTGATTTTTAGATCTTTTATTAATTTCTCATTAAAAACGCATCCACAGGTCCATAATGCTTAGAATCTATTTAAAGATCATTAAATACTTTTCTTTTCCATTTAATGCCTTTTAACTAATTAGACAAACAAAAGGGAACTCATTATTTTTATCTGGATTTTCTGTAATATTCAATTTTTTTATTTTTTTCATCTATGATAGGTTTGAAAATATACATTTTATAAATGCTTTAGTTCTGAGGGAATTTTCTTTTCCATGAAAGCCTTTAGTAAGGAATCATAGTTGTAGAGATATCCAACTCTACAACAAGCAATTGGTTTTCTTAATCTTTCTTTGGTCAATGAACAAAATTAAGCTCTTTACTATAATCACAAAGAAATCATACTTTTGCAACTAAAAGGCTCTCGACTCTTTTCTCTGGTTTCTTTAATTTAACCAATTCTGCTCTTCCTGCAATACTTCCTCCATCATTACCCATAATTAATATATATATTATATATAAAATAATATAATGCGATGAGAAATTATAAAGCATATGATATAATTCAAAAACATGTCTAAGAGTATCAGTATAGTTTTTTAGTGCTTGAAAATTGATTGCATTATATTTTTATTGCTTTTAATAGAGCGAGACTATTTTCAATTTTCTTATCAGATGTTTATGATTTATTAGCGAAGGTGCTATTTTATGTTTGATTGGGATTTGGTGACGTAGTGACACTTGACCAAAAATTGGAGGACGATCTGTAGTATTTTTCTTTTTTGATGTTGCTTTTTTCAGTTTGTTGTATGGACTTTTGTTTTTTATTCAAAAATATTAAGGCTTTATCCTTCATAATTTTGTCAATTGAAATGTTTTGTGTATCCTCTGTGAGAATCTTTTGAAAATAGGCTCTTGAGGATGTGTATGAATGATGATTATTATAGAACTTCTTTGCCCTTGGTTGTGAAGATGGTCGAACAGACAGACTTTCCATAGAAGATTGAAGTGTTTCTTGTCTTAGATCTATGAGGTTCAACTTTTTTGAAAGGGAACTTTAATATAAATAGTCAAGTAATTACTTAATTATAAATTTAAGTTCCAATAGTTAGTTTGATTATAATTTGTTTATTTTAGTTTGATTTTCTACTTATGATTACAGTTATTCACATAATCGAATGCTTTCTTGTAATTACAATTCTTTTGAGTCTACCTATTCCTACAATTCTTATATCTATTTTGATTATTATAACAACATATTTTCTAATAACTATGTAGGTTGTGCAGACATACTTAATTTTTTTACAATTCGAGTATTAATCGTTCTGAAGTCTGAATTACTTTGAGATGAGTTATATTGGAATTGTCTTCAGAGTTTTTATCCAATTAAGACACTCTCGACATAGTCATAGATGGTTCTAGTAGGTTTTAACTATTCTTAAATTTGCTATAATAATCATTCAAAAAGATGTCAGTTAAATTGTTAGAGACAAGCATATTGGTGAGATGATCAGATTACGAGATTTCTAATAACGAGTCTTAATCCTTTTAATCCATTAAATAATGTATAATAAATTAAGATGATTGTTTAACAATTCTTACTAACAAAGAAAATATAATTATCAAGCTATATTCAAATACAATCCTCTTCTACTTTCTTGTCACCCCAAGTATTAATAATGTCAATCTAATTTAATTGAAATTCTTACTCTTCTGACCAAAGTGAGGAGCTTTTAAACCTTTCTATTGTCCTGAACCACCTCAGCCAAATCAGTATAGTAGGTAGACCAAGGATAGGCTTTGTTTTTTAATAGAGTCTAATGAATTTGTTGAAATTCTTACTTCCACAATGACCAGATGATTTCCCTATATTGCTAAGTAAAGAGGGGTTCTATGTAAAATATCTACTGCGTCTACATCTGCATGATTCTTAATTAGTAATTCAACCATGTCGACCAAGCCCTTCTTACAGGCCCAATGCAAGGCGGTCATGTTATAGAAATCGAAGTCAAATACAAGATATCTATTATATTCTAGCAATTCATAGACTCTTTCCATTTGATTCAGCTTTACTGCATGAATAAATTCATTCGACATTTTTCGTTGATAAGGCTTTTTAGAGAAGACTTTGTTTTCGATCATATATTGTGGATCAATATTCATGGCCTTCAGTTTATTGATTGCTCTCAAAAGTATCATTCTCAATTGCTTTTTCGATCGCTTGGGTGGTTCAATCTTGGCTTTCACAAATTAATGATCGAAATCAAAGTGTTACATAATGCGAGGAGATTGAAATTCTGATATTACTGTTTCTTTTGGAGATTACAAAGCAGGAAATTTTTGGGCGGAAGAGATTTCCAATTAGGGAGTTTCTTCAATGGTCTTTTGAAATAATTGAGTTTATGGCAGAGTGTTAAACTTTCCTTGTTTTGTTTGAGTAAGATAGGCTCTTACGGTTCGATGAGTATTAGGTCTAGAAGTTCTGGTAGTATTTGTTGGAGAGAGGTTCTTGATGATACGGAACCGTGGTGAATTGTTTTTGTTATAAGTGTATTCTATTTTAAGTTTTGGTACTTTTGGACAATGTTCACTCAGCATTTTACGATGATTTGTAGGTTTGCCTAATAATTCTTTTATTTAATTAGTTTGCTGGCTATCCTTTTTTAAATTTGTAACTCTTGGAGGCAGTTTAAGCTCCCTGTATATTACGTTTCAAATACCTAAATTCACTGAGTATTCGCAAATAACATTTATTTTAATATAATTCATTCATTATTATAATTAATGTATAAATTCAACAAGAGTTAAACAGTTCCACCAAGGGCTAAGGAGAAAAGCAGCATTCTTGCTCTCTGTGTTAATTGCGAAGAATTTATTCCCATTGATAGAATAGATCTTCATACCTAAATTTGTACTTAGGTTTCCAATAAAGTACGCAAATTTGCGTTTTCTTCCTTTTATTTCGAAGAAAACGATTTCAAATTGAAGAAATTGAAAACCAATTTATCAACTAAGAATTATTAGCATACCTAAAGATTGTGTCGAATTTGCGAACTGGTAACGCAGATCAATTCCATTGGATATGTTGAAGAGGCATCCTTAATAGAATTCGAATAAGAACTAATCCTTATGAGTAAGGAACCAATTCAATCTTTGAATTTATCACTATATATCGAAAGATTACACTCTCTTGTAATACAAAGAATATAAATCATTTAAAATTAGTTGAATTCTAAAGTTATTAGGCCGTCTTAATCTTAATAAAACTTTTATCCATAAACTAGTACTGTTTTTAATTCAAAACAATCTAAAATCTCAACAGGTTCTACTCAAACTTTGAGCAATATTAATTTATAAAATTTAATATCTAACAAATTTGAAGAGTCAGAAATTTTAGTTTCAGGTCATAGAATTTCATCAAGTCAAATCCCAGAGAATCGCATGACAACTATTACTCGATTCTCATAGGATAGTGGAAATTAATAATAGGTACTTACTTCCCAATAAAGGAGAGGTGAAGTCCTGTTAACTAATATTAGTGAATAGTCAGTAGAATCAATAAAAGAATATGTTAATCCAAAAACCTTTGCTTAACGCTGCTTTTATTCCAAGGTTTTAAATATGAAATTAGAATACCCATAAACAAGTCCCGCTTAAAAAATTCCTGTTTCCTTACTATGGAAATTGGCAGAGTAAAGGTAAATAAAATCTGGAAATTGGGATTTATTTATTCAATAATGTCTTGATAACCCTTTTGAATATGTGGATCCTAAGAAATTCAATAAAAGTTTCAATAATTCAATCTAATATCAACACAAATATTGAATCAATGAATATAGTTTTCATTTTCAAATATTTATCCAAAACATAATAAGTTTTACTCGGATAAATTAATATTTTTTTTTACATTTAAATTCTTATTTCATCACATTATCAATTTATTTATATGATCAAATGAAGTTTATCTTAAGTCAAGTATATTTTATAATGAATGGCAGGAATCTTGGGTTTAAATAAGATGTGAATAGAGAAAGTTAGAATGAGAATCTGCTATACTAAGTTTAAAATTTAAAATTCGAGAAAATTTGAAAATTTCTTGATAATTTTGCAAAATTTCAACTAAAATTTCAATACTTATTTTTATAGTTTATTAAATGAATATTCTTGATAAATTCAAAAATTACTTATAAATTCCCAATTACGTTGAAAATTCTACTTCCCAGACTTCTTTTAAATATATTACCCTTTTTAATATAATTAATATATAATAATAAATTTTTAATTATAAATAGTAATAATGCAATTGTAACTAAATGACCGACAAGATATATAAATCTTGAATATTTCTAAGCCTCGATTCTATTTTATTTAATTGCTTATAAGCAACTTAATTATAATTTAACTCATATTAACATAACTCCATCTGTATAATAAAATTCCATAGACATATCTAAAAAAAAATATCGCATACTTTCATAGGAGGAGAAATAAGCTGCAATTAATCAAATGTCGAGCAATTGTGCTTCTTAATCACTAGAAATGGTAGCACAGAATTTTTAAACTTCAGTGAAGAATTTAAGAAGGTGGTATCGTGAAGGAGTATAAAGAAAACCAGGGTGCGGCAGAAAGAAGCTAAATGAAACTGCAGAAAAGGAACTAGCATTATGGATAATAAATGAGTCAATCAATTAAGGCAAAAGAATAAGAAGGAATGTGTTGAAGGAGAAGGCAATTGAATTGTTCAAGGATCCTCAATTTAAGGCTTCAAAAGCATGGTAGGATGAGTTCATAAAGACTCACGATATCAAATTTTTAGTTAATAAAGAGCTTTATAATAGAGGAATGCTAAATAGTTTGCAAGCTTAAAAATTGGAGGAATAGTAGAATATTAGGGAATAGGGAGGATAGTTTATTATAAAACAAAAACAACAATCAGAGGACATACCCACTGAAACTAAATTTGAAGAGAAGAGAGCGAAAGTGATTACTAGTCCCTTTGATTAGAAGGAGGAAGAGGGAGTTTTTAATTTGATCAGGGACGAAGGAGCAGGACATGAATTGGATTATTTGGATGAGTGGTAGATCAACTAGGGCTCGATGAATTTAATTTATGAGGAAGATGAAGGACTAAGGGATGAGATTTAGGATGTGTCTGAAGTGTACTTTCCAAAACTAAAGAGAGTAATTGATTAATTTAACCAATATATAAATATATTATAAGAATTATAAGAACAGAAAGGAAATTATTTAAACTTGGGGTAAAAAGGGAGAAAAATTTAGATTTTTAATATTAATTTTTCACTCAATACATAAAATACTTATAATTTTGATAATAATAATGAATGCTGTTTCACTTTTAATTGATGAACTAAATGATTAAATACTGGCAGATCAATTTTTATACATAGATTTGATAGGAGGAGGATCTTAAGGCAAAGTTGTTATGGCTTAGAGCAAAGGCCTAAATTAAAGTGTTGCAATTAAAGTAAATTAGTTAGTTTAAATGGTTAGATTATTGAAAGACATAAGAATAAAGCACAAGATTAGGAGGCATCTTTGTTGGAGAAGTGCAATCATCATAACATTGTACATTTTCATAAAGTTGTATTTTTGTATAATTTTAGTTGCTTTATACTCATAATCATTTGTACATAATAATGGAGTATCTGCAAGGAATAACCCTCTAGGAAGTAATGCAAAAGCAACTGTAGGAAAACAAAGTGAGAAATCTTATTAAACAAATTTTGGAAGGCTTGAGTTATTTACATAATCAAGGGATTATTCATCGAGATTTGAAGCCATGTAAGAAAAATTTAGGATTTAAGCAAACATATATTTGGTTCGAGAAAACAATAAATCCATTGTCAAGCTGATTGACCTTGGACTTAGCTATTAAATAAGTTCACACAAAATAGCCAATAAGTAATGCGGTACATTACTATACATGGCACCAGAATTGGCTTAGGATGTTCCTTATAATCAGACCGTAGACATTTTTGCCCTTGGGATTATTTTTTATTAGTTATTTCATGATGGAAAACATCCATTCTATGTTCCTGGAATGAGAAGTTCTGATTACTTTAAAAGGTTAGCGAAATTGGAGTTTAATTTGCATTTTAGAGAGAATATTCCATGCATGGCAAAAGATTTTATATAAAAAACAATGGCTTTGTCCCCTGATGATAGAATGTCAGCATATTAATGTTTGGATCACCCATGGATTAAGAACGTTGAACAGTAACAATACCCAATCACTACAAATGAAATCATCTCAACATTTATAGTGAAATAGAAATTCATAACGATCATCAAAGCTTTAATGATCTAAACATAATTATAGTAATTATCCATAAATAGGGAACCGAGCGAGAGTGAGAGTAGATATTATACTAAATCCTATTTAACAGAAATTGATTCATAACAAGAATAAGAATTAGTTCATTTACGCTTTCCCATGAGTTAGAGAGATAAGCTTCCCATATCCAAATCGAAAATGCTTAAAACTGTTTAAGGCACTTTCAATACGCCTTAAATGAAAAAAAGGGAGGTTTCTAGATAGTGTTTAGCATTCAGCTTTTTAGGTTCTCCGAAATTCCTAACACCCTAAACTCATACTAAAAGGAATCTTAAAACACCTTCCCCTCCTTAATTTAGATTGCCCTCCATTAATTCGCCAAAACAAGTTCAAATTCCTAAGATTTCTAATATTATAAATAAATCTAGATTTTTTTAATAATGATATAGATAAAATTTTATATATTAATTTATGGTATTAGATGAGCTCATCATATATTATTTCATTTTATTTAGAGTTAAAATCAAAAATTATTAAAGATTTGATGATAATTTAATCTAAATTTATCATCAGACGATGTTGCTGCGATTTGCTGTTTATTTTGATACATTTTTGTTAATACTATAATATTTTCAAAATAATTTTACAAATTACTTAGAGATGATTAAAATATATTAATGTGTCAAAATTTTCTAATTAAAATGTGAATCTATTATTTACTTATTTAGAGTGTATGTATTATTTCTTGTATGATAGTAAGGAATTTTAAAGAAATGAAGGTTTATCCTTTTGAATTATGTTTTCATAAATATTAGAAATAAAAGAAGAAGAAGCATAATTTACTAAGCCCAATGTAAAAAATGAATTCAATAGTAATGCAACATAATTTCATACAAAATCCTCACTTTTAGTCTTACTAAACTAACTCTTTTTCATTTGTTCTTCTTTTTAAATGTTGTTAACTTTAATCTATTTAGGAGATTATGACTTTGGTGACTAGAGGTCTTCGGTTCTTGGAGAAGTAATCTTTATCTCCTTGATCTCATTAACGAATGATAATCCATTGTTACAATCCAATTTAGGTGAAAATTACATGTAGGAATTAGATTTCTTATGTTTAGGAGTTTCAGATCCTTAGGAAGATGGAGAGGATTACCGAGATTTTAAGCCCAGTTGAATAGTTAATTGCTTGTTATGCAACATATCTATATTAGTAATATATTTATTTTTAATTGGTTAAATCAAAAATAGAGTCCATTTAAATCATAAAATAATATGTAAACTTTTATTGTTTATAATTTTAAATAATTCAATATGAATCTATAAATATGAATTTTATGAATAAATACTAAATTATTACATTAAGTAAATTAAAAAGCCTCTGGAGAACTATATTCTTTTTGGGTTATCATGGATCTTTTTATGGATTTAGTGTGAATGAATATTTAATTATTTTTAATAATAAATGGCAACTAAATAAAAATCAATTGAGGATTATAGGAATGCTGTGAAGTTATTAAAATTAAAAGTTTTAAAATTGCAAAAACAGAATGAAGAGCTCATAGACAAACTCAGAGAGCAAGGAATTCCCCTTGATTAATAGCATGATTAAGTTGATTTGAGCAATCAAGCAGTTATGGGAATATTTTCACGAAGTTGTAGAAGGATTGGACTAACCCCGGAGATGATGTTTAGATCATCCGATAGGGAGGGATAAGGATAGATAAGTACTGAAGATATGAGACTCTTTTTATCTAAAGTTAGATTGGGTTTGAATAATACTTAGTTGACCATGTTGGTGAGAATTTTCGATGAGGATTGCTCAGGAGTGATAAAGAGAGAAGGTAAATTACAAAAAGTAATATAGAGTATTATGATTGTTTGTAAGCGTATGGAATCAATGAAGAAAAGGTATAAGGTTAAGCTAGAACCTATGGGTAAGAGAGTCTTCTAAAATATGCTCGTTTACTTTTGATGAATAGATTGTCTGTTGAGGATTCTCTTAAAAAAATGGGAGATAACATAATCCCATCTCATTTTGTGTAATTCAATTATCAATTATAAGGTCTTTCATTCATGGGATTGATGGATAAAATTTATTAAATGAAAAAGAAATAATAGCTGTTTTCAATCACATAGATGTCAATAAGAGTGGAGTTCTTTAAGCAACATTTTATGATCAAGAGGTCCGTAAGGCAATGAGAGTTGCATAATCCGACATAGGTTTGGGTGTTCAAATTAATCCAAACACTGGAGGAGGAGGAGGCAATCCAATACCTAAACCTTAGCCTGTGGGGATCCTAAAACCAAGCCAAATGTCGTAATAATTGGATCCCTTTAGAATGACTTAAACATAGATGGGGTAATCTAAATCAGGACTGAATATGTCATCTTCGCATGCACTTCTGAATGAGACGATTATTATGTTGACAGAGGAGGATAGGAAGAATATTCAAACCATAATAACAAAACTTAAGGCTTAAGGAGTGGATGCTATTGAATTTATTAGAAATGTGATTTAACAATTGGAAGTTCCAGGAGCAGGAATTTTGTTGTATGATTTCTATAAGAGATTTGATAAGAAGATTCCAAAAAGTGATTAGTTGTCATTATTTAATGCTATTGATTTGAATAAAAATGGGTCAATAGACTATGATGAGTTGATGGTCTTTTTCTAGGAATTTAAGTCTCCAAAAGATAATTTTGATTTGTTGTTTGAAATTTTAACTAGGAAATTGTAAGCTTTAGAAATTGGTATAGTTTAGCATTTAGCTTCTGAATAAATTTATGAAGATACATAATTAAATTAAGAATAATTTTATTAATTGGCTTAGATTTTATTCTCATGCCCATCCAAAAAGCATTCTGATGCTCTATTTTCATATTTTGATATTGATGGATCTGGTATTCTATCAGCCTAAGAAATAATTGATTAGGTTTAAAAGATTCTATTAATTTATGTTCCTCAGAAAACAATGAATTTAGACAACACACTTAATAAATCAATGAGAGCTTCCCTTAAGTCAGTTGGAGAGTATGCTACAACATTATCAAAATTAAAACCTGTGTTAATTGAGGAGGATTATTTTGGTAAGTACAGAATGGAAGGAAGTGGAAAGACATTGCATAAAGAAGAAACTAAATGGACAACCATATTCAACTCAGATTTAGCATGTTTAAGATATGTTTATGAGGAAATATCGAAATTGGAATAGAATCCTGGTGCAAAATGGGAAGATCCAGACTTTGGACCTACCAAAGAAGATCCCTATGGTAGTAAGAGTATGTACTTTGCTGATAATGATGTACCCGAGGGTGCTCCATAGCCGAAGGAGTGCAAATGGTTGAGACCTGAGGAATTCTTGGCTGCCTTAGTAGAGAATGGAGATGAACAATATAAAAATAGTACTGTTGATGTGTTTGATGAGGACGGAGCTGCTTCAAATGATGTGTGTTAATCAAAGTATTTAGGTAATTGTTGGTTTGTTTCTGCATTATCAATTATATCAGGATATGAGAAATATTTATAAGGGGATTTTGTAATAACTTAAGAATCTATATAAGAGTTGACAGATGAGGAAGTGAATGGAATGCTTATTGGAGTTTATCCACCTTGTTTCAAGTTCTTAAGGAAATATGGGTTATATGTGATGAGATTCTTCAAGAACTTTGGATGGAAGTATGTTGTAATCGATGACAAGTTATGTGTAAAGGATAACGAATATGTGTTTGGTAAAAATAGAAAGCCTACAGAGAGTTGGGTCAATTTGATAGAGAAGGCGTATGCAAAACTCCATCAAAATTACTTTGCTTTAACAGCTGGAGATATTGCCCAAGGTCTGGCAGATATGACTGGTAAGGTACCTGACAAAATTAAATTGAATGAAGAATGTACAAAGGCTGAAAAGGAAGATCTTTGGAATTTGCTATTAAAATGCAAGAAAGACGGTACAATGTTGGGATGTAGTGCAGAAGGAGGAACTGAGTTGTATATAAAAATAAATGATGAAGACACAGGTGTTATGAGTGGACATGCTTATGGTATATTAGACATGTTTGAGATCCCTGATTAGAGTTGCAATAACTATCATAAATCACACAGGTTATTAAAAATCAGAAACCCTTGGGGATATGGAGAATGGAAATTGAAATGGTCAGAAACTCCAGATTATTCTGCTAAATTGGATAAATGGATTGATTGGATAAATGATTATTATTAAAAGGAGATTGAAAAGGCCAAGTTGGAAGGTAAAGAACCTCCTGAACCTTATGTTTATGGATAAGATGACGGTACATTCTTTATGTGTTTCAAAAGTTGGAGAACTGTGTTTTCTAATTTATTCTAATGCATGTAAGAAGATTTCAATATATTAATAGCGACTTTCCTGAAGATTGGAGTGGACTGAGAGCATTTGATTAATTTGGATTGTAGAGTTCTGGAGCTCCAATGAAAACTGAAGCCTCATTGATTCAATATGCTCAAAAGAATCCATAATACATACTTGATTTGAAACGAAAGAAAGGAGACAAGACAAATATGTACATTTAAATGCAACAGGTGGATGGTATATATTAATTATATTATTTTTATAGGACGATTGTTTTTGGGCGAAAGATATCCATTTCCAAATGTGATGAAACCTATTTTGCTATGTGTATTTTCTTTAGGACCTACTGAGAAATGCTTGGCTAAGTTTGATGATAAGAAGGTAGTTGCTTCTTCTGGTAAGTTGAATTTGAGAAGAGAAATCGATACTAATGACATTTCTTTAAGTAATGGTAGATATGCAGTCATACCATGTACAAAGGAGGGAGCTTAATAAATTGACTTCACTTTAAGCTTTTACTTCGATTGTGATAAGAGTGAAATCAATATCACAAAATATGGTGATCCTCGCTTTAAACTTCATCCTATTACAGAGGAAGAAGAGGAAGTGAGTAAAGTGCCAGAGGAGTTAAAGAAACTGTTAAAAAAACAAGCCCAAGAAGTATTAAGTTCATAATGATCATGATATTAGGATAAAAATATCTATATTTATTGATAATAATAAATCAATTCATTTTCTCTAAATGATAACATACTGATTCTATCATATTATCCAAAGGATTCTCTCCAGATACTTTGTAAATGAGTGATGCATATTTAGGAGTACTATCTATCAATTATTTTAAATCATCCCATCCCTTCAGTCTAATTTTACAATAGTATTCAATCATACCTCTATTAAACAACCTCTCTTTTTTCATTTGGTGCTATGACCAATCTGGATCTCACTTCCTTATCTGCTTCATCAACGGAATTGTACAATTTTCCTGTGATTGGATCAGTTCTTCTTTACACCAGTCTTCTTGTGATGATATCATCAGCTGCATCAATAATCACTATAAGAGTTGGCTAAACATTCAATTCATTCAGAGATTCCAATTGCTTATCTGTTTTTGGGTAACCATCTAGTACATAGCCTTGCAATTGGCAATCAGTCTAATTAAGCCTTTCTTTTATTAGAGCATTCACGATTCTGTCATCAACTAGATCTCCTTTACTCACCTTCTCAAATGCTTCTTTTCCTGTTGCTCCTTTTTAGTTTACTAAATTTGAAATTAATTCTCTTGTTGAAATATACACAAATCCATATTTGCTTGATAACTTTTTGGCTAAAGTTGATCTTCCAGATCCAGGAGGTCCAATAACAACTATTCTAAGAGCTCTTTTGGGTGAATTATCGTAGAGTTTGTACTTCAATAATTGCTATAAGATAATTAATTTTATAAATATACTGCCATATCCTCTAGTTCATAGTTTTTTTCTCCATCAACTGAGAAGTATTAGTTCTTGTATACTTCTTTGACTTATTTCAAGTTCAATTAATATTCCAAAGAGTGATTTTTTACTAAATCTTCTTTATTGTTTAGTTTATTAAATGGTTCTGAGTCTAATTTCTTAAGACAACATTGATAAACCTTTTCTTGGGACATTTCCAAAATAAGAAATGCATCGGGTATTATCCCCTCCTTTTGAAGTGCCAAACCTTAGACTCTAGTTTTAGGGAATCCTTCGAAGATGTAACTTTTCTTTTCATTTTCCAAATGGTTTATTTAATTAAGTGCTATGTTGATCACAATTTCATCACTCACATATTAGAATTTGTCCAGAGATTCTTGGATTTATTGGCTCTAAATAAAACGTAATATTGATATGCATACCAATTCAGACTTTTTACTTAACTCCTTCTCAATCAAGTCTCCAATAGAAACGATGTGAAAATTCAAATAATCAGCCAATGTAAGTGATAATTCTCTTAATTTTGATCCAGGAGGACCAACCACAAAGATTTTTTTGGCTTGATTCAGGTATCATATATACTTTCTGGTTCTTGTAATTTATTGATTAGAAACTAGATTGGATCATCAGGTTTTTTAATAATTAAAGATTTGAGTAGATCTTCGAAGATGTGATATACTTTGTTTCTTTCAAGATAATTTTCAACTTGTTGCTAATATTGCAATTTATTGGCTTAGTCCATAAGTTATCTTTTTTTTATTTAAATTTATTGATATAATTATAATTATAATTAAAAATTGAATCAAGCCTTTTTCATTTGCTCTAACAAGTCTTTTTGCTACTAGATCATTTCCTTCATCAATTTATTCTAGTGTTTTAAGCGATGAATGATCTCTTTTTTTTGTTTTTGATTTTCTATTTGAGGAGGTTGAGGTTAAATGATTCGAGGGATGTGTTTGGTCTTCTACTCTTATTACTTTTGACATGCCCTATTGATAGTAGCTGAACTGCTGATTTGAGGCATGGAGGAATTTAATTTGCTTTTCTTTTCTGGTTGAGGATCCAAGGAGAAAGCCCATTCTCTGATTTCTTCATTCGTCATCAATTCTGAGAGTGGACAATCAATCTATTGTGAATCCATAAATATTATTGAAATCCGTAAAAAAAATAAGTGCCATCTGTATAAAAATCAAAATCCTTGTTGAATTGTTCATAAGAGACATCACAATTGTATGTATAAATATGTAATTAATTGAATATTGAATAGAAATCAATTGTCTGAATCTGAATCTATGCCACTGATGATGACTTCTTCTTGAGGAGGACCCTGGCGTTCTCTCTTCTCAATGGCTTGGACATTCCTTAATAATTTTTGTCTCAATTCTTCATCTGCTTCATTGTAACTATTTTCGTCATTTCTGTAATCTTCATCATCATCATCATAGGGAGTGATCTGTTTGGTGGACAGTTCCTGTTTGGAAGGGTAGTTTTCTTGGAAGTGGAACTTTTCGATGTGATTTTTGAGCGGCAATCTGCTAGTGTATTGCTTTCCACAAAATTAACAGTATACTTTTTCTTTGTTGGAACTATAACTGTAATCTGAATTTGAAGACCTTTTCTTGAGATTTAGAATAGAATTGGAATTGCGACCATAATAGGAGTCAGCTTGTTTAATTTGATTGAATAACCTAGTATACTTATCGGTTAGATGTTTCTATTCGTTGAGGTAGTTGCTAATTAAATCAGCGAGTTTGTTGTTCATTATTTTAATGCCAAAAAAAATTAGGATTTTTAAGAGAGGGATTTGGCCAAAAAATTTATATGATAATGTCAAATAATTAATATGAATTATAAAAAAGTAATTAATTAATCATCTCAATTTATTTAAGTACTTCAATCGCTCAAACAATGAGGGATGACTATTATAGTACCATTGATAGATTGGGTCTACCATCAAATTCGTGGAGTTCTATTTGAACAGCTTGATCAATCCACTCATCAAATAGGACCCGAGACCATGATGATTGGCAAATATGTCTGCCTGATACTCGAAGAAACGGGACAAATGGAGTTCGAATATTTGGAACAATGTATTCATGGGTTCAAAGAGAGAAAAGAACAAGGCAGACCCAATGAAGATGGACTTCTCCTTGAAACCAAAACTCAAGAACACGACATCCGAATCTCTGTAGAAGCCAAAGATGTAGAAAGTGATCAAAACTATAATTAAATACTAATACATACTTTTGATGCAAAAGAATAATAATTTGATGTAGGGATGTCTATATTTCCAATGTCCCAATTCATGAGCAACCACAGCCACAATCTCCTCGTTTGTCAGATTATTGATGAGAGTGTCATACAGCACTATTCGCTTGCTGTACATACCAAAGAAGTAGGCATTTGAATGGTCCGATCTTTTGGACCCATCCATAACCAGGATCTTCTCCAATGGGAAATTCATTCTGAATGCTAATTGACTGATGGCTTGTTTGAGTTGAGTTTCTTTGAGTTCTTCGAATTCGTTGAAGAGTGGTTGAATATAATTAGGATNCTAAGAGACATCACAATTGTATGTATAAATATGTAATTAATTGAATATTGAATAGAAATCAATTGTCTGAATCTGAATCTATGCCACTGATGATGACTTCTTCTTGAGGAGGACCCTGGCGTTCTCTCTTCTCAATGGCTTGGACATTCCTTAATAATTTTTGTCTCAATTCTTCATCTGCTTCATTGTAACTATTTTCGTCATTTCTGTAATCTTCATCATCATCATCATAGGGAGTGATCTGTTTGGTGGACAGTTCCTGTTTGGAAGGGTAGTTTTCTTGGAAGTGGAACTTTTCGATGTGATTTTTGAGCGGCAATCTGCTAGTGTATTGCTTTCCACAAAATTAACAGTATACTTTTTCTTTGTTGGAACTATAACTGTAATCTGAATTTGAAGACCTTTTCTTGAGATTTAGAATAGAATTGGAATTGCGACCATAATAGGAGTCAGCTTGTTTAATTTGATTGAATAACCTAGTATACTTATCGGTTAGATGTTTCTATTCGTTGAGGTAGTTGCTAATTAAATCAGCGAGTTTGTTGTTCATTATTTTAATGCCAAAAAAAATTAGGATTTTTAAGAGAGGGATTTGGCCAAAAAATTTATATGATAATGTCAAATAATTAATATGAATTATAAAAAAGTAATTAATTAATCATCTCAATTTATTTAAGTACTTCAATCGCTCAAACAATGAGGGATGACTATTATAGTACCATTGATAGATTGGGTCTACCATCAAATTCGTGGAGTTCTATTTGAACAGCTTGATCAATCCACTCATCAAATAGGACCCGAGACCATGATGATTGGCAAATATGTCTGCCTGATACTCGAAGAAACGGGACAAATGGAGTTCGAATATTTGGAACAATGTATTCATGGGTTCAAAGAGAGAAAAGAACAAGGCAGACCCAATGAAGATGGACTTCTCCTTGAAACCAAAACTCAAGAACACGACATCCGAATCTCTGTAGAAGCCAAAGATGTAGAAAGTGATCAAAACTATAATTAAATACTAATACATACTTTTGATGCAAAAGAATAATAATTTGATGTAGGGATGTCTATATTTCCAATGTCCCAATTCATGAGCAACCACAGCCACAATCTCCTCGTTTGTCAGATTATTGATGAGAGTGTCATACAGCACTATTCGCTTGCTGTACATACCAAAGAAGTAGGCATTTGAATGGTCCGATCTTTTGGACCCATCCATAACCAGGATCTTCTCCAATGGGAAATTCATTCTGAATGCTAATTGACTGATGGCTTGTTTGAGTTGAGTTTCTTTGAGTTCTTCGAATTCGTTGAAGAGTGGTTGAATATAATTAGGATAGACGAGACTGGACACTATTGCCATGATCAGTACAAAGAGTTGCATCTATATGTTGTGTAGTCGAATATACCGCTATGAAAAAGTAGTCACCTCCCAGTTCAGCCACATATAAGTAGGAGTAGAGTAGTATTGGTACAAAGACCACCCACAATGCTGATTCAATGACTAGATCACTGAATTGCAGAGCGAATGATATTTGACTCAGATCATATCTCTTCTCTATCACATGAGTGTTATAAAAATTATTAGGAACATCAATTAATTTGAGGCGTAAAAATTCCACAAAGATATATGCCAATCCTCTTTGAAACTATAATCAAAATAGAATTACCTCTGAATTCGGGTCCATCTTAAAGAAAGTCACAGTCCTTTCCCAAATAAAGGGCATCACTCCACATAATATTACAATTATCTCAATTGCTGTTTTTATTGATTTCGTGTACATTTCAAACGACCTACGCAACATCAAATCAAATTTACAGTTTGTCATAATAAAATCGCTAACTTCTCTTGAATTGCTTCTGCGTGATCCCCAAAGTCTATTCAATGTGAATAGGCATCTGTTTCACTGACAATTAATCCAATTGTCTCAGATTGATAAATTGTTCCAACAGATACTTGATCACTATGTATGATACTACAATGTAGAGATAAGAGTATGACACCTCCTATTCTTTTATTCTTTATATTGCCATTAAAATTAAAATTGATATATTTTATCAAAACTCAACTTACTTCAGCAAATACATCCCCCCACTTACACTTCTACCCTTCCTCTATATTCCATTTCACATTCTCCGCCTCAAACATCATAACAACTGTTGAGCCCAATTTGAACATTCCCAATTCATCACCTTTTCTAAGCGAAATAGTTGGATCATAATGTTTGTAAACAAACAATTCCTGAGCCTTCTAATTAGTCTAAAATTCCTTATCATAATTTAAAGTCATTGATCCCACATTGGTTGCACCCACCAAAACTATGCTCATTAATCCAAAATTATATGTTCCAAACAATGCCACTCTCTCATTTGTCTCATATACCTTTGGTGTGCTTGAAATGTAGCTGATCTTTACGGGTGCCAGATGTCCAACTATATGACTCCTGCTTTTCAATTAAAAATCACTTGGCAAATGATATCTGTGATAGTCTCCAGGAGCCAAATAAAATATCACTGAATATAGCTTCGTATTCTTTCTTTTCTTTGCATCCTCCAATACTTAAGGAGTCATCTCAAAAGTCTCTTGTCCAGTTAAAAAATACCCCAATTTATAATGCACATTCTTAACTAATATTGGACTATCATCCTTCACTTCGCAAAATGATAGCACCTTAGAATCTGCTGGCACTATCAACTTATTTACATTTTTATCGAATTCTCTGCTTTTTATCTTGCGAGTAAAAAATTGTTGAAAGTTTTCATAATTTTCAAGTGGCTCCAACATATCATCATAATTCACATCATAAACATAACCAAACAATGAAAATAGAGGACTTCTCAACCATTTCGGAATGTGCGTTTCTGCCACTTTACCAGATTAATATGAGACATATCTAGTCACTGATTATTGGTAAGCTTCCAAATCCTATTTATTTCGATTCTCCTTATAATATGAATACACAGCCATTCCGTTTGCCAAACCGAATATCAATCCCCACTTTAAGTACCCCAAACCAACAGCCTTCTTCAATGCCTTATCTATCATCGACATTAAATTTAAGCTGTTACTTTTATTATTAAACTTGAATTTTCTTGGATACAATTTGGAATTGAGAATTAGAAACCGATTAATTATATCTATTAAATCATTTCATATCCAACTCTTGGAATTGAGAAAATCATTATTTCTAATTTATGTAAGCCTTAAAGACAGTTGTCATAACAGGAGCTAACAAAGGTATTGGCTTTGGCATTCTTGAAAATCTTATTCAGAAGTAGTCATACAAAGTTATTATGGCTTGTCGATCTCTTGATCTAGCTCAAAAGTCTAGAACCTAATTGATCGAAAAATACAATGTATCCTTATACTTTAAATTATTATCAGCTTTCTCAAGATAGAATTGACATTATTGAATTGGACATTAGTAGTAGTGATAGCATTGATAAATTCATTCAGGAATTTACAACTAGATTCCATTAAGCTGATATCTTGATCAACAATGCTGCCGTAGCTGTCAAGTCAGATGATTTCAATTTTGAAATTGTGTAATATACCTTTACACCTAACTTCTATGGCACAGGTATAAATTCTCACCTATTATACTCTAGTGGAATTGACTGAAAAATTCATTCCTTTATTGGTTTAAAATGGAAAGATCATTACAATTGGATCATCAGTTGGGAACACTAAAATTTTGGAGTCTGATGATCTAGTCAAAAGATTCAAGAATCCAAACATTACAAGAGACGATGTTTTCAAGTTGGCTGATGAATTCTAAGAACATGTTAAGAATAGTATAAAGATTTGTTATATATAGATACATATGCACAGAATGGTTGGCCAAGCTGGGGATATGGAATTAGCAAATTACTCATTAATACTTATGTCAAGACTACAGCATCAAATGCTGATGTTAAACAAAAAAATTTATAAGTTTACACATGTTGTCCTGGATGGGTGAAAACTGATATGGCGGCAGAGGGAGCAGTGCTGACAATAGAACAAGGGGCTTTAACTCCTGTATATTTGGTAGAATTACAATTTGAGGTGAATCCTGCCTATCAAGGATAATTCTTTTATCTTTAGAAGGTGTAGGAATTGTGATGATATATATAAAGGGTTTATAATATGTTAACACTTTTTTACATAATGGATTAATTTAATTATTTTATACCAAAAAAATTTATTTTTTATCGAACAATAAAGTGACAATTTATTCGAGATTAACAAATTAATATGTAACTTAATTAAAATTCATTTGTAGAGCAATAATATTAAATTATTATTATAATAATATTTATTTTTAGATAATAAAAGAATATAATTATAATATTAAATTTTATAAAAAATAAAAGAGAATTTGCGTATCTTATTCATTAGGCTATTATTATATAAATACTGCGTGTATAAATGACAAAATATCTTTTTATCGAGACAATAATATTAATATCTCATCATGCATTCAAAACAACAAAGTGTTGCCCAATTATTCTATAGAAGCTTGTACAACAATACCCACGGCCTCTTAAAACAAAGAATGAGGGAGCTAGTGCCAGTCAAACAAGCTCTACTCCGTGATGTGAGGAAGCGATATGGATCTAAAGAAGTCTGTAAGGTGACAGTTGATCAGGCCATCGGAGGAATGAGGAACGTGTTTGCTCTCTTTTATGATGCATCCTTATTAGATGCTAAGACAGTAAAGATTTTCATATAAAGTTCTCTCAGGGTATCACAATGAGAGACTACAATATCCCAGAATTACAAGAGTACCTCTAAAAGGGTGAGAATGGGCATGAACCTTTACCAGAAGCTTTGTTCTGGTTGTTGTGCACAGGTGATTTCCCTTGTAAGAAGATTGATTCATATTTTTAGCTGAGCAAGAATTTGCTGATGTGCAATAGGAATGGAAGTAGAGAGGATAATTGGATTCTCAAACACAACACTTTATCTTGAGTTTACCAAAAACAGCCCATCCCATGACTATGTTGTCTCAAACTTTATTGTATCTATAAAAAGATTCCCTTTTCTAACAAGTTTATGATTAAGGAAAAGTCTCAAAACCTTAATATTGGGAGTATTTCTACGAAGACGCAATGAACTTGTTAGCCAAGATCCCAAGAGTGGCTGCTCTCATTTACAGACATAAATATAAGGTATATGGATTATAATAATGTAGAATGGAGAAATCATCTCAGCTGATGAGAGCTTGGATTGGGCTGGTAATTATGCTCACATGCTGGGATACAAAAAATTCGAAGTTCGAGAATGTTTGAGAGGATATTTAAGCATCCATGCTGATCATGAAGGAGGTAATGTGAGTGCCCATACAACACATTTGGTTGGTTCAGCTTTGGCAGACCCATATTTGTCATATTCTGCTGGTGTCAATGGTTTGGCAGGTCCATTACATGGTCTTGCTAATTAGGAAGTGCTTAAATGGCTATTAGAAATGAGAGTATTTCAATAGATTAATTATTTAATAGGATGAATTGGGTGAGAACATCTCAAACGAGAAGATCCAAGATTATGTACTAACTACAATCAGAGAGGGCAAAGTAATTCCAGGCTATGGACATGCTGTTTTAAGATATACTGATCCCCGCTTCATCCATCAAAAAGATTTTGCAGCCAGACACATCAAAGACGATCCCTTAGTTGATTTGGTTAGACAATGTTATCATGTGATCCCACCTGTTTTGAAGACTATTGGAAAGATCTAGAATCCATGGCCGTATTTATTAATCATTATAGTAGAAATGTTGATGCACACTCAGGAGTCTTGCTCTATCATTATGGAATGAGAGAGTTCCAATACTACACAGTTGTCTTTGCTGTCTCAAGAGCATTAGGATGCATGGCTAATCTCATTTGGTCAAGAGCATTTGGATTACCAATTGAAAGACCAGGATCAATTACAATGAGATGGATTGAGGAGAAATTTGGTGAGAACTAAAATTTAAAATGAGAACTATATCATTTTCATCATTAAATTTCACAAAATACTATCTTATATTTAAGTAAGACACTTAACATATATCATAATTAAGAATGCAGAATCTTCTTGACTTTCTTTATTTTTGAAGACACAAAACACTTTATAGTGTAATGAATAGGTTTGACTTTTTTTGTTCTGTGGAATTTGTTTATTCTACAATTGATAATGAATTGTACCTTATGATTACATTATCATAGTTATTATGTGGATTATAATACTTAAATAAATGCATCTTTTCAAATCTATTAAACACGATATCGTTATATTAATAGTGATGATTCTTTAATAATTCAAATTCCATACCTCTGGAGTATTAATAATTTGGAACTGCGACATCTAATTGAGAATGCTCACCTTTGTACCAGTTTTAGTGCTCTTCTTTCTATTTGTGTGTCTCTGCTATTCTGAAAGTGATTAATCACTATATGATCCTCTATCCTCCTTCTTTTTTTAAGGAGGAGGCTATTGAAATTGAGTTGGAGAAACTCTAGCAGACTTTGTATTTACCTTAGAATTGCTGGAGGGATTATTAGATAAGTTGTTAGACAGAGGATTTGAATAGGTGTTAGAACGATTTGAGGTTTGTCTGATTGAATTCTATTGTTGTTATTGAAATTGAACTTGATCATCCATCTATCCTGATTGTTATTGTTAATAACGAAAAGTCAATTTGGTATGCATAGAACGAGCAGCAGCATAGAGATGATTTTTCTTAGCAAAGGCTTGAGAACCACTACTCTGCTTGCTCAATTAATTCGTATCTTCTTGCTTTGAGTTAAGAGTTTCAAGTTACTTACTTTGGGATTACTCTGTAATAACTTGCAATTTCTCCTTATGCAAATTCTCTATTACGTATTGGCTAACATAAATACCTAGAGTTTCAGACATGAAGGGAAATCCAGCTGTTCTTAGAGTAGTTTTATTTTATTATTTTCTCAACTAATTATTGAATGCTGGATCAATGCCCAAATCTTCGTAGAGTTAATCTCCTTCACTATCTTGGTTGTCACTTATTTCAGGACTCTGTTTATGAACTGATTATGTTTTACTCAAATAGCTGGCGGAGCGTTATGTCTAATCTAAGTAGATTTAAAATATATTTATATAAATGTATATATACTTTCGCTGTAAGGTAGTTAAGATGACATTGGGAAGTCCTCAGATGTCATTACTTCCTACGATAACTTCTATTGATATTGTTTAGCTCTTTCTCCGACAACAAACAACATCAACAGAGCCTTAGGTTCTTTATTTTTTCTTTCAATTTTAAAACGTGCTTAGGTATGAGGATAGATATGCTTTTCAATAATGTTTATTTTTTTTGGATAATATTACAAGTATTGGCATTCAAATAACAGATGACCCTTGGTCTTACAATAATGACATTCGAAAGTATTATGATTCTAATTGCAATTATCCTTGAATAAGCAAAATATCTCGTTGTCATGAGGGAATGTCTTTATGATTTCCATGAAATCCGACCTTCTCAATTTTAATACTGTGGTCAAACTTTGACTATTGATGGAAATATAAGGAGGAATCCCACTTACGAATGAGAATTCCCCAAAGGTTTATCCTTCAGACAAAGTATGAAAAGTCCTTTTTGGTTTCCCTTGAAAGTAGCCTTAAAATTGAATCTTCACTTTTCCTTTTAAAATAAAGTAGAGACAGAAATCTTCAACCTAATGTTCCTATGATATTCTATTATAACAACTTTACTTAAACAATATTCTCCTCTGGATTATATTGGGCCATGTCGAACCAATAAATCAGTTGTTACTTCAAACTGGACGAAAACTTATTAAACAGCTTAATTTTATCAACCATCTTAGAACGAATAGAGATTTAGAGTTCTTCCTAAAGACCTGGAGACAACTTCTTAGCTAAAAGATCTCTAGTCTTTATGATGTCTTCCTAATCTTAGATAGAAGCTAGGCATTACATCAATTACATATTCCAAATAAGAGTAACAACGACATTGTAATCCATAGTCGAGGCTTTTGTCTTTAATGCCATTCAAAAAAGCAGCCAGATGTTTTTCCTTCTCCTCTTCCAGCTTCTTAGATGGTTTGATCCAAATGAATATTACTGATGCGGTGTAAATCATATTGAAGGAACTAACGATCATAAAAATTTGCAGGAGCGTAGCATTTGAGGGAGTGACATCTATTGTTATAGCTCCATTGTGTGTAAGTATGGAGATCGCTAATGAAAGTGAGTAATGAATTCCTTCGTCAGATTCTAATAAACAGGCAAAGGTCATAATCAAAGCCACCCAAAGAATTAGGATGTATATTGCCAACTAAGTGGATGTGTATATGTTTTCAAATCGCTCTGCTTATCTAGCCAATTGCAATATAATAAAAGGGATAATGATGTATTTGATCCTGTATTAATACGAAAAGACTAATATCAAAGCTGAGACTAGTCGACTTAGATCCAGGACGATCTTGGAGTTATCGCGATATTCGGTATTGAACCTACCCTCGCTCAAATGAAATGGTCCTCTCTTAAAATGAAGATCAGCGGCTATTTGAATGATTGAAAATCCATGGATAATATAAGCTGCGATATCAAAGCCTGGTTCCTCGGCTGCTTATAGAGGAATAATTATGGAAGATGCCAATATGATGGCTGAGGTCAAAGCAAAGTAGGAGATCGTGAACCATCTATACATTTGAGGTTATACTAATTGATTTCTAAAAATATCTACTTTAGGCGGAATCGTCGATCAAAGTGATGTCTCTCAATTAACTCCAATTAATCTTTCTTCTCATCCTTTGGACAAACCTGTTGACTATGTTCTTCACACGCTGAGTGTTAAGAGTGCCAGATTTGCTTTTATCCATCAATTATAACTGCAGCTATAATTAATCTCTAATTTTATACTGATTCAGATTGCAATGAATCATGAGGCTCTAAACCTGAAACATCAACCAACCTACTAGCACTGTTATTTTCAATCACTTTTACTTTTGATTCTTTTTAAAAAGAATTCTTCTCAAAACTTTTGTTTGAATGGATATTAGTATAAATTGTGGGTACTTTCATATCACTCCCACTTATGTCACATGGCTATTAGATTGGCGAATTCATAAATATCAATTTTCGCTATTGCTATTATAAACTTGAAGAAGACTATTCCTCATCCTCCTCCTAAATTGATTAGCTATTCTAGTATCCCACAGTTCTCGATATTTTCCTTTGAGGAATGTGCTCAGTTGGATCAAGGTCTTAAAATTCTTCAATTTTTTTAGATAACTACATTATTATTTAAATTCATTCTTTATAAAGCAATAATAATCCACTCAAAACTCACAAGGGAAATAGTATCAAGAAATACTTAAACTGAAACATACATGCACCTTTAAATAACACAAAAAGGCAAAAAATACATTGAATTATGAAAACTTTAAACATTTTAAATTTTATAAGAAAATAACACCAAAAAATTAATTCACCCGACTTTTATTATGGACAGGTTGGATACAATCTAAAAGTTATGGGAACATAGAAAGACAAAGCAGTATTTTTAGCCTTTAATTAAATAAAAAAATGATAATTTACAACTTATGTCCTATTTTCAGGATATTTCAAATAATTTACATTTCACACTAACTTAATGTTCTAAAGTAAATGAGAGATGAATTGAAGTATTAGGATTTTTTTGTTGATTTCAAAAATCAATTTTAAGAATAAATAATTTAAACGAAATTTAAAGAGTATATAGTATCTTTTAATTATCACTATTAATTTTAATAGTTTAATGCAAATTTACATTTAAGAAAATCTCATTTCTAGATTATTTAACTAAATTGAAATATTTCAAGAAATAATTTAAAATGCAATCTTCGAATTTTCTTAGATATCTATAATTTATAAAAGCTACTTTAAATTTCACTATCTTTTTTATAAATAATTTAAATTTCGTATAATTTTATGCTAATCTCATTCAATTATGATACTCTCTTAAAATAGAACCATGAGTCCAGGATTATCAGCCAAGAAGGATCTTAAGGAAGATGATTCCAAAATAACAATTTCAGTATCCTCTACTGCCTCGACTATGGTAGTGGTTCTTCTGTTTTAAACGATGGAATCAATTTCTCCAAAGAACATTCCACTAGTTAGAGGATAAGTCTAAATAATGAATTATTATATACTTTAATTTCACTTATTGATGATTTCTCTGAGACTTCTGGAGTTTGGATATTTGGTCTTTATTATTCAAGCATGGCTAGATTAATGGGTAAAGAAAGCCTCTTCTTTTTTTAATCAATAATTTATTATTATTATTATTTGGTCTGATCACTAATTGTTGAATCTTATCTATTAACTTTTACAGATTATCCTTCAAATTATTGCACTACATAGTCAGAAGGTAATATCACTTAAGCTTTACCAGAAACTACAAAAAATGCTACAGTAGCCATAACGCCATATTATTGAATCATAGAATGTTTTTAGAAAAAGCGCTTTTAATTTAGTAGCAATTCCAATTGAATTTTTTGATAGGATGTTAATTACGAGAAGAATTTGTTTTTTTCCATAATTTAGGTTTGAGAACGAACTACTTATAAATTCTCTAATTTTTGCATTACTTCATCATATTAAAATACCCTCAAAAAGTCTGCTTTACTCAAAGTTATTAAATCGCATTAATTCATAGCAGTAGCATTGGCTCTTCTCTTATTTTAGTTGAAGAAACACCCTTCACCAAAATAATCACCATAATGCAAGTATTTCACAAAGACAGGATTTTCGGAGTGTATTTTAACTGTACCTTTGCGAATGATATAGAATTCTGCTCCAATCTCATCTTAAATACAGATATTTTAGTTTTGCTCGTATTTCTTAAGTGTTGAGCTTTCAAAAATCTATCTTACTTAATGAATGTTTGCATGTTTAAACAAATCGATATTTTCAATCAAACTTAATTCTTGAATAATATTCAATCTAGAATCTTCAGTTTAATTAATTAACACTATAGTATTTTCTAATCCTACTCCTGGAACTTTCAATCCAGAATCAGGAGGGATATCTTTGGCTGCAGTATGAATCAATCTTAATTTCTCCTTTACTTCTGGTGGTAATAAGGCCAATAATTTTGCAGGAGTGTGTATAGGAGGAACACCAGCCTCATGTAGGATGAGTGAATTATTCCACTTATCTTCACTCGTCAAATAATTGAATCTGGATTCCGAAATGACTCCTTTCTCATAAATAGCTTTTAATCCATTAGGTTCATAGAAAGTGTCACCACTGAAATAGATTGATTTGCCACCCAATCTCACAGTAAAAGATAAACAAGGAATGCTGTGAAGAGAATAATGAAACTCAAATGAGGCTCCATTAATCTTCAAAGGGTGTCCTACAATGACTCTTTCGAAGTTAAATAGAGATTAGATATAATCAGCTGTAAATCCAGTCATGGCTGCATATTTTCTAACAAAACTCTCTTTAATTGTTGCAGTACTAATTAAAATGGTTTTTTCAGACTCTAATAGTTTTTAAAAGGTTCCTGCATCGTGATCAGCATGATTATGTGATATGATTACCCACTTCACCAATCTACTTGGTATTCCATTCTTTCTCAAGAGAAGTGTTGTAAATGGAGGTGGATCAAGCATCACACCTAAACCATTTATCCAAAAGATGTAACCTGAAACTGATCCTTTGGGGTCAAATCCATGTGAGCAACCTAAAACTGTTACTCCAAATGCAGGAGGAGTAAACGTCTATTCAAAATAATGTTCGACATATTATTAATCATTGGGATTACTAAACAACCCATACTTTATGTATGCATTGGATTTAGCATCATCTATCAAGATTTCAACTTTGTTTTTCATCTTAGCTATTTATTTCCCATTCTCAAATATCAAAAATTTCTAGTCTTCCTTCTTTACGATTACTTCCTAACCCAAATTAACTTGATTTTACTCATCAAAAATTAAAAAATTGATCAATAAATCAACAGTTAATGGCTCGCTTGGATTGAAGGGATTCTTAGCAAAATGTCCCAATTCTTTTATTATGTCAGGTTTGCTATTGTAATCACTACTAAAATCTTAATCAAATCTGGATAAGTCTTTAGGTCCAAGTAAGGTTTCCTAAAAAATAGCTCTTATTGCTTCTTCTCCTTCCTTATCAGTAATTAGAGTAACTCGTCTTCGCTTTACGAAAAAACTGAAGTAAGCTGGAAACTCAAACTCTGCTACAGACAAACAGAATCGTTTATCAAATCGATGTGAAGGTACAATAAATATTCCAGGGACATCCAATCCTAAGTTGATACTATCTTTTAGTGTCTCTGGAACCATGCTGAACTGAATAGCACCAGCTTTTGTCATTACAATGCTTCCTCCCCTTGGCAACTTAATCTTATTGGATATGTCACTCTCTGAAAATTATGATTCAGATTTTAAAAGTATAGGGTTTTTTATTTGATTGGATTATCTATCATTCTCACTCCGACTACCATCATCAGAACCATCATCTTGATGAGAACTAGTCATTGAAGCATATTCAAGAACTTCTTATTCATTAACAAAATGACAAGCCATTTTAATCTGATAAAATTTATTTATTTGATATGCGATTTTAAATTTAAGTATAAATACATAACATATGATTAATTATTTTGTTTCCTTATTCTAATATCAATATTGAATGTTTTATCATAAATCTAAAATCGATTAGTTAAATAGAGTTAAAGTTATAAATTTTGAATCCACCTTAAAAGTCATAAGCTCTTTAAAGGTTTTGAATATTTAAAAATTTATTCTCCTACCACTACACCTGTTAAATCAAAAAAGGAAAGTATAAGAAATTGCATTCCAATAGTTCAATAATGAATAAATAAAGTGTATTTTATCAACATGTTGTTAAGATGCCTTGCTATATGATAGTTTTCTACAAAAAAAGAATTTTATCCATTAGTTGATAATATCCATTTATTTTTAGTAATGAAAAAAATTAATTATATCGCAAGATATTTGAGAAGAAAAGAATTTTTGGAACTCTTTATTATCCCCTAATCTTATGGAAATAATCATAATAGATTTTTGATAGTAATAGGGTATTCATAGTCTTTATGAAATGAGTCTGGCTGATTCAGATATCAATTAGAAGTCTTTTTAGATGAGGAAAGGCAAGAGTTTGATCACAAAAATTAATTAACATTAAAAAGTGATTATTATTGAATTACGAGTTATGAATATAATATATATATATATTACAATATGGAGTTCCCAGTATTGAGTGGAATATGCGGTTCGCTTGCAAGTTATGCTGGTAGGAGAATTATTATGTATATAGGTAAAATTGCTTTTTAAGATGAATCATAATTAATGTTCAGAGGAGTTGGGTTGATTTGTATGCTATTATTCAATAAGTGGATGTTTTAATTCAGTTTTAAGTCAATGTAAATTAATGGATCTTCAGTGACTGTGTTGTTGTAATTTATAGTGGGCAATCTCATAAATGTAAGAATGTTGTATTTGAGTTAGGGACTTAATGGATATTTTCTATTGAGTGAGTCTTTGTCGTTGTAATGGTTAATTGGAATAATATTAATGTGTTTTGGAGTTTATATGATATCAAATGATAATCACGAACGCTAAAAATAGTAATGAGATAATGATGATTAACTAAATAAAAAATGCGTCATTTTAATATAAGTTTAAAAGATAATGCGCAAGATAATAGGCACTAATTAAGGAATATTTATCGATTTATGATCTAATTTATAAATATCCAGCAAATGCACTCTCTTCACGTTAAGCTTAGTGATGAACCAGAACTCTCAGCAGTCTGTTCAGCCCTTCTTCTTGCATTCATTGAAAACTCCAGAGTATTGAGATACTGTTCTGGAGGTGGAGACTATACAAACACCCAAAATGACTTCGGAGATCATCAATTGGAGATGGATGTACAATGCGAATTGAATGTCAACACCGAATTGAAGAAAACAGGATTCGTTAGTCACACAGCAAGCGAAGAAACTCCAGAAGTAAAAATGAAATCATAATGTTTTCTAGATGAAGCTTCTTTCTGAAGGTGGAAAGTATATAGTGACATTTGATCCATTGGATGGAAGTTCAATTATAGGAACCAACTTCGCAGTGGGCACAATAGTTGCCATTTGGAAATCGGATGAAAAACTATTAATTGGAAAAAAAGGTAGAGACATGGTTTCTGCTTGTTGTTGTTTGTATGGAAGCAGAACAAACGTGGTGTTCTGGAATGAGAAGGAATAGAAGGTCTAAGAATATACATTATTTGGTATGGCATTAATTTTGATTATGTAGATGGCGATAAGCAAGGTCACTGGGAACTAACTAAGGACAACATCAAGATCAAGCCAAAAGGCAAGTTGTTCAGTCCAGGAAACACTAGATGCATAGCTGAGCACATTCCCTACAGAGAAGTCGTTGATTATTGGATTCACAATGGCTACACATTGAGATATTCAGGTGGAATGGCCCCAGATATTTGCTAGATCTTCTTGAAAGAAGTAGGAGTATTCTCTTGTTTCGGTGATGCCAAAAACCCTTCAAAATTGAGATACCTTTATGAATGTGCTCCACTCTCCTTCTTAACTGAGAAGGCTGAAGGAAAGTCTTTCAATGGTAAACACTCAGTACTTGACACTGAAATCACAGGATATCAACAAAAGAGTGAAATCATAGTAGGAAGTGCAGATGAGATCGAATTTTTCAAGAGTGTTTGGAAGAAGCATGGACTTTTAAAAGAATGATGATGTGTTTATTGAATATTTTAAATTATCAATAATAAATTCTAATCAATTCATTCAGTTCTTATACAAGTTAAGGATCTTTCACCTTCAAAAAGTTCACTATATTGATCTCATCAAATAATTGTTTCCGAGAATATAATGCAGATTAATTGCTTATTCCACTGTTAACTATTTATTGTTATTCAAACCTTTGTTGACTTGGAGTTTTCTTTAATTATTGCAGTTTATTGATAGGCATCTCATTGTGCAATTTCTCACTGCTTTAACTTCTGTTAACTAATTAATCTCCTGACTTATCATTCTTACTTCCTCCTGCACTAACCTATCTTAATATCCTTGAAGAGCTTTTTGAATCCTTAGAGACAGAGTATGATCTCTATTGTTGTGGTTATCTCTTGTCTAGTTCGCTCTAAATAAATTGATGCAATGGTGATTTAACATATTTCATTAAAAATTCAGTGTTCATCAAGGACAAATTAAGTTAATTGATGCATCTTTCATAATCATTAGGATTTAGTTGAGGCACTAAAATAATAAGTTGGGTGAGATACCAAATTCTAATAATAATTGGAATGACTTTTCTTGTGCTTATTAGACTTGAGGAGTAGCTGCTAGGAGAATCAAACAATCATCAAGATCCAGTTTGCTCAGATTATATGTGGGGTTCAAATTGTAATACAAATGATTCAAACACAAGGTCAATACTTGGTCAGTGTTAAGATAGACTGTGAATTCCAACTTTTATTAATCGAATTTATTTAGATCTATGGTTTAGTAGAGAATAATGTACCATTGAATTCGCATAAGAGAATTTTATTTCCTTTGCTGGCAACCAAGTTGACTAACTTCAAGGGTTCTAGACCAAACTGGGAGAGTTGCAATTGGAAGTAGAGAGCTATGATTCTTAAATTTAATTCAGGATCGATGTCTTCTAATTTAAGATAAATTTTGAGGACTTTATCTTCCATTTTGGCTACTAGTTTCCATGTGAAATCTGAAAATTTAAACTATTGGGTTTCTTTGTTGATAATGGAGGACAGATTTGACAATTTCCAATTAATGCTAGGATGGGTTTGATAATTGATCTTCTTGGCCAACACAGTTTATTTTTGTTAGGTGATGATTTACACTATGTCTTAACAATTTCTGATCTTTTAGACTATTTATAGTAGTTCGGGATTGTTCTTTTTGCGATAATTTTTTAATGCTCTTTCTAATATCTCTTCGATGACTTTCTGGTTGATCTTATTGAGATCCATGGGATTGGATTAGTATATGAGTAATAAATTCCTCGCTGTGAAATTCATACAGACATTCAACATCTAGTACCACACTTCTGGGGAATCCTGAATTAAATTAGATTAGCTACTTCACATGCTTTCAGCTTTTTGAATGCTTCATTTAAGAACAAAATGCAATTTTGAACATTCACTCTATCTAAAATGAGATCGCGAATTACAGTCTCTTAGAAGAATTCCATCTGCAGATGATCTCCCAACCATAATAGTCTTTGTAGAGTTTGATCAGTGTATTTTTTCTGAATATCCAATTAATTGTTGAGGAACTATTGGAAAACTGAGAAAGCTTCCATCGTTAGCCATTTTGGCATAGTGGCAGTATACACCTTTGTCATATGATTAATCTGCTTACAAGCCCTTTTTTCTCAGTTTGGAGAGTCATGCTGAGACACTTGCTAGCTTCAATGTAATGAGTTTGTCCTTCGACTACGAAGCAAACGAATTCAGACATATATATTCGTTTATTAATTATATATAAAATAATTTCAAAAATTGATTTAAACTTCCTTTACAATGAAATCAGAGAAACAGTTCTTAAAAATGCATCATTGAATCCTACTAGAAGATTTCGTAATTCCAATATTGCTTGTTGATCGAATTGGTACATTGTTGACTGTCCTCAAAGGAAGGTTAGTTTAAGAAGTCATAATTTTAGAGGATATCGTTTCTGAAGGATTGTGCATCTTTCCCACTCTTGGAGATCAATTGCTGAAATGTTCTGATTTAAGAGTAAGTCAAACATCCCCTCTCTTGTAATAGAAGTAATTATTTAATTTTAATATTCTTACTTCTTACGAATTCATCCTGCCAAGCTTTGGAAGCCTTGAAATTGGAGTCCTTAAAGAACTTGATTGCCTGCACTTTGATTTGTTGTCTTGAAACTCTTTTCTTCTATTTGATGCATTGTTTCTTGACCCATGATTCCAATTACTCCTCTGCTTTTTCATTGAGTTTCTTTCTTCCACACCCCTTTTTCCTCTTGTAACCAGACCTAATCCACCTCCTGATGTTTTTGATCGAGGTTTTGTACTTGTCTTTCAAATGCAGAAGGGAACTCTATGACGGATGCTGAGAGTAGTAATCAATAATCTCTTATTTGATATCTTCTGTGAGTATGGTATACTTCTTTAATTTTTTCTTTTAACTTCCTCGAGTTTTCATAATCTAATTAATAAAATGAAATTGGTTTCTTGTTATGTCTCTGCCACCTAAAATATTTTACTAGTTGGATGTTATTAATTTGCAGATAAATAATTAAATTTATGATTTTGCTCATAATTTTTGGCGCAGTGTTTGGATTAGAGTACCAAAAAGTGTTCAGCTATAATGGTCAATATGCTCATGGTATCCAATCAATATAATACAAGTAAGTGATATCCTCGGAATGCAATGCCAAATCAGTTGAAGATGCTCCTAGATTATATAACATCATTGAATAGCAATTTCAATTCGAGTGGTTAATGACGTGTGCTGATGACACCGAGTGTTGGGCCAAAGTCACGTTCAGCAACGAGGGCAACAACATATGTTGTTGTCATGGCTACAAATTAGTGATATTAATTATATTTTATTATCTAATATATTGATGTAGGATAAACCCAACCAATCACAAGACACTGTGCAAAACACCATCAAATCATTGCAGGACAAGATCTAAAATATTGAGAACTTGATAGAAAGAGGAAGTGATTGCATTATCATTTAGTACGGATCCCATAGTATAAAAATGAACAAAGCAAGCGGTAAATACTCTGGGCACTATATTTAGAGATGCTCCCCAAGAAATTCAGAAATTTGATTGGTTATAAAGTGCAATCCTAATTGAAATAGGTCTAATCCGCAGATCTCACTGTGATTGATGAAAGTCTATTATTATTAGAACAAAAATTGATGTAGAAAGGAGCACTCAAAGCCCAGCCCAAAAGTATGCGTGGCAAACCAAGAGCTAAAATTGAAGTGGATTTACGCAACATTAGAGGGTTTCTGGGGAAGAAGGAACAAAAATAACCATAAAGCACTCTCGCTAAGATGATGGAAGATAAATCTGTTGTCTTTGAGGACGACATCTTTACTGGAGATTATTTAGTCAGATAACCAATCAAGCATGGATTTTTCAATCTAACAGAGAATTACAACATGCAAGATGTGATTGAAGATCTCTACAAATTGACATTATATGGGTTGAATTGCAAATTGGATGTCAAGAATGTCTCAGATTACTATTGTATTTTGGTTATTCCTGATATCTTTCAAAGAATACAAGTAAAAATGTTGGTAGATATGTTAATAAGACAATTGAGATTCAAAGGAATCTATTTACATTTAGAATCTGTCCTATCCAGCTTCGGAGCTAATCTTTAATAATGTTGTGTAGTCGACATTGGTTATGAGAAGATCAATATTACCTGTGTTGATGATGGAGTCATTTTGCCTGGAACCTATGTCAGAAAGAATTTCGGTAGCAAAGATATTGATTTAGTGCTTATGAGATAAGTAACAAAAAGAAATGCTTGTGATTAAGCTGTTTAACTTTAAAGTAGCAACTATGGAGATCTGCTCTAAATGGAAAAACTCAAGGAAAAGGCTTGTCAATTGAAACAAAAGGAAGACAAACTCAATTACAATTATGAACTTCATTGTTTAAGAAATCAAAAGGAAAAGAGATTCTTTGTATAACACAATGATGGATTGTACATCTCTCCCAATACTCTATTTGAATCTGAGCCTTTCAATGAAATCAGGAAACAGGATATGCATGAATGTTTCGATTTTACAGGACGTCTTTTCGAAATGCAATATGATCCAGAGGATAATTTTGAAGAACTCAGTGGAGGAATTCAATTATGCTGGTATTGGGGCTCCAAAGAAAAAGAACAATAGTATTTCTTAGAAGGAAACCAAATGCTCAATCCTAATTACATGATCCCCTTAGATCATATGATTGCTTACTCCATAGCCTAAGTCTAAGATCCAGAAATAAGGCAAAAATTAGCCAACAATATTCTATTTACAGGAGGAGGAGCCCATCTAATAGATCTTGTTGATGAAGTAGAAGCCTTGTTGATTGACAAATTCTAAGTTATGGAACTAAATGAAATCGAAAGAGTAGAAGTTAAAACTATTATTAGAGATGTTAGACCTATTTATATGGCCTGGGTTGGGGCCACTGTCTTACCTAAAACAGAATCTGTTAGTGAATTATGGGTCACAGCTCCGAGATGGTTGGGTGATTTGGAAACGCAAAAAGATGAATTGGAAGATATGATCAATTAATTTGATGGAGATGTTTAACAATTGGAAAAAAAACTAATTGCTTTTGCAAAAAAAGATAAAGAAAAGGATCGAAGTTGTGAATATGGACTTAAACATTTGAAAGAAAAGATTCCCTTTATTTGGTGATTTTGATAATTATATATATTAATATTTTGAATGTCAATTGGTTAGTATTATTTCTTTCCTCCTCCTCCTAGTGGATCATTATAAAATATTTGTTAAGCCTGTAAAGCAATTTAGAGAATAGATTACTTCTATTTCAATACTTATTCTATATTTTCTACTGCTTTAGGATCTTATTAAATTGGTTTAGTAGATGTCAAACTTGGAAATTAATGTGTTGGTGAGTATTTTTTTTTCTGTTTTCACTTCTAAATTATTGGAAACTTCAAAGTCCTCTACTTAGTTAATTTAATTGATTCTCTATACGATAAACCAATTATGATTCCTCCTTTATAACAAAAAAAGATTGCTTAGCGGATTTCTAAATACTCTCCCAAGGGAGTTCATAACATGTTCATATTTAATCTAATTTACAATTATTATATTGAAGGTATGCCAGGTGCATAAGCTTTAATTTATTCGTTGATGTAGATTTAAATAATCCACTTTCACTATCATCACCTTCAAATAGACGGTTAATTTCTGCTTTGCTAGTGCTTAAGTAGGTGCTCCAATAATGGTTGGATATGAGTTTTTTTTTCAGAAAATTATTAAATTTATGGTTATTAGTAATAAGGTTGTGAGGTAGGAGCAGGAGGATCAAGTACTGTAGGTCATCATGTTTGTGAAGAGGTTGTGGTTGGATTCCCTATTATACTTACTATTAATAGGGTGATGCAAATGCTAGGTTAAGAGTTTTCTTTTATTGTGGGTTTAATAATCCGAATTGATATCTATCATTTAATTGCCTAGAGCAGAGTTGGTGCGCGTGATGAATTGATTATTATCTACACCAAATGAGATTTAAAATTGACCTTGCATAATTGATTGTCTAATCTGTTACTCATTCTGTGGTTGAACCAATTTAGATTTCTACTTAGCAAAGGCTGTTCTTAAGATTGTGCCTCAGATTACCTGTAGGCAGGAGGAGGAGCAGTTTGAAGTAATGGTTCTTAGATGGGAGCTTCATCGAAGTCATTTAATAGGCCTGGGCATAGATTGAGTCCATCATCTTTGGAGGAGCCATTCTCTGAATGCTTTACGAGATCACATACTTATTCAGTAAAGTGACTATCACAGAAGGTGATTGATTTGAGCATGGATGAAGTTGGCTTAATGTTGAACTGATCGGATTTCAGATGAGATTGCTCAAAATTTTTTAAGTAGATTAGTACTTATCTGATTGAATTTAGAGAAGGTTTACAGAAGGTTAATGTGTTTTCAATATTGATGCTTTGTTGTCCTGATCAAGTGTCCATGGATTGATTTGACTGCTTAAATTGTCAAGTCTTTTCATGCTAATTAAAAATTATATAACAATATATTGAGTATTGAAAGTGTAGATCCACATTATTATCATTATAAAGTATCTTCATAAATTAAATAATAATGATTTAAAGCAGCTCATATCAATCTTGGAATTAATAGGCTCAGGTTGGTTCATTCTAATCGGGGTACAATAATGACACCCAATAAATCCGTTTCAAGGAAGAGAGTTTCTCAACTTTTCAGCCAGTTGTGCAACAGTAAGGCACTTGGACTTCGAGTCAGTTGTTGGGGAGAGTGGATGAAAAGGATTTTCTGGTTGTACAGAGGACAAAAACTTTTGAGAAGTCAGAAGCTGAAAGATAACAACATTACGAAGAATTGATATAGGACAATCAGAGAATGAGGTATGTTGTTGATTGTAAGTCGATAGAGAAGTTATTGAGGAACTGAAAAGAGAAGTAGCCACTTATAAGGCTTCATCTAGTTCTGATGCAGAAATGCTGAGGAAGGAGTTGTAAATCACTTAGAAGGAATTGGAAGCAGCTCATAAGGAGATCATGATGTTAAAAAGTGGAATCGAATCAAAGTAAAAGACAGAAATGGAGAATATTTAGATGGAATTGGAGAAATGGAAAAAAAGATGTGCAGAATTAGAGTAAAAGGATAAGGAGAACATGGAACAATTAAAATAATTAACCTATTATCAAAACAAACTCAAGTGGTACGAATTGGATGCAAAGAAAAAGTTTGAGAAATACCAAACTGTTGACTTGCTTCAATAACAATTATGTGATCAAGAAGCTTTGATTGAAGAATTAAAAAAAGAAATTCACAGATGGGAAGAGAGGTATGATGCTTTGGCCTTGGAAAGCCAAGAAATTAGGATTAAGCTATCTTCCAATAATAGAGTAAGTTAAATGGAAGATGATATCAAAGCATACATTCATGAAATTGGTCAATGGAAAAAACGATGTTCAGCCTTGGAAGCAAGGTTTGAAGCGTCAGACGAAGCTAAATTACTAGCGAGAATTGATTAGCTGAATCGTTTGCTGGCTGAAAGAGATTAAGATATCTAAAAGAGCAGAGCTTAATTGAATTAACAAATATCCTAATAATAGCAAAGTAAACTCTTGAGTTCAGCTATGTAAAATTAGGAGTATGAAAACTAATTGGAACAGTTGAGACGACAATTGTAGGATTCATAAAATAAATTGGAATAATAAAATAGAGATATGGAAGGATATAAAATATAGGCTAATCTATTTAATTCAGATAAATTTGAAGAATTAGAATAAGAAAAGTGGAAACTTGAATTGTAAATTGAAGAATTAGAAAGAGATTGTGATACCTTTATGTTGAGAATCAAGGAATTAGAATAACAATTCTAGGAATTATCCATCAAATACAATGAACAAAATGCTAATTATCTAAAGTATAAAGAGATTATTGATGCTAATTCATCTAAATACAAAAATGTTGACAATCTCACCAAAGAGATCCAAAATTATTAAAAGGATCTCGAAGTCTGGAAAAGTCGTTATTTCCAAACTGAAATCAGGTTAAAAGAATACGATTCTCTGAGAATTGAATATGAGAAATTACTTAAGCAATAGACTACTAGTGTTCAATCTACTTTTATTAACATTGAAACTGATGCTTAATACATATAGATCAAAAGAGAAAGAGATATGTTCTAACGATAAATTTCAGATCTAGAAACTAAATTAAGAGAGCAAAGCAGCAACTCATTCAGAGAATAACAAAATACTGGATTTAAACTATAATAAGATGACTCAATCAGAATTGAACGAGACAATTATTTCAATAAAATTCAAGAATTAGAACTCAGAATCAAGGAACTATAACAATAATAATCATAATAATCCTTACAATCATAATCAGTCAAATATTTTAATGATGACTCCAAAGTTAGAGAATTAGAAGCTAAAATAAGAGAGTATCTATTTTAAATAAACTCTTATGAGAGTCGTATCTCTACTTACGAAACAAAAATAAGAGAATTTGAAACAAGAAATAAAGAATATGAAACTAGAAACACACAGTCTTTAGTTGAAAAAACTGTTGTTTTGACAGACGAACCTAAAATAAAAGAATTGACAGATATAATCCAATAAAAGAATAAAAGAATAATAGAATTAGAACAAAATGCAAATTATACTATGAGCAACTAGAGTTCAGTAGTTGTGATTAAAGAATAGGTAAGAGTCAAAGATCAAAGGATTAGGGAATTAGAAATATAAGTTGATAACTTGCAATTGGAACTTGGAAGACTACAAAACTTAAAAAGAGATCAAGAATCTCGTATCAACATTATGTTGTAAAAAGTATTCATCATTAATTATACTAGATTACTGAATATGAATCTTAATTGAATATCCTCTAAGAAGTGAAACTCAGATAATCTAAAAGATCCCCACCTTAATAGTCTAAAATAACTTCTACAACCTACATTTAATAATAATAATAATAATAATAATAATAATAATAATAATAATAATAATAATAATAATAATAATAATAATAATAATAATAATAATAATAGCCTATCATCTAAACTAACAGCTATATCAAATAGAACAATGCCCAATCCACAATATATTAATCAGCTTAGTAAATAGTACCTTCCCCTACACCCATTTCTTAGAACCTTGGATTTCAATAAATGAATAACAGTATAACAACAACTAGATAGGTAGTCATTACTGGAGACTCTCACAAGTAATCAAATTTAATTTTATACTAGGAATTTGTATCCCAAAGAAGAAAACATTTCATCATAAATCCTTGATCGTATAGCTCCCAATAGAATAACTCAAGACTTTAATGGTCAATAATCACCCTAAATCATTGTTTCATAATATAAGCCAATTAATTGAGTAATCTCAGTTTTTAAAATGATTATTTTATATTAATAAATAATTATTTCCATATGCAAGCAATGAATCTATTGTTTTTCTATAATTTATATTAATATTCTAATAATTTTATTTAAATCTTGAACCATCCAAAAGCATATTAAGATCGTGATAATATTTTGATCAAATATTAACATTCAATTTATATATTATAACCTTCCAGATTTTCTTAATAAAGATTAATAATCCTAGGATACTCACTAATTAATTGAAACTAAATTTCAAAAGTAAGTTATTATGATTAATTTAAAAAAAATGAAAAAAAAACTAATTAACAATAAGCTGTAACAATTATACTAGATTTTATACACAGGTACTCGATTATCTTACGATTGAAAGACAGGAATTGAAATACAATTTAGATTATTTCATTAATTCTGAAAATCTAATATATTATTTAGATTAGAAATAAAAAGTAGGGCATTCAAATTGATAAAAATAAAGTCCAAAGGAAGAGTAAAAATGCTTTAAATTTAAAATTGAATATCTCTGATATATATTTATTTCATTATGTTTTGTAAAATAGGTATGCTGTTTTATCAATGTAAAAGTAGATAAATCTTCTTTTTTCATGAATTGAATGGCATCCAAAATTCTTACCAAAGAATACGTGCCAAAATGGTTCAAAGTTAGTATCCAAATACTTCTTTAAATGTTCTGCCATCTTTATACGAGTTATGAAACTGTTACCTTTTATCCATCTTTTGCTTCGTATGTTTTCAAACAACTCTATGTTTCATTTATAGCTCCTTCTAATATGTCATCTGGACAATCAGGGGGCCACAACACTCTAGCACCTAAGTACATTCTATATTAGGCTGTTGTTTGAGATGACATTTATTTTAATTAATTAAAATATATTCATTAGAAAACCCATTGGTTTATCAAATTGAATATTTATACTTGAAAACGTATACTTAACATGTGATCTATATTAAATCAAAATGTATCAATCTCTGAAACTCTTTGATAGTATTTTTTAAATGGTAATTCAGGAACTCTCTGAAGCCAAGCTTTTTTACTCCAATGATTGTTATGTCCTTCAATCAAATGAAGCGTATATGCGTGTCTTGATTAAGATGAATGATTATGTCCAGAAAAATGCACAAGATCCCCATGAAGCAAGATAACTGACCCTTTGGTGACTTCTAGGCATTCTGCTTTTGCAGGATCGAAGTGTTTAGTATATTCTGGATTTTTTCCAATCATTATTGTGTTTTTTCTAGTTTCATCTAAGATATTGAAATAAGTTGTCGGTGTCAAATGGGACTTTGGAAAGGCAAACATACATCCATTATTTCTTGTTGCATCTTCAAGTGCTATCCATATTCCTATACATGATAGTTTTGGTTCACTAATGATGTAAGTATTATCGGTATGCATATCTACGGGTGTGCCAAATTTCTAGTTTTTAAATATTACCATTGTCTGAGCAAGTATTGGATCAATGTATCCAACTCCTTAAAGAATAGCTTTGAAAATGCTATTGTAGGAAAACCTCTCAAATACTGGATCAAGATCATGCATAGCATGTCCTATTTTATTGAGAGCAAGCTTTTTATCTTTAACCTTCAATTATCCTTTTTCATCAATCATCCCCATTTCTAATAAATATCCTGTTCTAGAGGCAGTGTCTAAAAAGCTCATGCCCCTTGGAGCATTTTTAGTATCAAAAAACATCTAGAATATGAGTAAAAAATACTTGATTATTTATTAGATCAGCATCTTCAACTAATTCATTTGTTCTTTTCAGCAATTTATCAATCTCTTGATGACTGACAATATTTGGAAGTACAAGGTAGCCGTTGGCATGATAAAAGTCAGCCTAAGATTTGGTTAATTACTTAAAGTTAAATTTGCTTAAAAATCGAAACATTTAATATTAACTTTTTGTTCTTCTATGACATCGTTATGAATCTATCAGAAGGATTTTACCGAATAATACTGATTAGTTATGTTGTTAAAAATAGAACCTTAGTGTACATTTTCGTAATAATTTCAATAACTAAAATAAAGAGATTGTATAACTATAAAAGCAAATTTTTTAAATCCTTCAGAAGAATAGAAGCAAGGATAATAACAAATATTTTAATAATCACTATTCAAATCGAACTTTCTATCCTGGGTTTAAAGAAATTAATATATTGCTTAGAGTTAGTTAATGGATTATCTTAGGTAGAAATTTAAATGCAATGAAAACTTTTACTTAAAATTAAATAATAACCAAAGATGTTTATTCAGAAAGTATATTGATTTTTTGAATTTCTAAACTTGAAAGAAATCTCTCTTGTGTTTCCTTTAGAGTTATACTCTCTCCATTAGGTTTTTAATATATCTTTATTAGGTGAATATTTCAGGTCTTCTTAAAACAATAAATCATTATAGTTTCTTGATTAAAATAAAAAATGCTAAGATCTCCTACCAGTAACTGCTAATATCAAACTATAATCTCATTATTCCTAATTAAATAGACTAAAAAATCAATATGGATGTTTGTTACAAGATTTTCTGGCAAAATAAGTTATTCAGCAAAAAAATTAAATTGTCCTTGAATTTTAAGAATAAGTTCATTATTGGTTGTTTAATACATGTTGGTGCAGATAGCAGTTTTGGATTAAGGGATATTGCAGTTACTTTTGATTCTTATTAATAAAATAATAATTCTAAAATCAAATAGCTGTATATATAAATATCATGACTTTTTATATTATTCCAGCTTTAATTACGCTTCATCAACTTAAGCGCTAATATGTTAAAGTTTGTCTTTGAGAGTTTGATTTTCCTTTCTCAGATTTATGTATAATGAATCCAATTACTCTTTAGTATTATTTGTTTTTGGACTTTCTTGGAATGGTCTTGGCTAAGTTTGTATTGTGTAATATTAATTTGTAGGTGAGCGCTATTAGCCATTATGATTCGAATTACATATTGCTAGTTATTGAATGGGGTTTGTAATTAAATCACTGGAACGTTTCTTTAAGCAGAATTTGTATTTTAGAAATACATTAATAAGTTGATATAATTTATGTTAGTTAAATAAAATTTATATTTATTCCATCTTCTTTCTTTTTCAATTAAAATATCTTTTCAAAATCAACTCGTATATGTTTGCAAACTCTAATTATCATAGTCTTTCGTCATTTTTATATAATTGACCTAATCATAGTAGACAATAGGCAAATCAAATTGCTATTTTATCTTTTTATCTTAAGTTTCTAAATAATGAAAAATTACAGATCAAATTCATCACTATGAATTCTTACTAGCATCTTTGATGGTGAAATTTATTAAAATTTAAGTTACTTATCTAATAATTGATGACCCAGGAATTAAATGTTTTGATGATTATTCATAGTATAATTGCTATTGAATATAAGGTCTAATCATTATTTTTTTAAGATTTTTAGATTTAATATAGCTTCATTCCTTGATCTTATAACTAATTTTTTCATATTTTTATTATTTTTTTATTTAAGCAAAGCTTTTCAATAATGATTATACCAGTCATATCTGTGAAATGACAAGTTAATAATTCAACCATTTCCTTTAGATCAAAATATGATGAATCACAAAGTGTACTAATTCTTAATTTTTGATCTTGTGCTTTACAATAAAATTAATAGGGATGTTACAATAAATTTAATAGGGATGTCTAATATTTTTGAGTGGATGTTTTCAATGATCGAATGGATAACAGACATTGAAATAATGAAGCAAAAAATAATATAATTTGTATAATAAATTATAACAAATTATTGCATTCCAAAAATAAGCAAGCAATTATAAATGAGTTGAAATCACTAAAATATTTAACTCTACTTTATATAAATTTCGATGCAAACATTAAGACATTATGAGGCTATGGCTGAGGAAGTCAGAAAAATCATGTTGTAAGGAAAACCGATTCCACCAGATTATTAAGAAGTAATTGAAGAGTTCTTGCCAACAGAAGACAAATACCCATCGAGAAGAGTCATTACTATATATGAATATCCAGACAGTAATCCAGCATTGTTTTTGGAGAACAAAAGGGGATTTCGATTGCAATTCATGTTTCTGTTCTTATCGAACTAGTTAGCAGCTTAGTACAGATTTCATTCCAACAATAGATTTTATGAGGAAGTTATGAACAATGGGCCTCTCAAATGGCAGATTGCTAGATTCTACTTAGAAGTTGCTGACAACATGGTCTTCATTAAGACAAGAGGACAGAGGGCTCAGAATATGTTACAGAAGGTTCAGCATGCCATATAGACTCAACCTTTGTGTGTGTTCCATTATAATTTGAAAATGAGAGTACTTTTAATTCGCTATTTTCGAGACACTCCTGCACATTTTGGAGTAGGGTAATTGGTGTATCCGAGTGGTTTGGGGTCCTGCTGTTGATGTTCCTTTGCATGGAGGTGATGCAGAGAAGGTTGAGAATGTGATTGCAAAGGCAGAACCAAAATTAGAAATACAGAAGAAGGAAGAGACTGAATCAGAGGTTACTAAGAAGATTTAAATAAATGAAGAGGAGATCAAGAGCAAGACATCCTTATACATCAAGTCTATTGAATATTACAGTAGATTGGCAGAGTAGACAGTGCAGAAGTTGAGAGATGAGAATCAAAAGAAGAAGGCATGAGTAATTGAATTATCCTATTGTTATTATAATAATATTAATAAATGTAAATTAAGGAAAATTTATACAATTGGCTTTGTTCATTAAAAGTCCTACCTTAGGATGGAAAGAAATACGCAGACAAAGTGGAGATAAGCAAGGCATCTCTAATCCAATTGGAAAATGGCATAGCTTTTGGATAGTTGCTGAAAGAAATTGTGAAGTTACGAAACAGGTTTCTATTTTAATCATTTTTAAAAGACCTTCTACTCCATTGGCTAAGTTAGACACACTGAAAGATAATTAATAGAAATCCTCCATCTTGTATAATTGGAAGATTCTATGCGAAGAATATCAGAAGGTCGATATCCAGATTGATTAAGATACCAAGGCCTTGATACTTGGGGGTGATAAAGAAATGATACATCAATTGCTGTTGGAGATTTATGATAAATATTATCGAGGCTAATAACAATCATCAGTGTTGTAGTAATCTTAAATGTTAGATGACTCTGTATTAAGTTTGGGTGGAAACACTAAGCTTTTAGCAAATAGTAAAATCTCCTAAGGTACATATTTGTTATATGGAATAATAGCAAACTAATAGGTTGATTTATCAAAATTAGATCCAAAAAAAGATCTCAATAAAACATCAAATTGTTTAGAATTCTTTATAGTTGCTTTGGCTAAGAACTTGTAACTGTCAATTAAGTAGTCAGCCTCTCTCTTTACCAACAACAATAAATATCTCGCACACATATTGGCAAAAGGAGTAAAGGGAGTGTTTGAACCAATAGTTGCCTTTTATAAAGAAACCTATGCAAATGGGAACTAATTAATTAAGTTATTTAATGAGGATTCCACTAAAAAATCACTCGTATTTGCATTTCAAGTATATCCTTATTTGCTATGAAAAGGCTCTTAAACCTGGATTAATATCCAAATCATTTGATGTTGCCTATGAATCAGTTCGTTTATTCACCAGACTAGGTTCAATGATACCAGTTTAATTATTAAGAGAGTGGTTCCTTGAGGAGTAAGGAGGGTTACACACAGCATTAATGGGTACCAGGAGACATCCAGAATTAGTGTCATTTCATGTTGAGATGATATAATAATTTGCAAGAAACAATTTCGTAGAAGTATTTACAACAGGCATTAGAACAGTATTACCTGAGACTAAGGATTTCATCAATTCAGTTGAATTAATTTACATTCCTTTAAGTCAAAATTAAGAATTAGTTTCAACTGGTATCTTGAATGATTGGGTTACTCAAGCTATAGGGATTGCAGAGAATGAATTTAAAAATACAATTGATACCAGAATATCTTCCCTTAACTTTTTAAGTGAAGTACTTGGCAATACAGAGTTGGATGAATCCTTAACAAATACAATCATTGCACTGCTCAAAAAAGGGTCTAGAGATAAATCATAATCTCTTTCCTTAATGTGTCTGAACCATTTATTTAAGTTACTAAATCATTTCAGTCTTTAAAAGAGCAATTTCGCTCCGCTGATTTATAAAAAGTATAATAGATATTAATTGCATTTAGTTTAACATTGTCATTGGTTGAGAATCATGATAATCAATAAATAAGAGAGTATATTTTGAATAATTTCATTCACATATTTTAAACAATGGAAGCAGTGCCTATAAATTTGGTACTTGAAAATTTGATCAAACAATTGTAGACATCGGAGGGAGTCACCTATATTTTGAACACTTTTGATATGCATTTCTTTATGTTCACATCCAATCTTAATATCGGGATAAAGAATGCTATTTAATTGTTAGACTTCTTAGCTAAAATATTTTTGAACAATCTCGTGTACTAGAGTTTATCCTCTGAAATCATCATCAACATATTATCAAAGAATGTGGAGAATTAGACTATGTAAGAGTTTATTTTAAAGTTTGTAAAAATTGCATTGGCTATGTTCTTTGCATCAGAGAAAAAGAGACAAGCAAAGGATCCAATTGGTGCATAGAAGCGTAATCAAATTGTTGAAATTATTCGAACAATAATTTAATTTTAATAGCAACTTTTGAATGAGAAAATAAAACCATTGATTGCGCATACAAATATACAAATAAAGCAATTCAGTAAGAGAAACTCTAAAGGAATGATGGCAATACTAGAATTATTTGGAAATGCTGAAAGAATATTGGAATAGTATGAGATTGAATATCGAGAATAACAAGCTAGTAAATTGTAAGGCCCTCCTGAAGATGACGATTAATTAGTCCCATTCAATTCTCGATCTATAGGATCTATTAAGTTATCAAAGGAAGAATAGTATTCTCTGGCTTCTTTAAAAACAACCAAAGCAGATCCGAAGGTACTAGAAAAACTGGAAACACTCAAGAAGTAATTCGATGATAGAACCACAAGTGAAGCATAAAAGATAGAGTAAATGAAAGAGGCTTAGTAGAAATAAAAGGCCAATCTTAGAAAACAATTAGAAAAGAGATCTATTGAATAAGGTGTGTCAATCACTAAAGATAGGGAAACTAATTTAGTATTTAAGGATGGTTCTAAAAGTGTTGCTTAGCCTAATAAGCATGGATTAACAGAATATGAGGTGTGGGATTTACAATTAGAGGAGGATAGAGAACGCTATTTAGTGGAACAACTCTTTAGAAAGTATCATAAGATATTTAAATACGTTTTCTTTAAATATGCTAATTCAGGAAATAAGATTATTAAGCCTAAAGATTTTGATGAATTGAAAGATCAATCTGATACTATTAACGAAGCTGAATTGTGGGCCTTTCTTAAGGATTACGAATTGATATTCAAAGTAACTAGAGAATAAGTACATGCTTTGATGAGATCAATTGCAATCTAACTTTTGAAATGCAAAAATGAGTTAACTAATTTCAATTATGAAGGATTCAAACACATCATTACCTAATATGCATGCATTCTATTCACAAGGAGAACCAAATACATTCAACCACATACCTGCATTGAAATGATGATCCAAAGGATGAAATAAGTAACGGCAGCTAAAGGATAGACCACTTAGCTTTATGATGATCCAGATAATATGTTTTTTGATTAGAAGGATGTTATCAAAGAATTCAATAAGAAATTGGCTGAAGATCCAAAATATGTGTTACCTGAAGGTTACAAAACATAGAAGGAAGAAATTATCAAATTTAACTACGCATTTGAAATCCCAGACTCGAACACAATCGCATATTCAGTTTTGGATGATATTGTTTTCAAGGTCTGCAATTGCCATTTAATTGAACCTATAACCACCAAAGAATTCTAACTTGTCTGTAGACCCAATATGCTGGGATATGTGGAATCCAAAGTTAAATAAAATTTGGAGAAAGACCATTATATGGAGTAGAAGAATAAATCAATGAGGAAATCTGCTTCAGTTTCATAGTCTTTATCAAATGTGCCAACACAGCCAAAGAGAAATCTGGAAATAGAACCATTTAGATAATATGGTTTGGGTATCAAATTGGAATTGGCTAAGATACCATTTAATTAACCCAAATAACGACTATTAGTTGAACAGGTGGCTGATGTCCTTGAAGACATGATATTTGCAGTAGAAAATAATTAAAAAACTATTACCAGAAAATGGAATATTGTTAATAAGGTTTAATAGGATAAGTTGGACGAGAAAAAGAAAGAAGATGAGGAGGCTAAATTAAGAGATGAAAAGATTTAAAAAAATCATGAATAAGCTAAAGCCAAATTGGAAAAATTGAAGAAAGAAAGGTAATAAAAGTAAAAGGAAGAGGAGGCCAAGGCTGCTTAGAAGGATACTAAGAAGATACGTTAAGAAGAAAAGTAAAAGGAATAAGAAGCTTATTTGAAATAATAGAAGGATAAAATTGCATAAAAGTAAAAGGAGTCCGAACAAGAAAGAATCAAAAGAGAATTGTTGGAGAAGAAATAGAGAGCAGAAGAGATCTAGAAAAAGAAGGAGGAATTCAAATTGTTTAATCAAAAGAAGATTGAATAATATGGAGAAATCTTTAAGGCTGAGCAAATTAAAATTAAAATGGCAGCTGAAGAAAGAAAGAAAATGGAAATTGACCATTAGAAAATGCATGAGGCTCTTTATAAGAATATAGAAAAGAAGGGAGAACAAATAAAAGTCAAAGAAAAGGCTATAAGTGAATTGATTGTCAAATTATTTAGAAATCAAATTTATTAGACCATTTTTACTAATAATAACTTTAGATTGAGTTATCTCTATGAATTATTGTAATTGGAATATTACAAATCTATTGAAATGATTGACTTTAAATAAATACCTTTGAAACTGTGGATGTGGTTTGGAGATAGATTCAGAATTTATCCAGACATCATTTCATAAATTGAATTTATTAGAGTCTTTAATGCCATCACTTACAGATCTAATGAAATACCAGCATCTCTAGATTATGTTGAATTTCTAGAAGCACTCTTTCGAATTAGTATAAAAGGTTATGAATTCTTTAATAAATTGGCCAAAAGCATTAAAGAACCCAAACCTTAAAAATAAGAGAATTAAGAATTGCCTTAAGATTAATCCCCTAAATCTATCAAAAGAACCTAATAAACAAAGGAGTTTATGCTCAATAGAATTAAGGAAGTCTAATCAGAGTAAGAGAAGAGATTAGAAGCAGCCAAAAAGGAATTAGAAGAGAAGAAGAAAATGGATAAAGAAGCACTAATTTTAGATAATTACTAAGCATTAAATGATATTATTGGAACAGATAATGTTTCTGGATAAAATTACAATGAGTAAACTTTAGACGCATTTATAACTTATTTGGCATTACCAAATGATAAAACTGGAATTGAGTTGAGATTCAGATACTTAATGGAAGTAGAAGCTAAAAAGAAACCTAATAAATTGAGAAAATAAGGTATCTAATCAATTTCATATGTTAGAGGCAAGCAAAAAATTAGAAGAAGATGTGAATCAATGGAAAGAGATTAAAACTGTTGAATAAAATAGATAACCAATTTTTCCAAGTATGAAGTTTTTATATCTTTTAGAAAAATCAACCATAAAGTAAAGCACGAATAAGCCTGTAGAACAGTAAGATCCAATACTACCTTAGAATAATGAAGAAAATCAAGATCAAGAATAAGAATAAGAATAATAGGATAATTGATTGGTATAAATTAGTATTAATTTTTATTAAATATTAAATTTAATGTACTTTAACATTAAATTTAATTATAAGAATTTATTGATTTCTTATAATTTTATAAAATAATTGCCTACTATGCAATCATGCTTCAAAGGGATATTTTATTGATGTAAGAGGAGAATTGTTTTTCTTACTTAAAATTAGTTCTAATAGATTAGTATCAAATGCATTTATTTTAAATTTTAAATATTAATATAAAAGTTATTTATATTTAGCAAATCATATAGAAAATTTATGGGATGTATTCAACAGAAGGCTCCAAGTCCTGAAATATCAATAATAATATTGAGTCCTCCTCTCTCCAATTCGCCATCAAATGAATTTACACTGAAACCCTATCACAATGATTAATACCCTGCTGCTCGTTTGCCTACTAATACTTCAGATCAATCCTTTCAGACCAAATTCATCAAACACAAAGGGTTGACTCTAACCATGAATGGTACTAATTAATATAATTATTTTTAGATCAGCAAAGGATCAACTATTATCAACACTGTAATAGTTGCCCATACTTTTGATATTGATTCAGTTATTTGTATTGATATTTTAAAAATATATATGATGCAATTATAGCTATGCAATGATGGTAGGATTCTACAACATCTATTAGCCATATTTTTAATGCTCACTTATCGAATTCAACTTATAAAATAAAACAGAAAGGTTTTAAAGTTCCATAAATTTAATATGTATCATTGCATTGTTGCTAAAAATTTGATGTATTAAATAATAATTAACATGATAATTCGTTTTGATTCTTTATTTTAACCCAAAATAATGGTATATAAAGAATATTTATAGACATAATTTAATTCATCAACTTATTTAAGATTTTTCTATTTCATATAGTATAGAACTCAAAAAGTACAACTTAAATTTCAAAATCAAAAGCAACCTCAAGGGTAATGATTATGGAATGTGAATCTGTGTATGATAATATACAAAAATTTAAGTTCAAGCTTTGCTAAATTCAAATTCCTTATGTATTTTTTGTACTTAGTTTTTTAAGATTATGAGTTTAGTTATCTTAAACAATAAATTAGTATTAATGGTAGCTGAACAAAATAAATTAAAATACAACATTACCCATTTCATTAATTCTTTCTTTAAAATTTATCTACTTTTTACTTATGAAACTCGAATCACATAAATTTCACAAGTAATTAAATAATTATTTTCCCATTTATTAAATTGAAAAAAAACTTGGGTATCTCGTCTAAATTAATTTCTTTCCGTTGTCTTTTCGATAGTTGAATTCTACCATTTAATTATTTTGATAAAAGATTATAAGAAAAATATAGGAATACTTCAATTTAATGTTTATGTTTAATTTCATTAGTCTTATTAAAAATAACAAGAATAATTATATTTCTTTCAGATTTTAAGGCTCAGTAATTTATTTAAAAATAAATATTTAAAATAAATAATGGGCTGCATGAACTCTAAACAACCTTCTTATAAATCTTAACCTCACTAATCTGCAAGGAGTTAGATATAAATCTAGTTCTAAAGTCAAGATGAACTTCCTTACGTGATCAAAAAGAACCCAATATTCCAAAGACGAGCTTCCTAAAAGTCCATCGTTAGTCCTGTGCAAACTGCCTCTTTTATCTAAAGAAATAAGTGAGTCTTAAACTTTGAATGATCTTTCTTTATTTTATATACACAAATCTATAAATACACAATTTTATATATCCTAACAACCAAGTGTAAAAAGAATGTTCTAAAATTAGATTGCCGAACATAAAAGATGGAGAGAATAATACATGAAGGGAATTTTAAAAGATCAGTTATAAATTGTGGCACTAACAACGAATTCAATATTTATTGACTGACCTTTTTATTAATGATTAACTTTAGTGAATATCCCTATAGTGGAAATATCAATATTTATCAAAAGTAATAGGCGTCAATCACTAGCTTTTTCTTTTATATTTCCTTATGACAGCTAGCCTGCTTTTCGACCTATATAACCCCCAACTACAGCTCCAATAGTAAGTCCAAATCCTTTAATCATTGATAATGCTCCAATAACTCCAGAGAAAGCAAGAGTGATTTTTGTGCTTCTTCTAAAAGGAATTTAAAATAAATAAATACAAATTTAAAGTGTCATCTAAAGCACCTTCAGTTTATTGTTTAATGTTATTGACGTTTATGCATGACTTTTGAGTTTAATCCGAGATTATGTCTAGTGGGTCTTCATTTTTTGCAATCAGGACATCAATTTCATCTTGAAAATTTTTCAATTAATGCATTTCTTATTGAATTTGTGTAAGTCTCTTTATATCTTCCTCATTCTAGAAATTTTTCATTTCATCTAGGGAGTATTCCTTACAATCAGAAAAATCTGGTTATTGCATTATTAATTCTTAAATAAAATAATGGAATATAAAATTATCTGTAGAATCTGCAATTTGCTAATAAGGATTGATTTCCTAAAATTACACAACGAAACATGCAAGACTCGTGCTGAGTTTCGAAGGAAGGAGATCAAATTAAATTTGTAGGTAGCCAAAGTTTGTGAAAATGCTTATAAAAAAAAGCACTAAATTCATTCAAGGGGTTAAAAATAGTATTGAAGTTCTATCTAAAATAGTCTCAATAGTCTAAGATTGAAATGGGATTAGATGTCAAATGAGTATACATAAGAAATTTACCAAGAATACAAAATACTACAAGTCTTAATTTCATATGGAGAAAAAACATTAAATTCGGAAGTAGATGCCAAATGTAATCTAATACATCCTTATCCTAGATCATCTTATATCTCAGAATGAATTCATGTAAGCCCAATAAATTGTAAGTAACCCTTAGGTCTTGAATTTGATAGAGCAAATGAATAGTCTGATAAATTAGAGATTAGACTTATGTTACAAAAGTATGAATTTTCAAAGACTCTTAGCCAAATTTCAAAGCATTCCTAGCATATCCTTTAGATTAAGCAAGTTCAGTAAAGACAGTCCTAAATCCAACAGCGAAACTCATAATAGAATGAACTCATTTTCTGATTATTTGAATTCTTCTAAGTATAAATTTATGACGTCAGTCAAGTTTTTCTGAAGATACACAGTCAGATAAAAAAAGTAATTCTCGACCAGACACTCCAGTTAAGTCCATATCTATAATTGATAACCTTAGAAAAAGGGGTAAATTGTCCAAATTCAATTTCTTAAAGAGACAGTCGACTTTTTCTTCAGAGGAGGATTAAAATTCGGATAAACCAAAACTTAGACAAGAGACCAAAAAAAAGAAAAGTTACTTTGCTAAAACTGGAAGTTCAGATAGTGAAACAGATGACATTATAGATAACATAGTAGTAGAAGATAAACCCATCCAGACAGAGAATAATTTAAATTTTGAATCCGCCTGTTTTTTTGAGTTATAAAGAGGATACTTTTCAGACACTGAAATTATGAGATTGGATATTGAGAACAAATCAAAGGAAAGAAATATTGGGTTGAAAGACTTTAATTTCATAAGACAAATAGGATAAGGAACTTATGGTAGTGTCTTCTTAGTGAAAAGAATTGTAACTGGAGACTTGTATGCAATGAAGATAATTAATTGTTGTAATAAAAGATTTGAAAGATTGTTGGAATAACTTAAATAAGAGAGAAATATATTTGAAATTCTAACAGGCGATTACGTAGTCAAAGCTTATTACTCTTTTTAACATGAATCTTCCTTATGTTTTGCATAGGAATACATGATAGGAGGAGATTTCTCTAAGATTCTCATCAATGAAGGAGTAACATTATTAAGGTTTATTCTAGGCTTTTGATGAGAACATAGCTCGACATTATTTTTCTGAAATCTTGATAGCTTTGGAATATTTACATAATAATAACATTATACATAGAGATCTTAAACCAGAGAATATATTGCTTGATTAATATGGTCATATCAAATTAGCAGATTTCGGACTTAGTGAATTGGGCATCAATAAAAAAATGATCAAGAAGTGTAGTCAGTAGAATTTTACATCGAATGATTCCTCTCCTTCGCCTATCTATTAGATGATAAAGGGGAGATCCTTTAGAAAGTCTAATATCATTCCAGAGAATGCGGAAAGAAGGATAATTGGAACTCCAGATTATATTGCACCTGAAATAATAAGTGGGCAATCATTTTCGCATAAATCTTAAGACTTTTGGTCTCTTGGAATTATTTTGTATGAATTTCTAGTCGGCATTCCTCCTTTTAATGATGACTCTGTTGAGAAGATCTATCAAAACATATTAAAAGGAGAAATTGAATGGCCTGAAATTGGCAATGATCCAGAAGAGTAAATATCACAATAGGCCTACGATTTGTTAAAGAAGTTATTAAATCCAGATTATACTCAAAGACTAGGATACGGATCAATAGATGAAATAAAAAATCATCCGTTTCTCGCCACAATTAATTGGGATCAACTAAGAAATACTCCTGGCCCAATAATTCCTTAGATAAATTAAAATTTTTAACCTTTTGAGAATGTAGTAGAAAAGGTCTAAAAATTTATTAAAAAAGGAGAAAAAAAATAAATTCAAATAATCAATAAACTATAAGAGGAATTAGAATATTTGGAGAGAATTGATCTGCTAGTGGCAAAGAATGAAAATGAAGCATAATTGATTTAATAAAAATTATAATTATTTTCATGAAATAAAAACTAATTTAGATTTGGTATTATTGGTGGATTATTTGATACACATATAATCTGCATATAATAATGATTAAAGAACAATTATACCTAAAAATCATATAGAAATTGTGTAAATTCCATATAGTAAACTAAAAAAAAGTAATTAACAAAAGATTTTAACAGATTCAAAAATTTTATGATTCAATACCTACAGATAACAGCTAAATCAAGATATGAATCTATTAAATATTTCAACATTTATTAATTAAATTTAACATCGTGTACCCTCAATCGTAATTATGTTAGATAATTGATGCTAACAAGTTTAATGTTAGAAATAATAAGAGATAAATATTAAAATGTTTATTTCTTGATAGACAGTGATCTCTTAAATAGGTTAATTAATTGTACTAATATCATTTATACAACAATAATTATATGATCAAAAGTATTTAATATTTTATTCAAAGTTTGCTAATTCTCGATAATATCGATTAAATAGAGTATCAATTTATTTGGATTTTTCTTCAAATTATTGACTAATTTGAAATTTTTAAATACATTTTTTAACGTGATTTATTGTGAATTATTCAATTTTTTAAAGGATTGCTTTTTAAATATTTTTTAAATTTTGGGATAACTTTCCCTTTTGAACCAAATCATCAAGAAAAGCCTAGAAAGAAAAATGAAAGTGCTTGTCGTTTTTTATAAATTTGTTTATCAAAGTATTCGTAAGCGATAATTATTCAAACTCTTCCTTAATATTTTTGCATTTGTTCAAAACTAAATTAAGAGCATTACTCAAATCTATTGGATCATTTCCTTATAGTTATAATTAAGAATTAGGCTTAAAGGGTTTGAGCGAACTTTATCTTAAAGAGACCCTTCTTAAACTATTTCTCTAATCAGTTGTTTCTTCAGTCTATTTATTAATAGTTTGCTTCGTAGAGCCAATTAGATTTTGAGTCTAAGCATGAAATGTAACTTTTGGTTGTTTAATCATCTAAACTTTATTATGCTAGGTTTTTGATGTCTCTCCATCAGAAGAGTATTTGACACTTAGAGTGGAATCATTAATTTCATTCTCTTCAACATCTAAATTAACCCTAGAATCTCCTAATTTTTTGAGTTCTTTGATTGTTTTAACAGTTGTAGATTAGATTATCTTCTAGTCAACACTAGGTTAATACATAAATTAAAAATATATTAAATCAATTTAACTTATGTATATTTAATAAATGACATACTTAAATCTTGCATCATTTATTTTGAATGCAAATACAAAGATCTTATAGAATTGAATATATACTCTCCTATACTATTGTTAGAACATCTAATGTGACTACTCTCCCCAATTAATATATAGAAATAATTAATTAATTATAAAACTTATTAGTAAATTTATCATTGTTATAATTGCATATTGGTTTAAAATAAATATCATGATAATTTATATATAAGATTCAATCCTTATAATGTTTTAATTAATATTCATAATTTAATGGACAGAAAGTCTTAAAAGCAACTATCTTTGGATACTTCTAACGATGAGTACAATCTAAGAGAAGATGATGAGTTCTCAGATGATGATAAAGGAAGATCAAAAAGGTTGGATTTTAGAAGCAAGCAAACAAAAAAACTGGAGAAACAATTAATAAAATTAGATAAAGTTTAGAATTCTTAGCAACCTGTGAGCATGGAAATATATTACTTACTCAAATTCCAATAGAACTTAATTTATCAAGTAACAAGTCTTCACACCAGAATTATGAGAATTATTGAGAACTAATTTGATTATTCCACCTTATTATGATGCATAGATAATTATTATAATAAATACAAGTATTTTCTATTATGATGATTAATTCTCTGTCTATCCATATATCATTAAATTTATCTTTACATAACTCAATTAATTGAATTATTAAAAAATAGAAAATTTCAATGATCTTTCTAGTCTTATTTAATTTTTTAAATGTTTATTACTAATTTAACTACTAATAGAGTTAGTTGTTTTGGTTATTAAATTAAGTCCATATTCTAAATGTCTGAAATATATATACAATTGTCAACAAAAATAATTGGCTCATCTATTAATAATCGTAGCTAATAGATTCTTGATTACAACTCTACTTATTGATTTAGATATCCTGAGTATGATGATGTATGAAGTAACTCAGTGTTTTGAATTATTTATGAAACCATTAGAATATTTAATTGAGTATTTTATGATTCATTCTACCGCAAAAGAATTCAAGTCAAGATATTTGTTAAAGAACTACACAAAGCTTATACTATTATCTGTGACTTTCTTATTGAATGCTAATGCTGTGGAGAGAGTTGATCCTAAAACTATTCTAAGAATAGGGATTTCTTTTTTTAAATCATCTGTAGATAGAATTTGGCTAGATTTGGCAGGTTGAAATTACCTTTGAAGAATCATGTAATTCTAGAATATACAAAACATTGATCCATTAATTATATTAATTAATATCAGTTTGAGTTACTACTATATTGGAATCTAAACTGATCAAGAACTTGACCAATTTTATCCTGATTCATCACCATCCCATGTTTGATCTTCATGTGTTACATCAATGAACCCTCAGATCCATAGGATTTATTGCAATTAGAGATTGTGCACACATGGCTTCTAGGTATTTCAACTGCACTTCTCCTATTCCTTTTACGTTTATCCTCTAATGATATATCACTCTCTTAATCCTCTAAAACTTAGAATTTTTACAATTTAGACTTTATTTCATTTTTTTCTTAGTTCACTCTTTCCAACTAATACTAAATACTAAGTATATACATAAGAATGTAAAACAATATTATAGTAATATAGCCTTATTGATTCCTTATAATAGTCAATTGGTCCCTAATCCTATTCAAAATTCTCGCTTTAGTCCATTCTGAAATACTTTTTTTTTTATTAATGAATCTAATTTATTTGTATTTTTTAAAACTTAAGCAAATATTTGAATAAATAATTAATTGTATTGTTTGCCACAAAGTAAACTGAAAATTATTTTGTTCTTATTTCTCATAGAAAGAGTTCCTTCCCCATCAAATTCCATCGTACTGCCAATACATCCCCCCAATTTTGAGTAACCATTACTTTCCCACCATTAGAATATCATAATTAAATGCAGAAGACAAAATATTCTCTTCAAACTTGCCTATTCCAAAAAATGAGTATAGTTAACTTGTTTCCTATAACTAATAGTCAACTCTAAGGGAAATCTAACCGAATTCTATTTATTCTCTAAACATTGTAATTTGAGATTAATGGATTATGTTGAAAAGTTATCTATTAAATTTTTAATTTATATGCTGCCTCAATCGTATTTGCAGTTCCTATCCTTATCATATTCAAACATATTTTTTCAGAGTATCATTTCATTTACTCATAAGTGGAAATATTTACCTCAAATTTATAATTATAAAATGTAAACCTAATAAGTTTTTAACTATTGATAATTACACTTTAATAAATCTCATCTAATATTTAAATAACATATAAACAATTTCAATTCCATTAGAAATCTAAAAATACTCTTTTCTTGTATTTGACCCACAAACAAGCAATGGTTCTAAACTCAGAACTAAAAATATATTGTCAATACCAATTATTTAGTTTAAATACTTTACAAATTCTCAGGTAAAAATGTAAGGCAATACCACATCATTTCTAATGTAAAGCATTGTCTGGGAGGTATCAAATCTACATAAAATATATGACTTTTATTTAAGGTTGACTAATGACTTTTAATTACTCATTCATTACATCTGAAATAATATTTATTTTATACTTAATTTTATTATGCTTAACACCATCTTTTCTTTGCAGGCTTTTAGAAATCTGGACACAAATGCCATGATCAAAGCATACGATTATGTGCTGCAATACATTAATGAGCTCTAAAATTAAATTGAACAATTAGAGAAAAGCGCGATAGATATAATTGTAGAAAAAGATTAAATTATAGAGCAATTAGAATTAGAATTATAACACTCTTCAAGAAGAACAAGTTTTAATAATTAAGAAGAAGTTACTTAATACAAGAAGTAACAGTTTTCATGCTATTTTAAGTCATATTTAAGAATTGCAAACAAGATTGGAACATCAACAAACTAAACATTATGAGTAATTGTAAGAATAAGAAAAAGTGTGGAACTAATATTTATTAGATCAAATTGCATAGAATGAATTCTCAGTCGATTAGAAACTGAAGAGTCATTTAGAATAAATTTTTATTTTAGAAGATAAAATAAATAAACTAGAAAATGAAGTAAAACTTTCATTTTAAAGTAGTTAGATATTAAGGAAAACATGTAAATCTCTTTAATAAACTAAAATAAAATGTTTAAAGAGAGCAATGCCAAATTGGAAGAAGTTCAAATTACGCTAAATAGATAATTACTAAGATTGCAAATCGAACTAGAACAATTGCAATCAAGCAATTCTAAAGAGAAAAATCAATACTTAGAACAAATTAATGTACTTTACAATAATATAAAATAGTCTGCAAATTAAGAATTATAGGAATTATAATCACAGACTTCGGCGTTTAAAGTACAAAATTAAAAATTAAACAATCAAAATAAGATCTACACGAATACGATTGGTGAGTTGATGGTCAAGAAAGCAGAGTTAGAATTACTAATCTAATCCTAGAAAAATGAGAAATTGGAATCAAATGAGAATAGTAAAACTGGAGCCTTTTCTTCTGTTGATCAATAAGGAGATAATCATCAAATTAGAGAGGATATAAACACTACAGCATTTGATATTAATGAAGATACTGCAGACATAAAATAAGAATTGGCATCATTTTAATTTGATGAGAACAATTTTAATTTTAATCATCTCAAAAAAAGTTAATCCAATTATTCATTCCATTCAGAAAAAAAGGATAATATGGATTTAGAAATGCATCTAAAAAATTCAATCAAAACAATCAAATAATTAAATGCTTAAGTTTAATTACTCACCTAACAGATCAAAGTATTGAAAAGATAGAATGCTAACTAAATAAATGCTAAAGAGTATTTAAACATCATGGAATAGAACTACTCAAATTCGGTCTAATTAAAATAATAACAAATCAAGACTCTAGAAGAGAAACTGACAGTACAGAATTAAGAAATATTGCTTTTAAAGCAAAAAGTTAAGTAATATACTCAAAAACTCATTAAATATAATAAAAGATTAATCAGCACTCAAAGCAAATGAGAACTTTATTTATACTTTTAATATAAGAATATTATCTATTTTTTTGTATGATAATATTTAAATTCATAAAGCCATTGATTCTATAGCCATCATCATGGATTCTAAGGAGCCGACCAGATCTTGTCTTGCAGCAGGGTTCAATTCGTCATATTTCTTTTTTGTATCTTTTAGGCTCTAACATATTTAAACCTGATTACCTAAATTTATGGCAGTAACGCTTATGCTGCTGTGTAGTCACCATTATTAAATTTAGTTTTTATGATTTCGTCTAATTTTTTGCAAGCTGCTTAGAATCTATTTTCATCTATTTGTTTCAACACATTCTGTTATATATTTTGAGAATATTCAGTCTTATATTTATTGATTTCATTCTCATATTTCTCCTTCAATAATTATAAATGTTGTTTGTTTTGATTATAGGTCCAGATATTATTATCGTTTCTAAGGTATTTTTCAAAATTTCTTGTGACTTTTACTACTGATGTGTCAGATTTCTAGAAGTATATCACAGCCTAATAAGGGTCTTAATCTAATTTTCTGAATCCCTTTTTGATTGAAAGGAATTCTGGATTTGGATTATCATTCTAAGAGGGAGCTGCTAATTGTGTAATTTTATCAATGTTATCAAAGGTGGTTGCTTACAGTTATTGTTGTAGATTAACACCAGCAATAGCTAAGAAGTAATTGATCTCTATTTTTTGTTTCTTGTCTTGTTTAAGCTCTGGAAATTCAACTTATTTAGCATCTCCCACAGTTTATCCTAAAGAATATAATAATCAATACTCTGTTGATTTTTGGGAACAGGGAAGGAAGCCTCTTGTGATTACTGCTTTTGTTAGCCTGGGACTGGGAAATACGTAACGTCACTTTATTATTATGTTGGCTGAGTAGGAGCTTAAAATGTTGGAGCTTGGGCTTATTGTTAAGGTGGCTGTGGAGGGGGATGCATTACATTTTGCTAAGGTGGTGGAGGAGGGGGCATGACATTTTGTTAAGGTTTGGGAGGAGGTGGCAACACATTTTGCTAAGGTGGAGGCGGAGGAGGTGGAAGGTTCTACACAGGTGGAGGAGGAGGTTAAGATGCTGGTTTTGGCGGAGGTGGATTTTGGGGGTTAGTTGTTGATTTAGCTGCAGGAGGACCAGGAGGTCTAGGTGGTGGAGGAGGGGGCTTTAAAGATGATATAACATTAGTATACTGCGCCTTTGGGAGGAGGAGGGGGTGGTGGAGGTGGAGGAGGAGGTGGAGCTGCTTTGTTTACTATAACTTTGGTGTTGGGAGGACCAGTTTGTTATGATTACGCAGGTCCTGGTTCTTATTAATTTAACATGGCAAGTTTGGCTTGGAAATCTGCTGAATTAGTAGGAGGAGGGGGTTTATTTTTAGCTTCATAAGCGGCTCGCTCCTCTGGTGTCATTCTTTGCAAGGCCAATTTGGCCTATCTAGCTTACAATTCTGCCATCATGGCTTTATAATAATATAAAATATGCAAATTCCATGTTTTATTAAATCATGATTATGTAGTTGATTTTCAGATTTTGGCAAAATCCATTTTAATTTTTGTAAATATTTCTTGCTCTTTGGCCAGATCTATGATTGGAAGGTTATTGAGTTGAGCAAGTAATTTAGATTTTCTATCATTATTTTAATTCATTTATTAATTTTACTGCAATACTAGTTCAATTTCCAGAATTTATAACCTTTCAAATACTTCCTCTAGCAATTCGGAAATTTATTATAATTTGTTTTGATCTAACAATATTGATAGATAAATATACTTGGGGTATCAAATGAAATTAGCATAGCCTGTTTTAACTAAAGTTCTTCTTAAAGTTCTTAGTACTCCAATTTGATTTTCAGAATCTGCATCTTTTGAAATTATTCTGCCTCAGGGACTTCTTCTTCCTCCTCTTCTTATTATTCTGCTTCTTCTTCATCTTCTTCATCGACAACTAATAATTGATAGGCAGCCACTTCTCTGCGTTTATTTTAAAAGGACATTTCTGCTTTGAAAACCTAAAAGTCTCCCAAGGCCAATAATTATTGGATATCTATTTCTTCTTCGCCATCGCTATTAAGAATTTCTTAGATAATCTTTAAAATCATTGCAAAGAAATAGTTACCTTGAATTGTAATTCATCAGTATTTTCTAATCCTAGGGAACCGAAAAATGAGTCATAGATCGTGGCCATTTCAGTTTAAAATTACTTGAATAGATTGTTTTATTGAATTGAATTTTCTTTGTCGTCGTCGAAATAGATGCAATACTCGTCAACAAAGGAATTGTATTGATTTTTCCATGTAGGACTTGCCAACATTTAGAGGATGACTTCCTTTACGGTTTACTAAAATGAGATGATCGGGAATATATACATAATCTGATAACATGATTAATTATTTTATATATTAGAATACATTGATATCATTGATTAATGAGTTCTCTGATTTCTTCCTCTTCTTATTCATACTTTTATTCAGGGAATCTGACTTTATCAGGGACTTCAATGGGAATTCCTTTCTTGCCTATGGAAGGATTAATTGAAATGAAATACCAGATGGGTCATATGGTCTGTAGATCTTTACTTTGACTCCAATGATACCTTGTTTGAAGAAGCAATGTCTGACGGCAACATCAATCAAGTCTTTCTTTGGTTGACCTGTGGAAATGATGTAACCAGCTCTGTATTTCATTGACTTGGCTCTTTGTTGTCCCAATTTACCAGAAATGATACATTCGGCACCAATAGCACCATCAGCCATGATTTATTTCAAAACTGCATTAGCTGCTGTTCTGACAGGTACTTAAGCAAGTAATTTTGTTTTGAGTGATTCAGCTTAGGCTGGAGCACACAATCCCTTAGATTGAACTCTGGCGACGATCAATTGAAGAGCCTCTAAAGTAGAAAATAAAATATGAGAGAATACCTTTAGAATATCCGAATCTCTTTTGGATTAAGCTTGTGAGTTCTCTCAATTTTCTTCCCTCTGGTCCTGTGACTCCTGCAGTGTTGGCAGCCTTGATTTCAATATCTGTTTAGACTGGGGTTGTTCTGACAACAAATCCAGCATAGCCTGCGTCAGTCAAAGCTCTGCTCAAAAAGGAGTGTAATTCAGCTTAGAAGACACCATCGGCAACGAACTTCTTCTTTTTGTTCATTTATCTGACTTTGCTCATGATTTTGTTTTTGATTTTAAAAAAAATTTTAATAAAGATTTTAGTTTACAAATATCAATGTATTTCTTTAACAAAATATACATTATATATATTTTGAAAAGAATTTAATGGAATTATTATAATACCTCTAACATATTCAATAAATAAGCTATACAGACTTAAAAGGTATGCTGTAAAAAATATTGCTCTTTTTATTGAATCTCTCTTAGAAAATCATTAAAATCCTCCCTTCCTGAATGCAAGTAGCTTCAAAAATCTTAGAAGTTCCATTATTGATTACTCAGAAGAACTATTATAAGATATTGTATTCACTTTATATAATTATTCACTTTATATAATTATTCAAAATAATTGAGTTTAGTTAATAAAAGTTTATAAATTGAATTCTCTATTATTTAATACTGTTTATTTAAAATGGATAATTTGATATGGAATGTGGTTTTTGGAGAATAAAGCAAGGTTAATATCATAGCTTATTAAAGATCATGATATATAGAAACAATTATTGAAAAGATTTTTTAGGAACATAGAAGAAATGAAAAAATCTCCTAAAATTTATAAATTATTAAACCCTAAAGTTACCAGTTAGCTCTGTAACTATTACTCTATTTTTGAAGTCGCAGAAGTATATCTTTATTGGGAGATAATTATAAATCAAGATACTACGAAATTACAGAATAATTAGTAGGAGTTAAATATACATATGAATTTCTATTTTGACTTAGGTATTTAATGAAAAATAATAATGAAATTAAATAGCTTTAATATGATTATAGGCTAAATGCAATTAATAAGAGGAATAGGAGAGTCAAAAATAAGATGAAATATATATAGCATCTTTTATTAAGATAATTTCAAATTGAATCATTAAGGAAATTGAGATTTTTTCAAGGGAATCTATCAATTGATCTAATTCCCTACTTTTAATAAAATATACCAAAGGGAATCATAGAAAAAAAGAGAAAATAATCAAATGAATATAATTCCTCATTAAAATTCAAGAGTATTATTTTAGTAATCAACTATTGCACTCTTTAATTAAATGTTTGGAATTTGATTCCCCCAGATGACCTACCTTGTCGCAGGATCATAAGGTCCATTGACCCTTATGCACTCATTTATGGAGCATTTCTCGTAGGTGTGTCCACTGCTCAATAGCACAGGTTCACACATTGCTTCTTGTGTAATAACACAGGTGTAGCATTCAATGGAATTAGGCACATAAGTTTCCTTTGTTCCTGGATATGAGAGTTTATTTAGGTTGATTATTTTGCCGTAGAATTGAGTTAGTTTCTCCTTCAAATTTAAGAATTCTGAAAATATAAGAATAAGAGACCTTTATAATTTTCTGATTTTTCTAATTTGGCCTTTAAAATAAGTCCTTGCGAATAATTATAATTAATGCTTTCTTTTAATTGAGGTTTTAACTCGATATGCTTTTAAGCTTGGTTATTTGATTATCTCTATACCTTATATCAAAAAGTTAACACCTTCTGATGCTTAAATCAAACATTTATCTTGCTAACCTAAGATTAAATGAACTGTCCCCAATATAAAGTAAGCTCGAACATTCCTATTGTCTAGTTATAATGCTTGTAAGGCATCTTTCTTAACATTTACATAATCTTCGATAGTTCGATAGGCAACAGCACGATTCGAATAGTAAATAGATTCTTTATTATATAAATTCTATTTTGTATCAAATATAGTACTATAGCCTATGTATATGCAATGATTGCTTCTTTAAATAATTTTTACTGCATATATTGGTTACCTTCCTCCTTGTATTTCTATGATTATTCTTTTATTTCAGTTTCTGACAGAGTCACGGTTACCTAAGGCAGGGTTTCGATTTTTGGAGGATTTTACTTTTAAGGAGTATCACAACAATTACCCATTTCTTTTTATAATAAATATCAATATTCAATTTTATGTTATTATAAATATTCTTTATTATAAAATTTACTCAAATATCTTTATCCAGAATCGCATAAGATAGTAACAAAAACTTTACATTCTGGGTATTTCTCAACAGCTTTCAGAACAGCCACACAATTCATAGCACTAGAAGCCCCAACAAACAGTCCCTCCTTTTCAATTAAAAATTAAGCCATCTGTATTGATTCTTAACTTATCACATAATATTACCCTTATCTTATATAGTGAACCCATAATCGATTTTGGCTTGCAAATAATTTTGGGTCAGTCTATTCAACCCACACCCTTCTATCACAGTGTCAAATGGATTCTTTAGTCTATGACCCTCGGCTTCTTAGTAAGTGTAACAGACTCCACTATTGACATGAGTTTTCAAGGAAGAGCCAGGAGGATCTGCTAGGATTACTTTGATGTTTTTATTTTTTCCCTTCAAATATTGAGAAATCCCTGCAATTGATCCTCCTGTTCCTGAAGACATAACAAAACAATCTATCAATCCATATGTTTATTCGTAAATTTCCTTCCCTGTTTAAAAATGAGCTTATTAATTTGCCAAATTATGAAATTGATCTGCATAATATCCACCTTCAATGGATGCTTGTTTTTCTGCTTTCTTACAAAAATGCTCTGAATCAACAATTGAAACAGGTGGTACTTTTTCAATGATTGCACCGCATGTTTATAAAATGTTGTATTTCTCTTAAGCCAAATCATTTTGCAAATATAACTTGCACTTACATCCTAAACTATTTCCAATCAGAGTCAGACTCACTCCTGTGCTTCCTGATGTCCCCTCATAAATAGTGTTATTTTTGACTCCCAAATGTCCTTGCTGAATACCGTATTAGATTAATGCCAACGCAGTTCTATCCTTCATGCTACTTCCAGGATTCATGAATTCACATTTGGCCTAAATACTAATGCTATAAAATACATAGATCTCTCTCCCTGTCTATTCTGAAAGGCTCTTTAGATATATCAAAGGAGTGTTCCCAATGATGTCTGCTAATCGTTTCTTTGGAATCTATCTCCTCCTCAAATAGGAGTATGTTATTGTCACTGCCAAGATGGATGTGCCCATCAATACTTTTAACCATAATTTTTTCATTAAATATTGATTTTTATAATATCATCATTTCTTTTGTGTTCTGCAACAGGTTTCTTCTTGTTCTTAAATAATCTATCAATAATGAGTGTATCCTATTAATCAAATCTAACACAAAGATATTCGCCCAAAAATATGGTCAGAATACTTATAATAGTATTTATAATCAGCCACATGTTATTGAATTCCGATGAACTCAACACACAACAAATAATGAAATGCCATAGATACAAAGAGAAAACAAAATCCAGAACCTTACTTCCTTTAACTACGATAAAGATCTACAATTATAATCGCAATACCAATCCGCTTACAACTACCAAGATGTTGAATGTGTTGCTCAATAGATTAACACTCAAGTAAGTATCATAAGTGTAGATCCCAAAGTCCCAAATTTATCCTAAATGAAACTAATCATTATTGATTCATTTAATACTTTACTTATAATCCAACAGCAAAATCCAAAAATAGACACACCACTATCAGTCCACTGTAATAGGTGCATAATAGAGAAAACAATTGAATAAGAATCATCTTACTATTGAAATTGTCCTTCCTTTTAAAACGTTCTTTCATTAAATAAATAAAATAACTATCATTAAACAAACTAAACTGATTTATAATTCTATTCCAACTGTTTTATAATTTCTGTTGACAAGGAGGAACTTGTATAAATTTACAATCTTACTTAGAGATTTTGAATATGAGTGCGCAAGAATGTTCTCCCTTTAGAGATTGAATCTCTTCTAAGAATAGATCGAATCCATTGTTTATTCCCTTGCAATCCCGTAAGTCTAAGGTGAATTTTTGGAGTCTTTATTTGCTTATCAAAATGGCTACCCAAGTCAGAATGGTTGTAAGCAAACTAGAAATATCAATTAGCTTTTCTTATCTATACTAATAATACTGTATACTTGTTAAATATGATTTGTGTCTAAGTCAGTGATTATAAATTCTTCAACTCAGTTACAAGTTTCTTCGTTGATATTTATCTACTGCTTATGTAAAATTTTTAAAGATATGCTGCCTTGTAATTTTTCAAAAAGAGTTACACATCATCAAACATTATTTGATTGCAATTTTTCAACTTTAAGATTTTCAAATGTTAAATTTTTGAGGAATAAATTAACTTTAAAACTTCACCATTTATTTTTGTGTTTGATAAATTTATTGATATGATATTAGTAATAAATTAGGATTATAGAAAATGTTTCATTCCATATTGAGTGATATCCTGATTCTTTAAATTCAAATGTTCAATATTCTGCAAACCTTGTGAATGAGCTATCCTTTTAAGAGTTTCATCTCTGATATAGGTATTCTCTTCCATATCATATTAAGACATGTAACCATATTTTTCTAAGCTTCTAATATTCTCAAATAGGCTATTGGCTGTACGTATGCAAATCTTAAAATCAATTATTTGAGACTCCCATTGCTTAGAAGTTGTTTGCACTAGTATCACTTTCTTACCCAGAGGCGTATCTAAAAACTTCCTTATATCCTTCTCAGTTATCGAAGTCTTATCTAGATTCAATTGATTCAGATTGGACATATAGACAGGCGTGAATAATTTAAGGAGATTGGCATCAACCCACTTATTATTAGATATATCTAATAGAGTTAATTTCTAAGCTTTGTCACAAATGATGAAATCTTCAAATTATTGACACTGCTGACATCCAGCCATCCTCAATTTGTGGAGCTTGTTTAAATTGTCTGAATTTATTAAAGCAGTTACTGTTTAAATGGATAATTAAGTGTTGGACAAATCTAAATCCCTCACTTAAGTGACAGATTGACTCATCAAAATCAATTTAAGTTAGCTGTCCTTGATTAATGAATTATTGAAACTTAGCACTTCAATCTATTAATGAGGATGAGATATATACCTAAGAAATCATGTCATCTGCAAATAGCCATTCCAATGTTTGAGAAGATAAGGAGGTAGTCTATAGAATTAATTCATTCACATTTTATTTTTATTAGTTGAGACATTCTAGAACAATTTGGGATTCCAATAGATCAGACTATATTTCAATATCCTTCTGTTAGTTTTGATTGACCTTCTTCTTTTGTTTGACACAACAAGCAGTTGTAGATTTTGTTTGAACTATCTGAGATTAGATGAGCTTTCGATTCTGTATATCTTTTTATTGCCTCTATTGCGAATCCTTTTAATTCTACCCATCAAATCTTATGTATATATAATTGTTATTCTTATCCTTGAGGAAGATCTGTTTTTCAATAACGTATCTCCGAACTTCGAAATGAATGATTTTGCTTCTAAGATTCTTAATAAATCTACTAATGATTAGACATATAATTTCAGTGTCATTCAAATCCACCAAATCGATGACAGTAAAATCATACGGTTACTGATATCCAAAATATTTCTGTGTAGCTGCATCAAATACGAATTTGTAATAAAACCTCCCCACCATGAAATCTTCCTCAGCCAATCTTTCACTTATATTAAGAAAAAACTAAGCCTCTAATCCATTGATAGTCGTCTTTGAATCTAATAAGCCAAAATAAAATTGGGAATTTATTGTCAATTGATGTTCTTCGTGGTGATCATCTATTTTATTAATCAATTTGCCATAATCAATATTAATTTCTTTGTAATTTAGGTCGCTCACTGTATTGTAGAGATGCAACTCTCCTTTTCCGTGAGGTAGATTATTGAGCCAATGTCCAGAATAAAGGATTTAAAGTTGACTTTAGACTAAACTTTATTTCGCACTGAGATTCTATTTAGATTCTTACAGTTAGGTGACTTAACTGATATCAAAATCCTATTCATCATCGCATATAGATTTCTTATCCTTCTTGTGTCTTTGGATTTTAAATATTAAATCATTTTTAGGTGCCTTATACATAATACCAAATCCGTCTCTCTTTTACTTTTCCTTATTGTAAGAACCCTAATAAATCTGGGATTTCAAACTATAGGCCAATTAGCAAGTGCCTTATTCTGATTTCCAGATTGCTGGCACAAATTATTACGTAAATGAGGTTTGAATGGATGCGCAAATCTGTGAATTAAAAAGAGTTGCTAATTCAATGGTGGAGATCCTTGTGTCTTCGTTTTCATCAAGTAGCAACTTTAATAAAGGCTTGATTCTTTTCAATTTGTGATCGAATAAGAAGAACTTTTCAGAATAAAGATAGATTTCGTATTTTTCAATTAAAGTAGGTAGATTTTATTGTCTTTACTCATAAAAGAGACATTCAATCTGCTTTTTTAGATTAATTTTGTCGTTGTGAAGTAATAATTACAAGAGGACTAATCCTAGAGAGTAGATATCTGATTTAAATGGGTTGTGTTTAAAATTGTTGGAGATTGCATCAATGGTATGGGTAATGTGAATATCAAGTTATTACTTTTGGTTGGTTGAGAGATAGTGTTCAAATTTTAATGGAGACATATATAATATTGTGCCAAATATTTAATTAATTTCAACTTAGTCCTGATCTTTTGGAACTTATCTGATAGCTCCAAAATCATGCAATATGAATTTACCATCTTGAATCAGAATGTTTTCAGGTTTAATATCATTGTGAGCTGATTCTAATAACTATTAAAGTAAATAGCTTACATCTTCCAATATGCAGATTGTATAACTAATCAACAATATCTTTGATGATTTGTAAAATCTCATAATCCGTGAAATTCTCATTCATGTGTTGTTTCCTCTCGATCAAATCCTCCAAAGTGTTCTGTGCCAACTCCTCTTCAATGATTAGGATGTCCTCCACTTCCAAGATCTGATACTGAAACAAGTAATTTCCTACGAAGTTTTCAGCCACATCCTAATTGATCTGTCTTTGCATCAAGGCTGCATATAGATTCTCTTATGTGTTTTGAGATATTTTCACAGCCACCAAATGTTCTTGTTAATTCAGAGCTTTGAATGCCTGGGATTAGGCTCCAGATCCTACTTTTTTAATATCTCTATAATGCAACAAGGCTAATAAATCTATGTAATCTCTGGTGGTTTTTAAATCACAAAACCTGTATTAATTTTCCAGAATTATTTAAGTATATTATTTTTATTTCGATGTTACAGTGTTTCTGCTGTGAGTTCTGGTTTCTTCAATGCAGGACATTTTAAGCAATTGACTAAAAGTCGAAAGACTTCTTTTTTTTGATTGCTTCCTTTTCATCTCCATTGGTTTTGATTTAAAGAAGTCAAGTATGTGTGGATCATTGTTCTTGTATCTATTTACTTTTGTGCACAAGTCCAAAAGCCATGGGAATATTTCACTGCTCTCTTCTGGCATTTAAGTACTGAAGACATCCAATGCAAATTTCGATACTTCTTCAGGTTTATGTTCAACCATCCAAAATGTTTGCAAATTCTTATTATAAACCTTAAAACACATTGAATATATCGAATCCTCACTTTAGTCTAAATCTATCTCTACTTCAATATTATTTAATAAATAATCCATTAATTTATATAATCCATTGATCTTAAGCAAAGGATTTATTTAATAGACAATTATTGTGATAATATCTATAACATAAAATCAATCAAGGGTAAAATGAAGGATAATATCTCATAGGAGGATTGGATATTATTGAACTTGATTCTCTCATTTATAAATTAATACCTCTAAACAATATTATTCTTTTCTAATGGAATCTACTCCTAGTAGTTGCCCTTGTACAAATTTTGAGGCTTTGTGACTCCGAAGTCTCTTCTTGGTTCATATTGAGTCTGAGGCTGGTCTGGAATGATGTAAGCTAACATGCCATAGGATTCAGATCTCAACTCTAGAGTGAATTCGTCTCCGTAGACAAACGAGAACTCCATTTTGGCATCATTGGAATATAATACTATACTCCAACGAAATTCTAGGAATGACATTGATCATTTACTAAATCTTTATTCAATTTCAGATTTTATAGTATCAGCTCTTTTGCTTAATAAATAGGGATCCTTAGTATCAGTGATAGAAAATAGGTGAACCAATTCGTCTCTCAATTGATTGGTGACTTAATTGCCTTGTTTCATGACTTCAATTCTGTCCATTTCTACAAAACTTGAAATTGATAATAATAATAATTAATAAATAAAACTGCAATAAAACCGAATATCGTTAGATTTATTATATTATAACATATTATTTATTATGAATATGATATATATATTGAATGTGTAATAACGATATGTCTAAATAAATTAATGTCAAAATCTATAGGCAAATATGTATATGATGAAAAAAACCTTATTGGTTCTGGTGCCTTTGGGAAGGTTTACCGAGGATTAGACACAGAAAAACAGATGGAAGTAGCAATTAAAGGTAATGAATACTAAAACGACATTAAGTTTCTTCAACAAAAAATGTTAGAAAGGAGGTCTTGGCCATAATTTAGAATGAGATTTAAGTAATGAAAAGACTGGAGCATCCGAATTTGATTCAACTATACGATGTTTTTGAATAAAATGAGGAGAAGATAGTCGTGATGGAGTTATGTAAACGAGATTTAAAAGACTTACTCACCAAGAGGAATCTTCATGAGAATGAAGTTTTACACATTGTGCTTCAATTGGTGACTGGTTTGAAAGAATTGGTCAGATTGGGGTTACTTCATAGAGATATTAAACCTGCAAATTGCTTTGAATGTGGAGGTATCTTTAAACTCGGCGATTTTGGATCTGTTGTTGAAGCTGACTACAGTGGAAAGAAATTAATGAAATAACAATTTGGTACTTTAGCTTATGAAGCACCTTAAATGATGATGAAAGATAAGTATAGTGTAAAATGCGATATTTGGTCTTTGGGAATACTGATTTACGAATCTCTTTTTGGATAGCTTCCTTGGCAATGTCAATCCGAAGGGTAGTATTTGAGGGCCATAAAGACGTGGGGTGTAAGATTTCCTATGGGGAAGAGAATTTCAAATGAGTGTAAGGATTTCATGTTAAGATGCTTGGTTATCCAAGAAAATAATAGAATGGATTGGGATTAATTATTTGAGCATAGATGGCTTAATATCAAAGAGAACGAAAGAAAATTTGTAAACACCATATTTATTATTAAAATAGAACAATTCATTAGTTTTTGAATAAATTGAGGATTAACTGTTAGATCATCTTAATGAAGTGGCTACACAATAGCATTTCCATCCTGAAGAATCCTTTTAGAGATACGATTTCGATAACAAAGGAGTGTTGGACTATCTAAAATTCGAACGATTTTTGATATAATTTGATCCTCGATTGACCAAAAAAGAGATGATGGCCATATTTTTACATTTGGACAAGCATAAAAAAAATGTAATAGATCTTTCTTAATTCTAATAAATATTTAGAAAATGAGATTCAATCTTATATTTATTATATATAATTGATTTCTTTTTAAAATGATTTAGAAACCTAAATTATGATAGAATAAGCTTGTCAATAATTATAATTTCAATAGCAATTGTATTTGAATGAATAATCAATACGATATAATACTAGCACCTAGTATTTGTTATCTAACTCAAATTTCTAACATTAACATTGGTTTTAATTATGAGATTATTATGAATATTTAGCAATTTTTATTTAAATTCAAAATTATAAATACTACATATGAATGATTTGACAAGCCTATTGAATCTTAAAAGAGAATAGTTTTCTGTCCACATTAGGAAATAAAGAAATGAAAACTAATTCAAAGAATCAAGAAAACATTATATTTCTTCACTCTTTTCACAGCAAACATAGATGCAAGAAATAAGCGCCAAAATAAGAGACAAAATTGAAAGAGGGGAATAACTGAGTGGTGAATTGTTGATAATAATAGTGGACAAGATTGAAGAAATTTTGGAGAGAGAAAACAATCTTAAATTATTAGATGTAGTTCAATATGATTATGTAGACTATTGATGCAGCTGTTTGGATGTTAAAGTCTGTAGATGTATAAACTTATGAAGATGAACTCAGTGATAATTATAAGATGCAAAGAATTATAGATATCATGATACCACTTTCTTAAGGATATTCTACCCACCATGAACAAATGAACTAATAAATTATCATATATGCTGCAAAAGTATAATGTGTCTATCATGTAGTTTCTTAAATACTGGACAATGATGGATGATAAATCAATTTACAACTACTATGGCGAAGTGGCTGAAACAGTCTATTTTCTATTGAATAAATAAGAAATCATCTATATCAAGAGAGGAGTTGAAATTATGTTTAACCTCTTCCAATGTGACGATGGAAAACTGTTGTCCAAATTGCATGAACTGCTTATTTGCGGTCAAAGCCTAGTTAAACCCATATGTATTCTATTATAAACTCAGCAAAATTATGACATTTAAACTACACTTTGGAAAATAGTACTTCAAACCTTCTTGATTCAAGAGAGAAATGGTATGAATCAATATCTAAATTATACAAATCAAGATACTACTTTTTTTGATATTTTAATTGAACTAGTCTAAGAATCAGAGGAGAATAGTCGAAAACTCTTTCGTTATCAATTACATTTAATCCATCTAATACTGGATTACTCTTAAACTGAAAGAGAATTACTTTATGATCATTTCAAATGGAAAATGAATTCCTCAGAATTTAAAATTAAAATGTAATAGAATTGGCTATTTCATGAATGGAGTTCCATTTAGAAAGTTGCCAATCAAATCCAAAGTCACTTAGAAGAATGACCAAATGAATTTAATAACCAATTTTTGTTTTTTAGTTCTTATGCAAAATTGATTCAATTCTCTCCCTTGATTGACTAAATATCTTCATCTAAAAATTGATTATTCACACTTTATTGATTCCGAACACTCTAATCGCACCTGTTCATATCTTAAATACTAGAAAATTCTCCCACTAAATCTTATGGCTTCTGCATATTCAAAAATATCATAATAATCATATTATAGATTGTAATATCATATAAATTTTAGTATATTGAAAAAATATTTTAATTAAAAAAAAATGGCAAAGTTTAAACATATATCAATCGCTTTAGCTGCATTTAAATTGGTACCACCAATCTTATCATTCGTTAAAACTAAATTCTAATAATATTAAGATTCAGAAAAAGCAAAATAATTTTATTAATCTGATGATTTAGAATAATCTACAGTGTTCTAGGGTGATAAAGAATTAGAAATGAATAAACAATTCGTTTTTTAAAAAATGTATACTAGTTTATAAGTTTTAGGGAAGAAATTTAGAAATAAATAATAAACTTTCTCGATAAATATAATTTTTAGAAACTATATGATACGAACAAGATAAAGCAACATTTTTATAATGAAAAGATGAATTACTGTATGATTAATTTGTAAGAAATCGTAAAGGATGAATTTTAGATATTCACCACCTAATTAGGAACAACAAATGAAATTATATGGCTTAATTAAGCCATTACTAAAGTGTACTACTTATTGATTATATACTATTAAGGGAAATTTAAATAGATAAATAAAGAAGATGAATTTCTATTATACTTTGATGAAATTCTTGAATTCATATAATTTAATATATTAAAAAGAGCAAAATAATGCTTTTCTTAAACCTATGATAAATTGGAAAAACTTCTTAAATGCCATTGTGAAGTCAGTATTAAAATGAATAACTAACTGGATAATTTGAAATCATAATTTCAAATGAATTACAAAGTTAAGCATTATTAACAGAGAATATCAGAAATATATAATAATATTATTGAGAATTATAATGAGGAAACATTGGAGGAAGTAAAAGTTAAATATCTTATTGAAGAAAGCTTAGAAGCTCGTAATAAATTTAAGATTTCTGAAGTTCTATTAAATGAGGGTCACAAAATTATAAGGAAGAGAATAAAATATGAAATCTTAAATAGTCTTCAAAATTACAAAGAAAGAGATTTTAGCATTTTAATGACAAAGGTGAGAAATATAATTATAAAATAAATTCATGAGGACAACTTTGTGGGTGGAATTGCAGATCAAGAAATCAATCAAAATCTTTAACTCATTCTCGTTTAATAGTTTTGGTGTCTTATAAAAAATAATAATCCTACTATTGAGTTCTTATTCAAAGAACTAGGAAAGTAATCTGACATTAAGGATAAATTTTCGTAGATTTCTTTAGAAGATCTTGATGGGACTTAGTCTCAAGACTTAAAAGAATAATACATCATTCTCCGGAAAGCAGTTGAAAAAGCACAAATATGGTATGAGTAGAATGTTGATGAGGATACTAATTTATTAGTTATATGTTAGATCTACATGATATTGGCCAACTTTAAATTCAAAAACTAGAAGGTATATTTTGGAGAATATGATTCAGAAGCTAGAAACACACTATTTATTATTGTTGAAAATCTGAAGGACTTGGAGTATGGTTATTTTAATCATGAGATATTGAAATTGTGTGAAAGTTTTACTCATAAACTGTAAACAAGATTTTTTGAAGATATAGATTAGAAAATTTAGAAGGAGAAATAAAATGGATTAAATAGTGGGGAGTTGTTTAAACAAAGAAGTGAAATCCTTATTCACGACAAATCCTACCATTTCCTACTGTAGGATACATCGGTTAGTTTATTAAAAAGTCCTACTGCTATCGGAAGAGAGTATCATTAATAAAATCAATTATTTGAATGTATTTTGAAATCAAAATAACCGAATTCTGAATACCTTGAAAACTAAATTAAGTTAATTAAAAGGGAGTTCAAAATAATTGAGGTTCGGGTACACGATTAATAGATTATGGGGAATTATAAATTTGTTCAACCTTTGTAATAACCAAAATTATTTTATTTTACACCACTCTCTACTGATGAAAATAATTCAAATGTTATTACTTTGCTGATCTCTGGGTTTCTTAGTAAGAATACTGATAAATAGGATTTAGGAAAGCATTTATTAAAGAAATTGTCTGGCACAGTTCTTGCAATGAATTGGGAAACAAAAGAGATAACCGACTTTTTGAAAGAAATACCAAATTGGATTTTTGAATACGATAAAGCAGAAATTCTTGATCGTAGTTTATAAAAAAATCAGTTTATTCAAGCAAATCAAGAAGCAATAATGATCGGTAGATGTTTGGCTCATTTTTTGGATGGAGGAAATCTATTTGGAAATAGATAAATAAACATAATATGTCATTCTTTAGGTACTTAAATATTACTTGATTGTGTGCATGAATTGGACAGATTTTCTTAGAAGAAATGCATCAACGATATAGTACTATTTGGTGGAGTTGCTGATGTAAACGAATTAGCAAAAAGAAGATGGAATTCAGTTTCAGGTTCTATACATAATATGTATATTAAAGATGATACAATTCTTTAATATCTCTATAGGGTTAACTATTTATTCAAGAAGCCTTGTGGTAAGCAATATTTCTAATTTAGGTTATAAGCCAGTAAAATTTGCATATAAAAAAATTTATAACTATGATCTATCAGAAATGATTGATGGACACTCAGGTTATTGGGAAAAATTAGATATAATGATGAACATTTGTGATTTGAATAGTGATTACAAGGTTTTGGTAAAAGATGTTAAAAAAAAATTCTGATTATTAATAATATTCAATATTATCTATAATATTATATATATTATGGAGGATATATAATTGATAATCAGAAGAATTAAGAGATCAGGGGAACCTCGATTAAATCTATCTGCTAAATAAATTATCAGCATTCCTCATGAGATATACTAATTGAAACTTGTTCAATTAGATCTTAGCTATAATAAAATAACATCTATTGAACCTAGAATAATTTCATTAACAACTTTAGAAGATCTAGATTTAAGCAATAATTGCATTGAAGAAGTACCTGAAGAATTGTTGAATATGCAAAATCTGCAGACTTTAAATTTAAGCAATAATCCTTTGATACCCAAATTTTAAACATTAAATGGACATTTTCATTAACCATAATTAAATTAGATTTTGCAAAAGTTATTTCAAATTAGTCCTGTAACCGATAATCAACTAAAACAGGAATAGTAAATCATTCCTGAAAGACCAAAAACATAAAGTAGACCAATTAGATAAGTGTAGGAATTATAACATACGAATCATGTTTTGGAAGTAGATGCAAATGAATTTGAAGTACATGAAATAATTTCCTAAGGTGGCTTTTCTATTGTTCATCGGGGATATTTCAGAGGCACAGAAGTAAATAGAAAATGTAAATTAGATTGCAATCAAAAAGATCTTTAATCCAAACATTACTTAATAATTACTTGATGAAATCAATAATGAAATTGAAATGCTATCTTTATTAAGGCATCCAAATATAGTTCTATTAATGGCATGTTGTACAAAACCTCCAAATTTAGTGATAGCAACTGAATTTATATAAGGAGGAAGCTTGTATCACCTTTTGCATAAGACCAAGTAAGGCAAAACTGATCAATTAGTCATTAAATTTCGGATCAATTTAAATATTCTATAGCCATTTAAATTGCCAGAACATTGCAATATATGCATTAAGCAGGTGTTGTACATAGGGATATTAAATCACACAACATTTTACTGTAAGGATAGACAGTGAAGTTGTGTGATTTTGGTTTAACAAAGAGATGTGTAAGAGTTAGGTTTAATAAATTAGTCAGAGTTGAATTAAGGCTATTAATAATTTAGTGGGACTCCAACCTATATGGCCCCAGAACTATTTGCCAAACGCGTAATTGAATCAGAATATTTTAGGCTTACGATAAAGGGGTGGATCTGTTTGCTTATGGCACTCTGTTGTGGGAGATATTTGCAAGAGAAGTGCCTTGGGATTGCTTGGAGATGCAAGAGATTGTCTAGAAGGCTATGAGGAATGAGCAGTTACCAAGTAGAAATGTGCCTAAGAATGTTATGCAATTGATTAATGAGTTGAGGAGTAAAGATGAAACAAGGAGACCCTCCATGGATTTAGTTGTCTAATAATTATTAAATAGATGATTAAGTTTAAATTATTTTTAAAATAGAATTGCCATGCTGTGTATTGATTTATATATATTTTTTTAACATAATTATAGTTAATTAATTCAAATATGAAAACACTCAAAGAGAGAATGTTAAAGATAGACAAAGTATTATGCATACCTATACCAATAGATATGTCAAAAGCTTAATATCCCTGAATAAAGTAAGGGTCTTTTCAAAAAGAGGAAAAACAATTCTTGTATAATGAAGGAACAAGACAAGAACATTAACAATGTAAGCATGATTAGTTCAAATGCAGGATGTATCATTAGCAGGACTCAATTGAAAAAGCAATAATCAATCTAGATGTTGTAATGTGATACAGTTAGAAGTTAAACATTATCCTTGAAATAATTAAAGATGATTCACGAATAAGACTAGATTCAATCCATGCAATCCTAAAAGGAGGAATTACAGAATTAGATTAACTAATTAGTGTAAATGAAAAAATAAATATAAGAACAAGAGGAGAAAAAGAAAAAACAATTTATCATTTAAGACACTTCACTATTGCCGCAAATGCTAAAATTGCAATAGGAGAAGTTGTCAATTGAAAATGAAATCACTTAGATTGATTCTAAGATTGAATAAGTCAGATATAGCAACATTAATAAAATACAAGTTCTACAAAAAAGAAATTGGAAGGAGGAGAAAAAGGTAACTTTGAGTAAGATTCATATTTATAGTCATTCGAATAAAAATGGTTGGACCTCGAATAAAACGAATCTAAAAACGATGACAAATTGTACAACCTCTTTATCCACGACTCTCCACCCTAAGAAGAACAAGTGGATTAAAAGACAATAGATACCTTAACCAAAGAAGTTGAAGATCTATTATGTTTAAAATTGCCTGATGAATAGGATGATTAATAATTGTAACAAAGTCAAAGAAGCAAATTTAATTAGAACTATTAGTCTCCGTTATAAATTATTGAGGAAGAACAATCCGTCGAATTGTCTTTTTAAAAATTATGAATATAATTTATTAAATAACTAAAAATATCAATTAATTAAAATTTAAATGATATATAAAATTATTTTATCAATTAAATACACAATAAGGAATAACTAATATTTATAAATCAATTTTATCATCCCGATATACTTTGATTATTAACTATAATTGCATATGACCATTCTATTACTACTTTGATGAATACTCAATAGTTCTTGATCTCAAAGCTGTAATAGGCTATCTTTATTTTTATCATAACTAGACATTATTTGTTCTATTTCTATTCATTTTCTCAAGCATCAACAATAATTATATATATTGTACTACTCTAAGCAATTTACTAAATGGTTTTATCTAAATATTTTAATATAAATTGTAAACAACTTTAGCAATTTTACTCTGCGATAATGAATTCTTAATATTTATCAAAACCTAATCGTTGAATGATAAAATACAGGTTATTTGATTAAAAACATAAATTCATTTCCTAATTTTTTTGATAAATTATTAAAATTTTATATAATTATAGAAACTAATGAGCGATTTAGGTGTTAAAATCGTTAAAGTCCTTAATGCAGGATCTGCGTAATAGTTATAGCTTAAATTATGAGTATTGTATTAGCTTTTGCAGGATTTTGGATAGCCATAAGTCAACTCATAAATGGTCACTTTACTATTGCTTCATTTTTTGGGCCATTCTTCTTTGTGTAAAATTTAATTTCTCAAAGATTTAGATTTTTTGGATTCTTATTGGTAGCAAACGAAATAAAATTCGGACATGTTTTAAATGAATATGGATTTTTGAAGACGTTTCTAGGAAGAGGATTATTTTATATTTTGTAAGCTATTCCATAGGATTATAATTTTAGTTTGTCTGGAGTTGTGTGTTATGGATATTATTCAATAGCAGATAATTACGTGTAATTAATGGATCCAATTAAATTAGGGCAGGCAATATCTATGGAACGGTGTTTTTCATCTTGGGAGTATTTTATTTGCTGATGAATTTTTATGTAATATTTTTAGAGATATCTTTAATAGCCAAAGGGATCGTTGGGCAACCTTTCAAGAGTATTATATATATTCACTTAATTAGTCGTTACAGATTCAATGAATAATCATTAGACATATTTAAATTATAAGAATATTAATATAGTATAAATAATTTATGCAATTCCTTAAAAATGATAAAAGCATGATTACGGAATCGAAATAAAAGTCAGAAGTGAGTTCTGAACTCTTAAAGTGAATGTACAATTTTATTGATGTAGTGCTGTTGAGATAAAACCAAATGACACACTGATGTTCGAAGTTTTGCAAAATTAAAAGAAGATCATTGCATAAGTTGATATTATAAATAAAACCTTACAAGATGTCATGTTCAGAGTTAAAACTACATCTCCAGACTTTTACGTTATTTCATATGAAAAAGAGAAGCCAATAGCTACTTAATCGTCATACACAGTGTCAATTTATATGATGTGCGACGAATCAAGATTGCAACATAGATTGAAAGATAAGTTTTAAATTGAAATAGTTGAGAAATAAAAGTATGATGCTGCAACAAATGAAGATTGCAAGTGGCAAAATCAAGCTAGAAAACATATTCTTGGAGTGAGTTTAATCAGAAAAGATATTTCTTCTCAAATCTAACAACCCAAGAGTCAAATATTGCACAGTAACATTAAGAGTCACTCAATTGGGCATACTCCAAGACTTGTGTAATCAAGATTGACCCAGGGATCGGCTGGACTGAATATGGCATTTCAATAATAATATCAACATCAAGACAGTTCTAATTCTATTTCGAATGATGAGAATAAGAATTTGAAATTGAAGTTAGAATCTTTAAAGCAGAAATATTAAGAGCAAGCCAAATTAATTGTAAAAGTATTGAATATTCTAGGAATAATATAAATACGATATAAATGAACTTTAGAATGAGATTGATAGAAATGCCTTTATTTATGATTTGGAAAAGAAGTAAGAGGAAAAGGAAAAGCCTGATCAAATTATAGCTTCTGCATTAAGGGATAAAACAGGGATTCCATTATGGGAGTTATTTGTTGCGGCAACAATATCACTCATTTTAGGTGCATTACTGAATAATAAATGAGTAACACTAAATCATTTCAAACATTTTTATCTTTTTTATTGATAACACTAAGAGACGTTTTCCTTATGTCTATCAACCATAAACTATAGGAATTCTAATCCTTTTTATATGACTTATTTGTTTAGTGATCCAGGAATTTCGTTGTGTTTTATGAGTTTAGGCATAATGTCTTTAATACTCTAAATTCTATTTATTGAGTTGGATTTTTGAATTTCTACATTTTAATCAGTTTTCAAACGAGTTCTTTTCAACTGATTGTTTGTTTTACTTTATCGTTGTCTATCCGTTGAAGCATTCGTAGAATTGATTTCTTGGAGTGGTTGTAGCATTCTTTTGTTTTATTATTGACTATCTTGTAAATAACAAAATACTTTAATCTAATTTTAAACTATTCCTTTTTCTACTCAATAATTTACAAGACCTCTGGTTAAAATTTGGGATCATTCAAATTGAATATTCTGTGAGTGTCATATTTATATTGTTCATTGTGTTATAGAAATTCCATCACTTTTTTTAATTCTTAAATTTTGTTTTAACTTGTTGGAACTCTTGGTGGTCTTAAAATTTGACTCTTGTTTCTGCTCTAATCAATTAAATCAGGAATAATAGAATGACATACTTGATTTATTGGTGTCTTAATCTTATCTTCTTTAACATAGACTCACGCTTCTTTTCTGTAATTGTTGTTTCCTATTAACTATCTCTATAATTTAAATATAAGCAAAATTGAATTACAATTCACTACTTGATGAATCTGAGGTGAGCCCTACTGATCGTATTCGTGAATCCATCCTGAAATAGACTAGTGTGATTATTGCATTTATAATTTTATAATTAGTTGTTAATAATAATAGTTATATTCAAAAAAACTCTATCAGTTTATGCAGAGTAATCAATTGTACTACAAACTTAACTTAATCTTAAGTGGATTAGCCTTATTTTACCTATTACTCTTCTAGGCTGTCTTTTTATCATTTTCATTGCCCATCAAACTATTGGCAAACAACTTTTGTGCCAATTGAAATCTATAAATTTCTCTATCTTCCGTTGTAGATGAGTAATCTAGTTATTCAATCCTCCTATTTGGGGATTTGATATTGTTTTGAATCAATTTCGTAATCAAATCCTCACGGGATTTTTGTCTAATTAAAATAATAATTTAATTAATCTACTTATATCTTGGGGAAAGCAGTAATTTACTAGATTGTGTGGATTCTAATGAGTTTTTTGTTTTTTGAATCAAATCCAATTAATTGCTATATTAAATCAATTATTTCTTGAATCCTGGATTTGGATTGATTGTCAACCTTTTTTCTTTCACATAGTAATATGTTTTTTCATATGACCATCCTTGAGATTACATCAAATGAGCTATCACACATGCACTGGATCTAGAAACACCTGCCACGCAATGTACCAAAACTGAACCATGCATCAATCCCTCCTATATGACTTCATTAATTTGCTTGAAATAATCTAATATACGAAAGGAAGCACTATCCTCTATACTAAAAATCTACCATACTATTTAACAGTTACATAATGCTTGAAATTCTCTAATTTGAGACTAATATTATTGGCTACTGTGATCACAGTCTAAATGTTATTTAGTCTCAAAAGCTAAGAATTCTTGGCTGCTTTCAAACTCCCTAACCAGAGATTGTTTCCAAAGTAGGAGTGCACTTTGTCCATGTCATTGGATAAAATTGAGAATCTGCTCATTGATAAATTAATACAAAATTATGGATTCAATTTTGTATTTTGGTCATCTGATATTTAAAATCAGAATATTGTTAGTGTATAAATCTCAATATTAAATGAAAGGAGTGCTGGATATTTTAAATGAAATAGAATGTTTATTTTGAAAGGTAGTTTTATTTAATATTAAATTTTTGCATTTGATTTTTGAATTCAAAAGTATGGAGGAAATGAAATAAAATTATCTCGATAGGTATCAATGTTATTCTAAATAATCAGATTAAATAATCTTCATTAATTTCTCTATTGTGAATTACCATTAAAGTTGATGAATCACAATGAGGATGAAGTAAATTGAAATTAAATTTTAGACTTGTATCGATCTGTAAAATCGCCTGTATACATTAATAGAAACTGGATACATCAAGGAAACAGAATAATAGTTGCAATAACTCATAGAGGAGAACCATAAATTGCATAACAAGGAGAATGATAAATAGTTGATCAATGGTCTTTCGACTTCAGAAGCAAGATATGTTAAATAAATAGCTGAGTTGTAACATCAAAGGGATCTTCTCCAAGATGAATTAGAAGAAAAAAACTTCATATTAAATTAGATTGAATCCAAAATGGAAAAGTTTGAATTATTATCAGATAACTTAATTAAGGCTGAATAAGCAATTAAAGAGCTGTCAGACGAGAATGTGGAAATAAGCTAGCAATTACAATATGAATAAGAGATGAATTAACAATATAAAAATTAGATAGAGGAACTACAACAAGCAGTAATGACTAAGGAAGCAACCTAACATAAGATCATCTCTCCTTCTCAACTCTATTAGTTGCATGAGTAAGTAGGATCATTAAGAATTGAATTGTCAGGATTGTAAGCTGAAGTCAAGATAAGAGTGTAAATATTGGAATAGTTCAGAACTCAATTAATGAGTGATTTGGTGAAGGGTTTCCACACCATGTTATCAAAAACTAAATAGGAATTATAAGCTGAAACAATTGAGGTGAAAAAGCAGCATCAATAATTAAATGAAATGACTACTTAATAGATCAATAAACTAAGGAAGGATGTTTAATTTTATAAGGTCCTAGAGGAGGAATATTAAACTAAAATAAAAGAAGTTTTAAATTAGAAATCTGAGTTGGAATCCAGTATTAAGTTAAAAGATGAATAGTTATCAGATATAGCAAGCAAATTAGATTTAATACAGTAAAATATTGAGTAAACTGAATTAAACTTTTAAAATCAATTGATCTAGGCAATCAATTCAAAAGAAAAATATAAAATACAATTAAACAATGCTAAGTAAGGACTACTAACTTTAACTGAAAAAGTCTAATCTTTGGTGTCTTTCAATCAAAAATAAATGAAATTTATAGAGGAGAACATCTAATTACTGGAATAAAGGATTCGAGAAGAGAATCAGGAACTCATAGATGGGTTAAGTTAAGAATTAAATTAAAGCATAGAAACAATTAAAAAATAGCATTCCAGTATAAGATAACTTGAGCTATAATGTTTAAAGTCTAACTTCTAAAAGGTAGACTAAACAAATAAGGCAGCAGAGTAATATAAACAATCGGAAATTATGAATAAACATTTAGATTTAGAGTATGTAAAGAATGATTGCTCATTTATCGGTGAAAGGGTTATGTATTAGAGAACAGGCAGATTAGATGAATAAAGAAAATATTTAGATGATTTAAAATAACTACACAGAACAACAAAATCCTAGTTAAAATTGAATAGAAAGTATTGAAATGATGTAATTAATTCATATTGATCTTTAACATATTTTATATTTATATTAACAGCTAATTTAAAGATACCTTAAAATATATCAATATTTGATATTGTAAGATTCAATAATCTTAAGCAACATTTCTATACTTAAACTTATATTTTGAACACATCTCAGCATTAGGTAATTCTTCCAAGTATCGTTACACATTAGCTTCTAACAATCCAAATCTATCAGTACCACTGATTGTGACCTTAGATTTCTTGTGTTCCTATAATTCATTGATTCTATTGTAAATGTGTACCTAATTAATACAACTAATTTATACCCAACAACCAGTACAACTATTCTTAATTATTGGATTATCAACATCCTCTTCACTAGTTACTTTGAATAAAGGTTTGCCATCACTTCCTTCTAAGATTTCACAAGTATATTGGCATCTCTTGCCTTTGGTGAACATACTTGCATGTGTTCTAATACTTTTATATCCTGCTGGGAATAAGTTGTGTTCACTATGATAGGCAGGTTAAGGAATGATTTTTCCAAGACTCACTAATTTGAGACTCGTGCTGACCTGATAAGGCAACTAGATTTCATTTACTCCTCCTGTAGAATTAGGTTTTATTTTCTTTTGTTAATCATCTTTTAATTCTGGTTTCCTTTTTATATTAGTTTGATCTCTAATTTTCTTAAAAAATGAACATAACTACTCAATCCTATTGAGTATTTATTCAGTAGTCATAATTGTATTGATATTGCTTAGAGTGATAGGTTAAAGTCCATTAAATCCAGTCTATGAGAGTGTTGTAATAATTTGAATATCATGACTCTTTGGATCATATTCGGGAATATCAATGAACAGTTCCTTTTCAACTTATTAGATATGTTATTAATATAGTGCCTAATTTTAAGGCAATATATTCTTCCTGATGAAATGTAACATGTTTGTTTATTTACTAAACTTTTAGCTGTCCTAATATGAAATCTAGAATTCATCTCCTTATTCTTCTCTAATTTCTCCAATTGAAGATGGTGGTTACTCAATTTCAAGATCACTGGAATCACTTTCCAAAAATTCTCTCTCCTTATGTTTCATAAGCATCTATTCGCATCTTGTTCTAATAGTTTAAACCATCTTTTCTAATTGATTCAAATTCTTGTCAAACTTATTGATCTTCAATATCAATTTATCTTTAAGTTCTTACCAATTTTGTCTGCCATCAACGCCAATAGGTACACCATAATCACACAATAAATTAAATAAAGCTTGCTTCTCAGCAATCGACCATGATTTCTCCTCCTCATCATCACTCTATGCCAAATTATCAAAATCATAAAACCCATCAAACTTCTATATTATCTAAACTAGTTTCTTCACTCTCTTATTCAATGTCTCTGGAAATGGGAACTCTTAATAATTTTGAGCTAATAGTCATAATACAACCTATTATACATGTAGATAAATCCTTAAAACAAAGGTCACTAGCCTCCTTAATTATTAAATGATTTGTATATCCATATTAATACACTCCTCTAATCAGATCGCTATCATGTTTTCTTGTCCACCAAATTGATGGTCTTTGTGAATAAAAGGAGCTACTTGGAATGAATCCCAAAAGATAATCCCATTTTACTAATTTATCAGTATACATTTTACATTACGATTTGTCTTTGATTCCTAAGTTTTTTAATTGGTGTTCCTTAAACTTTTTAATAAACTCTCTAATTTTGGCCAACATTAGAATTCTCTTACTTATGGATATTAACTTTTATTTTAGATTCTGCAACTCCCAATCCTCTATAATATTGTATTGAATTATACTTTGATTAGTCTCAATATAAGGATCATCGGGATTCTCCTCTATTAAATTTACTATTCCAGCGCCTAAATCATAATTTACCAATAGTTCGACGATTGATCTTAGAAGGGAATTCGCAAATGCTTTAATCTCTTATTTACTCTTGTTAGCAAACTTTAGTTATTGCATTTTGTTCCATCTCCCATAGCCGAATTATAGTATCAATTTCTTCAGCACCTCCTTCTCTTCCTGTGTCCATTTTGAATATAACACCTTGTCATGAACTCTATTAAATTAGGTTTGAGCTGCTCGTTATGCCTCGTATTTTAATGGCTCTCTCAATGGAAGAATAAAAGTATAATAGTGTTTGGTATGGCATTCCTTACATGGTATGTATATTCTGCTAAAATTTGTCAAAATGGTTTCTTTTGTGACGATCTAATTTTCAACTTGGATCTCTGTGTGAGGAATAATTGAGAATTGATAGAGCTCTTCTTAAAGTTTCAATTCTCCAATTATCAATGGATTATTTGGACATTTCATCACTCTAATTCCTCTTGTGGAAGGAAAGTTTGAGAGCTAAGTAGGAAGTGTTTTAATTAGGAATTCTTCTCCTATATAGGATTGCAATTTAGCATACAACATTCAATTAATTTTTAATATTATTTTGATTGTTGTAAATATATCATAATGATAATTACAAATAACAATATCAAATAAAATAAATAAATTCTACGGTGAATTGCATTAAATAATTATAAATATAATGTCTAAAACAAACACCATGAGTTGTTTATGGAAAGAATCAAAAGATGCCATACCATATGTTATCAGTGTTCCCATTCCTACTGTTGAAGATGGTCAACTCTTGGTCAGAATGGATTATGCGCCAATCAATCCATCGGACATCAAATTTCTCTTAGGACAGTCTTAATCAAATAAACAATTTCCTTGTGTTCCAGGATTTGAAGGATCCGGAACAGTTGTACTTACAGGTGGGGGAATGGCTAGTTGGGGCATGTCTGGCAAAAGAGTAGCATTTTACACAAATCACCAATTTGGAACATATGGAGAATATAGTATTGCAGATCCAAATTTGTGTATAGAGTTGGATAATGATGTAAAATCAAATGAGGCTGCTTGTTCATTTGTGAATCCATTATCTGTTATAGGTATGTTGGACATTTGCAAGAAAAATAATGTAAAAGCAATCATTAACAATCCAGGTGCTTCTCAGTTAGGAAAAATGATGAATCGCCTATTTTAAGAAAAGAATATTAAAGTTATAAATGTAGTTAGAAGAGAAGAACAGGTTCATGAATTACGATATGAATGTGGGGCTGAATTAATTATCAATTAAAATGATCCTGATTTCCTTCAAAAGTTGAAGAATATGTGTGAAACAACTTAGGCATCAGTATATTTTGATGCAGTTGGTGGAGAATAGAGTGGATAGATTTTAAATATTATGCCAAAAGGATCCATATTAATTATGTATGGGACTCTTGATAGTTGGTAAATAGGAGGAATTTAGGCAAATGATTTATTGAGGGAATAGAAATCAATTTAAGGGTATTGAATAGTCCTTCATTCTAGATTCTTTCTTAATATATGGTTATAGGAGTAAAATAAAATAGAATTAATTATGACATTAAAAATGTTACAAAAGTTTATTAAGTCTTCATTAAAAACTAAAATTGCCAAAGAAGTAATTCAATAATTCATATATTAGTTTACGTTAGATGAATTTTAATAAGCACTTGATTATTATAAATCTCATATGACTGATGGAAAAACAGTAATAAGTTTAAAAAAAACTATTACATCAAAAAGAGAATATTCAGATTAACAAAGCAATTAATAATAATAATAATAATAATAATAATAATAATAATAATAATAATAATAATAATAATAATAATAATAATAATAATAATAATAATAATAATAATAATCTTCTAATGAAGCATAAGAATCTTAAGAAGATGATGACAGTTCTGATTCAGGATTTGGAGAAGGATTAAATGATGTATTGTCTAACTCAGAGTAAAAGTGAAATAATAAATCAGTCTAAAAATTTAGACTTATTTCGTTCTCCTTCTCTAAATGATTTAAATGATAAACCTATTTTAAGTTTAGGAGCACTGAGTTTCTTAACAGAATAAAATTTACTCTGCGAAATATCAAAAATTGATTCATTCGTTAAGTTTTCTCTACTCTTAATTACTTTATTTTTCAGTTGCTTTATAATGATTTCCATAGAAGGTGCTTCATAGTTTTATTAAGTCTTAAACAAATTTCCTTATAAACTTAAAAATTTTCTCATAGTTTTGTTGCTTTTATTTTAGGAATGTAATTAAGTAGGAGATAACAATTATAAATCCTTTGAATCCTTTTTATTTTCTGATTCTAAGTCTTCAAAGTAATTATTTGATAAGGAAACTTTGTACGCTTATCTTCCATCCTCCCTACTTTTGATATACTATTTATTATTTGAAGGAATCGGACTCTTACTAACATTTTAAGTAGAGATTTCTGGTTTATTTAACCATTTCTTGCTAAACTTTTATTCGAAGTAGTCTCTAATCCAACCATCTCTCTCATTCAACCTCATATTATCAATATATTATGATATCGAGAGGGCTAAAACAACCGTTTTTACTCTTGCCTTAGCTTATGTTATTCTTGTGAGATATCTACATTTCATATTAGTTTGATAGACTTCATAATCCCCAAAAATCTACCCAGTTGAATATAACCCTACCACTATAATGTTTTTCTTCAAATAAATATCTCCTTCTTGTGCAACTGATTGTTATTTACCCCATTTCTCTATAAGTATTTCACCTTCTTTAATTATATATACTTAGTCCCCTTTCTATCCTCTTTTATAAATGAATGATCCAGCCTCAAAACTCATTTCCTGGCAACTATGCAATAAAACCAATTAACCAGATTAACTCCAATTTTTGAAGGGTGGTGTGCATTTAATGAATTGTAACTTTTCCTCTAAAATCTTTTCTTAATATTAGCCCAACACCTTCTAATATGATTCATAACTCAAAGTAGCAAAAACACATTCAGTTTTTGCTACTACTGAAGCTGTTCTTGGAATTCTCTGTTCAATTGCAATCTCTCCGAAAAAGTCATTTTTACTTTTTATCGCAATTAATTTATATTGTGCAAACTTGTGCTTCAATAAATCATCAAATTTTTTAACTATTGAGGATCCTTTAATTAGAACATAAATATACTTCTTTAGTGATGATGATTATCATGATGCTGTGATTCCTACATAGGAATCAGTATGGCCACTTCTCCATCAATAATAAAGTACATTTTCCTTCCAATGTCGCCCATATTAAATACGACTTCAGCTGCATTACTCCTCTCTATCTATAAATCTTTAAAAATTCTAATGTAAAGATCATCTGGTAATTATCCTCTTATTTTACTAGGCTAATATACAATCTTACGAAAAATATGCAAAATCTCTTTCAAAGTATTTTTGAACATATTTAGCTTACATGATCGACCTTTTTTCTGGTTCTGTTGTTAAAATTTGTAAGCATCTCTGTCTAATCATATCAGTATCTTCATTAATTGTTTTTTAGAAAGTGTTAGTAACTTTAAACAAAAGCTATATTAATTTTTCCATATTACGTTTGCCTCCTTTATTTCACGTAAATTCCCAATAACTGATGTGAAACGATTATTCGCTCTCATTATTTTTCTATAATATTATAAAAAGTTTGTGAATATTATATTGATAATAATAAGACAAATATTATTTAATATTTAATTGCTTACTTAAAATTTTTGAAAAATCAATATATTCTTTTTTCTAATGTATACCATCGAACTTTTGTCAATAATGAAGAAGATTCCTCAATAAGATAAGCTACTTTACTATATAAAATTAGATTAGTTTCAATACTATTAAGATCTTTCTTAGAAATATTGAATTAGAATAATCAATCTCACCTGAGAAGTTATTAATTATAATGGTACATTAGATAACTTAATTTTCACTGCCTTTATAATTACTTATATATGATATTTGGAATTAATCTACTTTGAAACTAATTCTCATAGCTCTATAGCCAAGCTAGTTCTAAATAATAAAGTAGTTTTAAGTTATCGGTTACAACTCGGTTTAGAAAACCCACTTACTTAAACCTTTTCCAAAATTTAAATAGTAACTATTTTTCCAAAACTCTAAACTATTATCAAACTTACTAAGGAATTGATAGAATTTATATCAGGACCAACAACTTATATACATTTGATCTTCTTTTGAATATCATAACACATAATAAATTTCTTATTTATTAATTTCTTTTTAGTTGCTTTTATAAGATTTGATTAAAATATTCAGATGATCAATTAAAGTTGCAAGTCTACTTTAAAGTAATCGTAGAGATGCAATATAAAGGTTTAGTTTACTAATTGTTAAATCACCTTTGATGATACTTTTTCTTGCATAATTAAAGTTTATTCAGGTTAATTCTTACTGAATTATATTAACTAAATAGTTTAATTAAATTAACATTTATTAATTTATAATATATTCACTTTAACCTCCTTCTTTGAAATATTAATGAATTTGTTTTTAATAAATAGCGTGTATTTTATTTTAGAATTTTGGTTTAACTTTCATCTCTTAATATTTTTGTTACCCTTTATAAGATCTGTCTTGTTAACATTTATTGGAAGAATATATAAAAAAACAAAAAATCAATATACAAAAATGATGAAATTGGATGCAATGCTCGTAGATACTCTTTTTCAGAATTGAATTATTATAGAGGAATTTGATTGAAGAAAGTTATTTTCTCAATATATGTATATTTTATAATGCTATTTGATAGTGTATGATATTGTAAATTATGAGTGTACATGATTTATTTGATTGTTTAATCAGATCTACTATATTGAGCAAAGAAAATAAATTGTATAAAATGTAATAAAATATATTCTGTTCCAAATTTATTTACTGATAATTAAGCAAAGAAATCATATAATGTCCTATGGTAGCATGCTTGTGATCTTTTATTGATAATTTAATCATTTTAGCTACCTTAATGGTTTTAGGTTGATAGTAATTGATAATAAAGATCCTATTTATTTAGTAAACAATTCAATAGGACGACAAACTTTTCTCCTTTAAATTTTATTAATACCGAATAGAATATTAAGTTTTACCTTTTTACAAAACACACAATCTATAAATGTTCAACCTGTTCTATTATTTTAAATATTCTAATTTCTAAATCCCAAATTCTATAAAGATTAAATCTACATTTTTTTTTAAAAAAAAACACACTTAATGATAATAAAGCAATTTACATAATTTTTTAATTCAATTGTACATTCTGAAACTTCTCTCTGTATGTGATTAGATATTTAAAGATTATCGATTTACTCCAATTCTACTAGAATTGTTGATTTTCAGTATCATTTCTAATAGTTATGAGAAAGCAATAACAATGATGGCAAATTTATAAAGAAATGTTGATATCTAATAAGACTTTTGTTGAATTAGCCATAAATTAAGAGTTCAATTAAAAAACTGCCATTATAATTTATTACTTGACTACACATTTCATGCCCTGTTATATTCTTAGCCTAAAGAAATCAAATTTTAGAACTGGATTTGATCAATCTATTCTCAATATTTCAATAACTTGTGATTAAATTTGATCTTTATAAAAATTAGGTGTTATCTTTATTAACAACTTCATGAATTAATTAATTAATATATTATGATTTCTACTGAAATCAATTCAAACGATACTATTGTTAGATTTGATTAAATTGTCGGTTAACAGGAGGATTAAGAATATAGAGTAAGTGATATCTGTAAGTAGAGTCCTCAAGATGTTGTAGTCATATAAGATTAAAATCAACCACAAAATAGCTAAATTCCTGAGATTGGTCAGCAAATTTTGGATCCAGAGTAATTGAAATTAAAAGAGAAAGAAAGAATGGAGAGGATTATCAAGTAAATATGTTAGATGAATATCATTAGTATTCCAAACACTCTGAAAAGGTCATTGTCAACAATTAATGAAGTCCCTGATTAATCCATAAGTATTTCTCCTCCAGCAGTTCATATTAATCGAAAAGATGTAATATTTTTAAATTAAATGAGTTTGAAGATGAAATGGAAGAATAACATCAAAAATAAGGTTAACATGAATTGAATTAGTAACAAAAATTAAAGAAAAGGTCTAAAAAGAAGAAGAAAAAGTAATAACAAACCAGTGATTTTCATTAGTACTTTTCTATCAAAGGATTGGAGTATTAATAAAATATGAATATTACTCTTTATTTTAGAGACCCAAGGGTTGATTGTAACTGGAAATTACTCTTTAGCTATTTTACTCTAATAATATTGAGTAATATCATTTTACAAACCTTTGAGGTAATCAGATATTCCTAAAGCATTTGTAAATTGGAAGGGTTGGATAATTTATTTGTTTATCTAAACCAATTGCTTTATGTATTTGGTAAAATAGGTATTCTTAGTTTGAATTACTAAGAGTTTACAAATACTTCATCAACCAAACCTAAGATACCATTATTAAATAGCACCCTTTTTAGTTCCATATTTATAATTCTTTAATTGCCATTATATGTGTTTGATTTTGTTTTGTGTTAATCTCGTAGCGAACTATTTACATTAAACTATAGTTTATTCATTTTGAACTGTTTGGATTGGTTCATAATATCTGTAATGAGTGTTATAATCCTTTTGCATTCTATTATCAAGATAACCTTAAAGCCTAAAACTTGGAAAAAATTAAAGTACTCATCCATTCATAAAAAATAGGAAATTACTATAGTATCTTTATTATATATTATTACTCCTTGTTTAGATTTTATAGTGGTTAGTTACCTTCACTTAATCAACTTCATCCTTTTTACCAGCAATGATTATGGAGAACGTCTATATCTTTTTCTCATTACTGACTAGCGTGTACTTATCAATAAGAAAATTCTATTTTCACAAAGACCCTTTTTTAATTAGACATGAGTTGCTCTATAATGAACCAACTTGTGTGAATTAAGATGAAAATTTTCACAATTAAGAGAAGAGCGAAAAGCTTTTACACAACTGTTCAATCAATATGAAAAAAAGAATCAAACACAGTCCAATCTCTTCATTTTCTAGTATCTAATTAACAAAAACAAATACTATTTCAAGAAAAGAATGATGGCTTTTCTATTTAAATAATATTTGAGTTTGATTTTTAAAATCTTATTATAAATTCTTAAAGAATTTAATAAATTCTTAATTTATTTAATATTATAGTCAAATCAATATAATAGAAAAAANTCAACCACAAAATAGCTAAATTCCTGAGATTGGTCAGCAAATTTTGGATCCAGAGTAATTGAAATTAAAAGAGAAAGAAAGAATGGAGAGGATTATCAAGTAAATATGTTAGATGAATATCATTAGTATTCCAAACACTCTGAAAAGGTCATTGTCAACAATTAATGAAGTCCCTGATTAATCCATAAGTATTTCTCCTCCAGCAGTTCATATTAATCGAAAAGATGTAATATTTTTAAATTAAATGAGTTTGAAGATGAAATGGAAGAATAACATCAAAAATAAGGTTAACATGAATTGAATTAGTAACAAAAATTAAAGAAAAGGTCTAAAAAGAAGAAGAAAAAGTAATAACAAACCAGTGATTTTCATTAGTACTTTTCTATCAAAGGATTGGAGTATTAATAAAATATGAATATTACTCTTTATTTTAGAGACCCAAGGGTTGATTGTAACTGGAAATTACTCTTTAGCTATTTTACTCTAATAATATTGAGTAATATCATTTTACAAACCTTTGAGGTAATCAGATATTCCTAAAGCATTTGTAAATTGGAAGGGTTGGATAATTTATTTGTTTATCTAAACCAATTGCTTTATGTATTTGGTAAAATAGGTATTCTTAGTTTGAATTACTAAGAGTTTACAAATACTTCATCAACCAAACCTAAGATACCATTATTAAATAGCACCCTTTTTAGTTCCATATTTATAATTCTTTAATTGCCATTATATGTGTTTGATTTTGTTTTGTGTTAATCTCGTAGCGAACTATTTACATTAAACTATAGTTTATTCATTTTGAACTGTTTGGATTGGTTCATAATATCTGTAATGAGTGTTATAATCCTTTTGCATTCTATTATCAAGATAACCTTAAAGCCTAAAACTTGGAAAAAATTAAAGTACTCATCCATTCATAAAAAATAGGAAATTACTATAGTATCTTTATTATATATTATTACTCCTTGTTTAGATTTTATAGTGGTTAGTTACCTTCACTTAATCAACTTCATCCTTTTTACCAGCAATGATTATGGAGAACGTCTATATCTTTTTCTCATTACTGACTAGCGTGTACTTATCAATAAGAAAATTCTATTTTCACAAAGACCCTTTTTTAATTAGACATGAGTTGCTCTATAATGAACCAACTTGTGTGAATTAAGATGAAAATTTTCACAATTAAGAGAAGAGCGAAAAGCTTTTACACAACTGTTCAATCAATATGAAAAAAAGAATCAAACACAGTCCAATCTCTTCATTTTCTAGTATCTAATTAACAAAAACAAATACTATTTCAAGAAAAGAATGATGGCTTTTCTATTTAAATAATATTTGAGTTTGATTTTTAAAATCTTATTATAAATTCTTAAAGAATTTAATAAATTCTTAATTTATTTAATATTATAGTCAAATCAATATAATAGAAAAAAGGGTTGTCAACACGAGGACTTCCCAAGCGGTCCCCCACCTTAGTACTAACCTCGCCTTAAGCCGCTTAACTTCGGAGTTCGAATGGGATCCGGTGCTTTAGGCTTAGTATGGCCGACAACGATATTTACTTTACTCTCTCGCTCTTATAAGGTAGGTTTAGAATTACAAATCAAAGAGATTATTACAATATATTAAATATTAAAATATGAGGAAAAATGATGCTTAATATAATTCAAATCAAAGCTAATTTTTATCTCAAATTTTCAATAAACTTTTAATTTTCCTCCTCTTCTAATACTTATGATCCATTTAGAATAAGTTTTTTTTCTTTTTCCTTACATTTTTGTTCTAATTGCAAAATAGAATTCAAGACATTTTAATACTTTTCTTCAAAATAGATAGGTTTGATTTCATGTAAAGACGATGGAAAGTTTGCAGAATTTAATCCAGACTTTAAAACTTTTCTCTTTGATATTAAATTTTTATGATCTGTCGTATATGGTTTATCGATGTTATCAATTTGATTGCTTTGTTTCATTTCAATTAATGAATTTTGACCTCTTTGCCTAATGTCGTTCACACTTCTTCTTTCAGGCAATAATAAGATTTTATCTACTTTTTTTTCTTACAATAAGCTTTATAATTTCTTTATGTTTTGTTTGGCAATTTCCAATTGAGATTTTTAAGTGCTGTTTTACTCTTATGTTTGCTTAATAGGTGAATTGGAATGTCGGGGGATGTCCTTAAGAAAGCTATCTTTTACAGATTCTCCATATCTTAATTATTTTGATTTTAACAATTTCTTTTGTTCAGCAGCTTATTATTGAGATAGTTTTAATTTAGCTTGTTCCTCTTCAAGACGTACTAATGCTTAACTTTTAGGAAACTTAATCAATTTCATTTTGAATTCTTCATCCAATTCATGCTTTTATTATTGCCTCTATTTCAATTTTTGAAATTTTTCCTCTTCATAGCGCTTTTGATGTTCAGTCAAAGCATCCAATCTAATTGGTTAACTTAGTTCTCTCCTCTATGCCAAGATGATCTTATTTATCAATATATATTTTACCTTCTTTTTCTCTAATTCTGAAAGATTCAAAGCTTCATCTTTCATTTTGAGCACTTATTCTTTTAGTTTTATTCTTTTCTAGATTTGCTTAATAAGCTTATTTCCATCAGAATTTATTTTCTGTTGCTCTTCTCTATATAATTTGTCTTCCATCATTCTTTAAATTATTTGCTCCCTTTTATTTTATTAATTTTGAGTTAAATCATTCTAAGAGGAAAAATCTGAGTTAGATTCCTTTTGGGAACTTTATAAATTTAATGATTGAATTCTATCCCTACCTACCCTATAAGATTATTGATCATTAACTGTTTTGGATTTGATTTTTTAATTCATTGTAGGGACTTCTACAACATTTGTTTCTAATCCGTCATATAAATCAAATACAATTTTATTCTTCTTGTCTCTGAGTTCAAAATCATATGGTAACTTTAGTTTATTGTATAAATTACTTTTAAATTTTCTTAGACAAGCTAATACAACAACTATAAAGATGGTTATGTTAAAACAATCTTAATTTTCTAATTGTTGTGATACACAATAATAATCATTTCTTAATATATAAATAAAGGGAATAAAATTTAAGAAATGAATAATTCTTGCTAAAATATCAACATAGAAAAACATAAACTAGTAATCAAATCTAATATAATTATTTGGTAACATTAAAATCAATTGATCAAGTTAGAGTATTTAAATTGTTTAAATAATATTCTAATATATTATTAAATTAAGAAATTATTACCCAATTAAGTCTTAAGCATGAAAATAATCAACTAGAACGATTACAATCAATAATTATTATTTAGAAATTATTATCAATTAAAAAAAATAATAAAGGGTACAATTATTTTGGGTTATTTTTAACAGAGTACACTGAAATGATAAACTTATTTTAAGTCAACTAATTCTCAGGTAATAATTTATCAGTTTTAATTATTTCAAAGATATGCATCAATATATTTATGTTATTATTCTTAAATAAGGTAAATATATATCTACTTTCCTATATGTCACCTTTTTATTTATTTAACATGACTTGCTTTTAATCAAAATTCTAGTTCAATAAGTATTATTCTAAATTTATTATTTTAATCATTATTGTTATTTTTTTTACTTCATTTTTATAAAGCTCCCTTTTTGTAAATTCCCCAATACAATTGATATTCTTATAGACTAGATCCCCTTTAACTTAAAGAATTAATCATCTTAATTTATATATTATCATCTCAATTACTAATAAATAATTTTAATGTATTATTGTTGAGATCATTCTAATGATAATAGAAAAAAATCACTATTTATGTATTTTTTTTAATAGAAATTAATTATTTTTATATATGAACCAGACTCCTTAGATATTGGACACTATTGTAAGGCTTCAATTATTTATAGCAGACTGATTAAGATGCACTACATAAGGCCTAAAATTAATTCTTAAATCAAAATATAAAAACTGAGGAATAAAGTCAATCTTAAGTACCAATAGCAAACTTTTAACCGTAAAACAACCAATTTAAGCAGCCTCAATTTATGGTAGAAATTGGATTAATTTCAGTTCGGACAAGGAATGCCACCTGGAATGCCACCAGGAATGCCATAAGGAATGCCACCAGGAATGCCATAAGGAATGCCACCAGGAATGCCATAAGGAATGCCACCAGGAATGCCATAAGGAATGCCACCAGGAATGCCACCAGGAATGCCATAAGGAATGCCGCAAGGAATGCCGTAGGGAATACCATAAGGAATGCCACCAATGTCATAAGGAATGTAGCCTCGGGCTATGACAATAGGAATGCAATCTGGAATGCAATCTGGGATGCTTGGAATGCCTCCTGGAATGCCTCCTGGAATGCCTGGAATAATTGGAATGCCTATGATGCCACCAGGAATGTCTGGGATGCCAAATTAAATGCCAGCCATGCCACCAGGAATTAATCCTCCAAATATGGGTAATAACTTTATTCATTAAAACAATACGCTGTAATATCCTCCACAATCATTTAATCAACCTAAATTTTCTGATGACAGCCAGATGTAATTAAAGAAAGAAATAGACAAATTAAAAAATGAAATAACTACTAATGAAGATGAAAAGTAAAAAATGGAAAATGAGTTCAAAAAGAAAATCCAACAATTAAATGAACTGAATAATAAATTAACAAGAGATTTTGATGAGTAGAAATTCGAACTACAAAATTAATTTAAAAAAAAAGAGGAAGAAAAAGAGAGTTTAGAAAAATAATACAAAGAAAATATCAGAATTTTATAATAAAAGATTAGTTAATAGGAAATAGACCATAAAGATATTGAGAAACAAAACTAAGCAGAGATAAAAAGATATAAGACAGAAGTTGAAAACTTAAAAAGCTAAATCCAGCAATTATAAGAAGC